GAAAAAGTATCTTCTATTTCTCACTTCTAATTTTGGATATTATATGTGCAGGTTTTCGACTCTTGCACTGGGAAATTTTCAGGCTTTTTGAGGAAGTAGATACGTTTACCAATAAAAATCTATTGATTATATCTCAATTTTAAGATGTGTACTATCTAATCTAATAATAAGATGATTGTTTTGATTTTATATGAACAATATGAATAACTAATCATAATTATTTTTTTAATAATATTAGATTTATACTAGTTTAATTTAAGAAGCAATCAATGATTGATAAAAAATTAAATGTGTTTTGATCTCGGTTTAGTCTAAAAAACAATAAACTTAGTCTTAGTTAATATAAAAATTAATTTGAAAATATTTCGTTACATATGAATATAATGTTCCAAGGACATGTAAACTTGTATAAAGATTCTATGGAATTACAAGATTTTTAAACAAAAAACGAAAAAAAACAAAAAAGAACTGATCTTACACTGGTAAGGACCATTTAAGTGTCACTGAACCGACAGTCCAACATATGTATAATCATTGAATGCCTTTGATCTCCCTTCTAATTAGTTCCATTTGGTTGCCCCCTTCCCTTCAAAAGCAATGTCCTGTCCTTCGAATAAAGCAAAGTCATTTCATTTGTTCTATCAGTGTGCAAAATTGATATGATTTACTGGGTCCATTTTCTCTTATAACGCTAGATATCAATTTGTTAGGCGATTGCTGTTGACTGCCTTGTTCCTCTCAGAAAGAGAAATTTCATTTAAATTCTTCCCAGAAACTTAATCTTGGGAAAGATCCCATTTACATCAATGGTCCATTATAGGAAATGATTTTATCCCTTAGCATTTGAAATGGGCTGTAAGACACTGAATAGGACGAGCATTTACCAACTCCTTCGACTTGTGAATATCTTGGGACAACTACAAGAATCCTCCACCATGTGCAATGGGTGAGAAGTTTCCCTGGTTGTGAAAGTGAAGGCTAATGTCTTGCCTGTTTCACTTCCAGCTGACAGTATAAATAGCCGTATTATTGATGATGCCCCACCTGTATCCCAGTATAAATGTCGATGCAACCCAACCCTAATGCTTTTAGTTCTAAATTTAATTAATTTTCTTCGATCCCTGAAATATCCGACAATTTGATCAACGGATTCCCTATAATTTATAATCATATATAGCTTATTGCATTATATGAAAATTTTATATGATTTGTTTCTGCTTGCAACGTTACGAACTTGTAATAAACAAACCCATAATACCTTAGCTTAGTTATCATAACCAATAAATTTAAAGGATAGCTACAGTTATTTTTATTTAGTGAAAAATAATTTTCAATAGGAAAAATAATTCTAAAGAAACTATTTTTCATTAAGTTGTTTTTCAAAAAAATATGTTTTGACATTTGACAATTATATAAAAAAATAAAAATAAATTATTAAAATATTTATTATAAAAATAATTTTAATAAGCAAAAATGATTTTTAATAATATTTAATATATTTATAAATAAAAAAATCAAATATTAATAAAAATAGAGAAAAAATAATTAATTGATTGATAATAATCAATAAAAAATAATTAAAAATTAATTTAATATATTTTAAATAAAAAAAGATAGAGAAAAAATTATCATATATACATATATATATATATATATATATATATAAAGAAAGAGAGAGAGAGAATATCTTATTCTTTTTAACTCGAAAGCCACCTTTTTAAAATATAAAAATATTCTATTAATTTTCGTTTATTGAAATTTTTTTTTTTAAACGTGAAACAAATATTAAAAAAAAATTCTTAAAACTTATTTTTTCAGAAACAAACACAGCCTAGGTGAATAATTTATAATCATGTAGCTATATGATTTGTTTGTACTTGCGACGTTACGAGCTTGTAATAAAAAAACCCATAGTGCCTTAGCTTAGTTACTACAGCCAGTAAATTTAAAGTATAGCTAAGTGAGTAACATTTATTCCTGGTGGCAGTATTACTGTAATTCTTAAATTGGACTGTCCCAATGATTCAATCATGACTCTGACATTAACTCAGCAAGACAACTGGTATAGAGTACCTCAAACAAGAGAGGTAAGATGGGAACAAAGTCAAGATCAGCCTGTAACTTCTACGCAGGGATCCTGAAACATCACCTTCCTTCTTCTGCAATGCAATTTTCAAACTTTTGAATTGTAAGAATTAATGGGATATGGTTGAGGGTAGATTGAGAGCAATAAATATTAAGTGGTGGGCAGGGGGGAGTCTATGGGGTTTTGTTGTCATAATAAATACTCAGTAATAAGTATTTGTGAGAGTTTGTTGATGAAAAGTGATTTAACGATGGTGGTGAAAGGAACTGTGTTTAATATTTAACGATCGATGAGATACAACGATTCAGCACAAAACAGAGTCACGTGTTTTAAGGTGCGAGGGTTGTGGGAGTGATGAGTGCGACGTATCAATCGACAAAAGGGAAGATTTCATTCTTCTTTCTCTCTATCCAATTCCCGTTGCTTATTTTTTTACTCTGTCATTTTCCATTGTTTTTTGGTTAATAACTCCATTTGTAGTTCTATAATAAGGTCATTTTTGTTTTATCTATTTTTCTATTTTTAATTGGATTGATTTCATTTTTAAATATATATTAAATTTTTAATTTATTATTTTGATAAGATTTTAAGACTAAATTACCGAAATCAATCATCCGATTTGCATATGATTATTATTTATGTTTGAAATGCCCTTGCAAAGTAGAAAAATAAAAGGCTTTTTCTATATCCAATTCATGTGATAAATTTAGGTGGTTAATATAAAAATATTGATAGAAAGATCAACTTAATTTATATTTAACTATAAAATTAATTTAATTAAAGATATAAAAATAAATTAAAAAATTATCCTATTATATAAGAATAAATCGAACCATTAAACCATTGTTTTTTTAACTTGTTTGTCTTTATTATTGGATGGAAGAAAATGGAAGTATTTTAAAGCTTTCGATGTTAGATAAAAAAACTAATAAAATTTAATAGTTTATTGGTAAGTAAATATCAATTTATAAGTCAAGTTTAAGGTTTTATCATTGTGGTCGGTATTTTTAAGAATTTATTTTCAGAATATCTAAAATTATATATTAGAAAGTATTTTTTAACCACATTTAGAAAATAAGTAGTCTCGAAATGTGTAAAATCTAATCCGAAAATATTTTTTGTTGAAAATTTGTTCTATGGATTCGAATTGGCACCAAAAAATAAAAAAAAAGTGACGAAAACATTACTCACGAATAATTAGGAATGGATTTCAGATTATATATATGCCAAAAATTTAATTAGAAAAACATTGATCTTAATATATGAAAGTTAAAACTTTTGAGAGAAAGTGGTAATGAATTAATATCGTATTGTTTCAGTGGAGAAAGGAGCGTGGAAGATAAAAGCAATGCAAGTGATGCTATAATTACAGAAGATTGACCTATGTTTACCTTTAATCGAATTTTTTAACTTGTCTTAAAATAGGTCAAAAGGGCATGTTTGAATTTTAAAGAAAAACATTTCTTGTACAGGAGCGGAATGTTACCTAGGATTCCACACTGATCATTACAGTAGTGGTGGTAATAGTAGGACCCAACCCATGAACGTGGAGGAAGGTTGGCTGATGGCTCCTCATCTCTAGTCTCTACAAGCCGGTCCGTTACTTTCTTGGTGGATCGCCTGTATCTTTCCTGATGAAAATAACATCCATGAGACAATGAAATTATTAAAAAAAAAAACGTTTTCCGGTTTGGAGAGGTAATGTATTTGAAAGTATTTTTTAACATGTATTTAAAGTTTTTAATTATTCTCAATGATTTTAAAATTATTGAAAAAACATCAAATAAATAATTTTTTAAAACGTGTTTGAATTTTTTAAGTGTTTTTTTTTTTTTTTTCATAACTCACACATCCAATACACACACACTCAAAACTTTTAACAGAATCAATTTATTAGGATTTGAATCTATAACCTCTTGTAAAAGATCACTATCACGGAGTTATAAATTCTTTGATTAAAGGATTTTAAAAAGGTTAAACCTCATTTACTATTGTGCCAATAATTTATTTGAAAGAATTAAATTTTGTCGTTTACGTCTCAAATAGAATTAATTCTATCTCCAATATACGATAAAGATACATGGGTTAAAAAAAATCATTAAAAGACTCGTAAAAGATCACTATCACCGAGCTACAAACTATACAAAGTCTTTGGTGAAAGGATTTTAAAAAGGTTAAACCTCACTTACCATTGTGTCGATAATTTATTTGAAAGAGTTAAACTTTGTCGCTTTTATCTCGAATAGAATTAGTTCTATCTCCAATATACGATATAGATACTTGGGTTAAAAAAACTCATTAAAAGATCTATTGATTATAAAGTATTTTGAACTATTACATTTAGGCCTCCAACTTTTTTTTTTTGTCCATAATTATGCTTTTGTATTCCGGTGACTAATTTTAGAAAGCACAAGAGATACGTAAAGCTATTAAAATAATGACACTTGTCTTATAAGCTTTAAACACAAGACATTTGTTGTTGTTGTTTTATGACTTTATGTGTCTTTCACATGAGTCTAATGTGGTCTAAAATTAATTAATGGAATGAAAGAATTTAATTATAGATTTTAAAAAAGTTAGAGATTCAAATAAAAAAATTATATATATATATTATGTTCATCAATCGTTCAAATCACTATATAACCAATTAAATTTATTTAAAACATTCGGCAAAACATCGATTGAATAAATAATTTTTTGGTTATTTTTATAAAAAGTACTCGCATAACATCATCAAACACAGAAAAACTAAGACAATTGAGCATGATTGAGCAAGCATACAACCATTTCATGAGAATTTAGACTCTTTCACTCACCTTCATTATTTTGAGAATTCGAGTAAAGGAATTTTACCTATTTCCACGCTAGCATAATTAACACTTTGATGTTAAGAGACTATGGTTAAGCACAGCAATTAGTCAGGCACCAAAGTCACATTACTACTTGATGATCCAACAAGAAGATCAACATTATCCCACACGTCATTACAACCTAAAATTCTAATTGCTGACTGAAGTTACCACATAATTCACCATGTCAAAGAAAGGTTGATGTGCGAAGGGCAACGAATTGACCAGCCGCGTTTGCCGAGGGACTGTGCCGCAGTAGAGATTACTTTTGTCCTGCTCTTCACAGTCTCGGAGATAAGCATTCTCACTTACCCACCTTATCGATCTTAATTATCTCAATGAACTTGTGGAACCAAGAGAAAAATGCAACTATCCTAAAGCCGATTGGACTTCCATTGTTATGTTTTGTCAGGGAATAGAATACCCCACTAAAAATCAAACGGCTCTGGATGATTCTGTGTGTGCCCTGCAATAATCAAAATCCCATGGGTGGTGATCTCAACGGTTCTGATGAATGATGACAGATGGACCCCTATAAAGCTATACTTTTATACATGCCTCACAAGAATGGGGCGGTAGCATTTTTTGGCTCTAAATAAAGTTGAAGTAAAACTGGCAGAGAGAACACCCTCTTAAAAACAAAGAAAAGCTGCTTTTTAATCTGAAACTGATCTTGCTAGCTTTGTTTTGTCATTATTTGGGAGGTCATCAAGTCATCACTAAACCAAAGACCAACTTCCCTACTAGTATTTCTTAGCCATTAGCCAAAGACCAAACCCCCTTTTTTTTTCTTTCAGTTTCTGAGAGAGAAAGGAGGTGTGTGTGCGTGTGTTTGGCATCAGAAACGAGAATTGGGAGGTGAGGGAACGCAAGAAAAGACAGGAGGGAAGGGTTGGGGGGTTTTCATCAGTAACGAGGGAGGAAGGAGAGAATAACTATGATGATTCTTCTAAATATATATGCCTTGCTCACAGACCTATAATTCATAGCAAGGAGAGAGTATGGGAGGCACCATCTATTCTGATTATTATTGCTGCCACTGTATATATTTATTATTCATATCTCTTGTCTTTTTGAGCCTGAAAATCACCTCTTCTTCTCCCCTACTGCCCTTTTCAATTAATTACACCCATAAGGCCATAACCACCCACCTCTCTCTCTCTCCCTCCCTCTCTCTCATATTTACTGTGCTATACCATCCTTTCATCTTAAATAGAACCCATCTGCCCCCATATCGATTCTGCAAAGATTGTTAATACTCTACTGCTGTCTGTCTTCTTTGTATGTGTTTGTGCCTTCCAGTGGTGAATACTAGGACAGCTAGCTAGCTTTCATGTGGGTTTAGCAAAGGGTTTCTTACAGAGTTTATTGGCATTCTGTCCACCTCCCATGAAATTCGAAATTATCTCTCTTACTTTCTGGAGGTGGGCATACTGCCAACTGAGCTCTGTTGGTCTCTCTTTGTAAAACCCTCGTGATTATTCTCTCATATGTATCACCATCATCATCCTTTATCTCTTATATCTTGCAAGAAAGAAGGATCAAAGGTAAAGAATCTGCATGCGCTATGATTATCTCTAGCATCTTCTTCTTTTCTTTTTATTTTTATCATTTTTTGGTAAGTTTCTTTTGTTTTTCTGATCATAATGATCATGCACTGTCTGTCTCTTATTTGTTATCTATTTGATGACTCCAACTTTACTATCTATTTCTATTTAGAAAAAGAGAAAAGAGAAAATCACTATGACTTGCTTTTATCATCTGTTGTTTGCCATGGTTCAGTTTTCTGCAGAAAATTAGAGGTGATGACAGACATCATATGCACAAAATCCTGGTTTTCACGTTGTAGATCTTACCACCTGGGACTTCTTCTTGGGTTTTTGGGGGTGATTGCTCCTTTTATATATGATTATATTTCATAATCTAACAGTGCATAATGCATTATTTTTCTTCATCTCATCATCTAGGGTTTTCATTTATCCCTTATTTTCCCTTTTGAATCTAACCCAGTAGAGAGTTCAAGATGAACAATTAAAGATTCGAAGTTTTGAAGGCTGGATGATGCATCTTGCTGGGATCATATAAATTTTTTATCGAGGCTTGCTAGCTCAACTAAATTTTAGGATCTATGGAAGGTCTTTGGTTCAAAACCTTTCTGTAATCATCTTCTGTCTGCTTCTTTATTATGTATATAATCATCTGGAGTATCTAGTTGGAGATTTCAGTGTTCATGGCTCCATGCATGTCTACCACACCATTTTACTTATTAATTTTTTTCTTGTCAATGTCAGATATTGATTAATATTTAATTTGGTAGGGCAGGTCTTTCATTAGGGCATACCTAATACTTCATTTCGAGGACATACTCTCAAGCCCTTATACGTAGGGCTCATGATAGAAAACTGACAAGTCTTTTTTGTTGATGGAAAAGCACAAAAACTTCTCAACACACTGGTGTGAGGCGTGCTTGTCACCTCCAATAATTTCTTGTGTTTGTGCATCGTGGATTGGTCATCAGACGCTTGAAAATGTTTGGATTAATAATAGAGGGTTACCATTTACATTACCTGGTGGCTCTACTCAAAGTTTCACTTTCATGTTTGAAAGTCAAGCTTTTTTGTGCTTTAAACGCCTCTTGCTCATAGAATTTTGCATTTGTAATAGTGATTCTTCTAAACCCTTTTGGGTCAAATGTGTTTTGAATTTAGTCATGGTACGATACTCAACAAGAGGGTATATAAGAGCTGCGATGGGATATAATTATTACATTGGGGACCATAAAATGGCAGTACTGTGTTCTTTCAGTCTCCAAAACTGGAGGGGTGAGGGGCCAGGTGCAATTTGGCATGCTAAAGTTCTCTAATCCCGACTCAAACCAAAAATAAATTGGACTAGCTACCAATGGATTTAATGAAGGAAATTTAAGAGAGTATGTGCCATTTTCATCCAAGAACACTGGACAGGTTTTAATTCAACTCAAGACTGTTAAATAATCTCATCTTGTTTACGAAAAGCTAAAAAAATATATTGTTTACTTAAAGGGCAGAGAAAATCAAGTACTGTACGTATAGAATTTACAAAAGAAGCTCTTTGCAGTATGATATGATTTGAACTTTTGAAGTCATATGCGTTGTCAGTATTTTTATTTTTCAAATCTCTTTAAATGCGAGGATATTTTAATCTTTTGGGTACAAGTCAGGAGTTTTTAATAGAAACTCAATTAGTTCTTTTAATAATATATATTTCTATACATTTTCAGTCTGAGGTTTTGATCGATGAACTGACAGAAAGAGGAATTTGGAGTAGCTGTAGAACTTCTTCTATGAGTTCCAAATGCCGGATCATACTATGCCCGTGGCACAAAAATATGAAAGGAGTGCAAGAAATAGCGATGGAGACATACAGGGGTAAAATTGAAAAACTTGAGGAGGCAATGAAAAATAATTATGCTTTTAGGGGTTAAATTAACAAATCCCAAACTTCAGGGAGGCAATTTGTAGTTTACCTAATCAGAGTTACGTCTCTACTCCCTAGCAAACCTGCCTCTGTAAAGTGTGTCTTGGGCTTTGTTCAGTTGTGGCATTTTCTCTAACTCAAAGCCTAACATGGGAGAATTTCCCTAGTCTTATTGCAGGGTGTTATTTGCCTAAACATACCACCCTGTTTATAACCTATGGCAGTGCATGATCCAATATCTGCAGCTAATGTGTAAGCTCCATCAACATTCAACTGAACCTATTCAGTTTGGGAGAATCCCACCCGATGCTTCTCTCGAAAACAATAGGCCTTACCCTCGATCCATGGATAACCTGAGAAGGTCCGCATTGAGCTCAAACATCTGTCTCTTCCTACAAACTCGGATGAGGCATCCTGCTACCTTGAAAGTTTTGACGAAGCCCAAAATCTCATATCTGCAATCCTGATGGGGCTTTCTGCAGCTACAGGAAATTCCAGTTCCAAATGAAAGACACAAAAAGTTTCGCTATTAAACACAGTCCAACCTTTAAAACCCATATAAGGAAACTAACAAATGAAACCAGAGTTTGGTGTACATCCACAAATACCTATGGCTATGCTGTCTCTCTGCAAAAAGATATACATATTATGCATGGATCTGCGCTACTACCTTCACTACGTAAGACCACAAGGACCAGCTTTGAGCTGCACTTAGTGGATCAAGCTATCTAAAGTCTAACTAGATTCAGAAGCAGTACGGGATTCTTGTAGTACTGAGGTTGTCCAAACAGGACCATATTCTTTGCTCCAAATCAAAATGTTAGTTTTTCTAGAGTCTGATCAGGCGAGTCCCTTAAATTGCTCTTCTTCAGAGAACGGTGTGTTGTTCCGTTAGGAATCCTAATTACTTCACTGGAAGAACCAACAGTTGGCACTGTACATGCAGAGGAACAAGGACTGTGTTGTAAAGAAGCATGGCTAGTCGATATCCACTTTTGTTTGGATGGTCTACTACCACACTTTTGTTGGACACAAGGAGAGGCTGACTCTGCTGTTGCACGTTGCTTGGTGGCATCATCCACATATAGGAGATCATCAATTCTTGCCATTACGTTGAAGGCCAAGCTTTCCATCACCCTAGAATAGCTCTCAATAATAGCATGCCCTATATCCTGTAGCAAAGAAACAATTTTATTCAAATGTGCGAGATGGTAGTTGTATGTGATGAAAATGGAGTGGCAACAAGTCGTCAACAAACAGGAGCAAAAGGACTACAATGCATGGTTAATAATGTGCAGGCAATACCTTGTTATATTGGATCTTATTTATGTCTAAAGCAGTCTGTGGGAGGCCAGGAAAACGTAGCCTTAGGTTATGTACGAGAACCTCAGCTCGTTTTGCTAGAAGTTTTCTTTTCGGTATTTCACCAACAAAGTCTTTCATCTTGCCACCCCATGATGACTTCCCATTCCTTGCATGAACTAAATGCCTGTTCTGGTATTTTTGGCTCCAGAAATGTGAGGCAGCTTCTATACGATTTGCTATTTCCAAAGTGGTGTATTCTGATGACAAGTCCAAGTAATCCAGAAGATAATCTGGGGAGAAGTGCTTGGCAGTTATATAGTGATACATGGTTCTGCCTAAGCAAGCTTTTCCACTCTGGAAAAAAAAAAAAAAAAAAAACAAAAAACAGAAAAGTTCACGAAAACCAAAATTAACAACATAGTCCAGAGGAAGCATAAGCAACAGCATCATGTCCTGTAAGAGTTAATCCATTTGCAATTCCGATTGATAGTTAAAAGTACAACATAGAGTAGATGCAAATGCTCATTCACATAAAAAGAATGCCAGTGCGTAAATTATACAATTTAAAGTAGATGCCTAGCAGGAAAAAAATGAAATACAGGAACAGCATTATAATCTCTTCTTAAAATAGTGCGAGCACATTAGCAATACTTTTCATATTAGGAACAACACATCAACCAGACCAAAACCTCAGAACAAATTGCTTAACAGATAGAAAAATAATTTATTCGGGCATTGATGTGGTGGAAACTAAAGATCCGGAAGAAAAAATAATACGATAATTTTGACCATGCAGTATTCGTTTACATCCACAACTGATTCATCCAACACAAATGGAATTCGATAGAGCGGGGTAGGGTTCCAAACCTTGGGGAGGCTCTCAAAATAAGCATTTGGAATTTCCATCTCAGCTAACACACTACTGTTAATTGCCAAGGCAGCCTTAAGGATCTGGTTTGTGCACTCCCTGCACTGCTGCAGCTTCTTTCTTGAGTCTTCAGACAAACCATTTGGGGGAACTTTAGGAAAAGGAAGCCACCATTTTTCTTCCTGTCTGATTGATGGTCTTCTCAAAGAGGACGACATGGGAAACTTTTGAATATCATCATCATCAGCAACTACTATCCCACGATCGACATAGCAAAATTCAGATTCAGAAAACAGATCAAGAATGCTAATCAGCATAGCATCAAGCTTCTTGAGTGCTGGGACGTTCACATATAAATCCAAACGTGGCCGAGGCACCATAACCTCATAAGTTCCACCACCAGGATATTCTTGCATTGATGGAACAAGCTCTACTATGGAATCACTTATGCACAAAAGCCATTCCATCTCTCGATGCCACATTGCCTTTTTTTGTGGCGCTAGTGGTTCTAATTTCCATAGCTCCCCAAACACGGAAGCTGCCAAACATATACCCAAACACACAAAATAGATTAATCTCAGCCATTTTCTTCAATTGATTACAATGAAAACGGCCGGATTATTTATTCATTACTTTCACTAACCAGAAAGATTGGTGATGGCATTGGAGATGGCCACGGCGGTACAAACTCCCTGTCCTCCACCTGACATGTCTTCTCCAAGCAGAAGCTTAGCAAACCGCTCCTTCATCAGTTCGATTTCTGCAACGACAAATAAAATAAAACAAAACTTCCACTTACAGATCTATTAAACTAAAATTAGTAAACTAAATCCAGCAATATCGTTACGGTAAAAAATCCTCACAACAAAACGTTCAAAATTCTCCAAAAATAGATAATAATAATAAAAAAATCTAAATTAAGCAAAAAGAACAAATTAACTAACCTGACAAGTCAGTATCTGGTTTCTCTTCCTTCTCCTCGGGAGTAGCAACATGTCTACCGCCAACAACCGGCAGCATTACCGGAAACGGTGCGGGAGAAACGGAATTACCGGCGAATTCAGGAGTCGAAGAAACGAAAGAAGAGGAAGCGCAGCCTTGGAGATCGTTACGGCGGCATGAGAAGCTGCTACTAGAAGTATCACTCTCCGATTCGCTCACGTCCGCACTCAAACTGTAACTGTCAAACTCGAACCTCTCGCTCACTTGATCTAACCAATCCTCCGATGAAACACTCCCCATTGATCAAGATCAAAGAGATTATTAGAACAACAAATCAGGACCGTACATTTCCTCCGGTGAGAAAAGATAACTGGACTGAATTAAGGAAAATAAAAGTGAGAACAGACTGAAAAAGGGAAAGGCAAATAAAGGTTTGTAGTCATCACGAAGTCTTTGCCCTTATTTTGCAATTTTTCCGTTGCTTTGCTAACAGTAGTCCCCACCAAAAGGACGTAGGCGGTTTTTTTCCAATTATTATGGCGCGTGGAAATTATTATACGATCTACCGGTGATGGTTAATTGGGCAACTTCAATTTATGTTGGCTATGGGCTTGGGTCCATGTACTAGCGTTGATGTTAGTTCTTTTAGGTTTTAGATTCTAGCTGAGGATTTATGATTTTTGGTTGCTATAAATGTCGAGTAAATTATAAATTAGTCCCTCTAGTCAAACGAATTAATTAGATTCTCTTGTTTAAAAAATAATTATTTAATATTTATATTTCTAAAATTTCTGCAATTTAATATTTTTTTGTTCCTTTTTACTTTATTTTGATTTTTTATTTTAATAAATAAAAAAAGTTTAAATATGAAAGAGTAAATGATAAAAGATGACATTTTTGTAAAAATATTAAATTAAGCAATGCCGATATCATTTAAATGATAAAATAATTTGTTTTTAAAATAAAAAAATTAATTTATTTATTTCTTAAAATAGTGGGGCTAATTTATAGTTTACTCAAATTTTTACCTACTAAAACAATTGGTTCCATTGCCTAGTGGATAAGGTTTAGTTCGTTTCATTTAATGCTAGCATTCATTTTGATTACGGTCGATTGGATCCGAAACTTGCATTTATTTCGGTTTGCTAACAAATGGTGAAAGAATGATAGAATAAATAGTATATATGATGGAATAATATTGGGGTGAAACTGAAAAATATAAAGATCTATACAAGTTACATATTAAGTTGAGAGTAATGCCTTATGAAAAAAATAAATTTTAGTACAAAAACGTTGCAGTTATTATTATTATTTTTTTGTTACAGTTAATTTTTAAAAGAAAAACCAGTAAATTATAATTATGAATCCTCGACCCAACATTTTATATAGGATTTTAGAATTAAAAGATTGTAAAATATTTTCTCTTAAGGATTATAGATAGAGTCCGATCATTAGATAGATGTGGATGGTTTTTTTCTGAGATGAAAAAAATAAAAATCTTCTCTGCCTTTGAGGCCACCCTGTGTTTGCTAATTGGCGTATGATAATGTTATTTATATAATGAGGTTATTTGTATAAAATGCTATATAAAGATAACGAATGATGTCCAAATCCATTAAATTAACAATATATATATATATATTCATTATTATTCATTATACCATTTGAAATACTATTCATCAAGACTCGGATGCACTATTCATTTCATTATGTACTCGATATTTTTATAACTTTTAAACATTTTAAATATATTTATTATAAAAATTTTCACAACATTACATTTTAATCCTTTTTTTAAACATTATTTTTTATTCCTTAAATATTTTTTATTTGATTTTGATCCTTCTTTTTTATTTTATTTTGATCACTTTAGTCGTTTCTTTTTTATTTCTCTCTCTATTTTATAATTAAAATTTTAAGGAAAAAAATATTTAGAAAAAAATTTATAAAATAAATTTTTAACCAAAAATCCATTGATTTTGACATTTTTATATTATTATAAGTTTTTAGTTTGTGTATAGAGATAAATAAATAATGTTTTAAAAATTTATAAAAAATAATAAATCAAATCCAGAATTTTGATTAAAAAAATTATAAAATTGAATAAATTTTTATTCAATTTTTATTTAATATATTTTGATATATGCAGAATGGAACACAAAACATCAAACTAAAATAATTTTATGTGTTCTATGTAATTCGCTGCATATCATGAGTAAAAAAACTGGTAAGAGCAATATTTGGAATTCTAGGCACAATTCCTAGTAACATTATCTTAGTCTTTACATGATTAGAAACCGTTGAATTGGAACCATAAAATGTTATCCGCAACAGCTCACCAACAGGTTTTACAGAACTTGTACATCACTGGAAACGCCATGTGGGCTGATAAGAAGCTTCATTAAAAATTAAAACGAAGATCATGGCTGATACTGACCGAATGTTGCCCAGCCAGACCCGTCATGTTAGCAATAGGAGCAATCCATCCGTCATTGGCCACTCCTCACTCTAATGGCTCATCTAATGGCGCATCAGCCGGAGCCAATGAGGGGAGCACTCATACCACAAGATAAGCACTGAGCTATGGAGATTATAGCTCCTTATTGTTCCTTTCTATGGATTCACACTTAGCTAAGTGCTTAGGTGAATCCATAACCAAGCGTTGATGTTTTTATGGACGTACTAAAACAGCAAAAGGAGTTGCCTTATATCTGGCTTAAGACACGCACCTGCAATAGTCACACAGAAGCAAAAATGTTAACAGGTTAAAAAAAGAAGTCATCTTCCTTCATATTGTTGTGGGAATCACTCAAGTTATATATTCATGTTCACATCTCCCAAGTTAAACGCAAACTTCCCAAAATAAGGAACCAGACTTGAACAGAGCTGATTTATGACACACTAAAACCAAATCAAGGTCAAGTTGTCACATGGGTGAAGAAGCAGTGTCCATGAGAAGCAAGACAAAATTTACATATAACATCGAAGTTCAAGAACAGAAAACCCCTTCCTGCAAAGTCTGCTGCATGACCACCTCTTGTCTGCCATTTCAATCTAGGGTTTGTTCTCTCGTTCTTGCCTTCTATGTACAAATCTGCAGTATGCATCTTTCTCTCTGTGCAAAGCTAAACAGTCAGTTTAAGGGTTTTGGCCTTTTGAATCTGGTTCCTCGATTAAATTTGTCATAACTTGGTGAGTTATGGTCGGTGTTCCTTCGGATTCTCTCTTTGGTTTTTAATGCACAACGACAACAGAATCTGCATATAAGGAAAGAAGTTAAAATGTTTAAATACAAAAGGCAGGTCAAATGTAAGAGATTACTCCTAGAATGATAAAGTGGACAGCTTATCACTAAGAAGAGGAGGCGAAAAAAAAAAAAAGCTATATACATTTATTGCCAACCTGAAGAAGGCCAGGCGCTGATAAAGAATGAAAGTTCAGAAATTAGATGAAATTCACCAACACAAATACACAAGATGGCATTCTAAGCAGCACAACCATGCACTTTTCTTACTCTTAACACTTCAAAAATAAATCCAATCAAGTATGATTAGCAGAGGTCCACCATGCACAAATTGTCATAACTCATTGTTGACAGATAAAGATCAACAATCATCTACTTTCATGAAAAAACAGACTGAACAAGTAATCATCTACTCCAATGCACTAGCCTAGGCTGCGCTACATAGTAGTCTATCAAAAACCGCAGGTGGGAGGATGAACTGAAGTCCTCCCAGAAACCTGAGTACCTGGTACATCATAGTGACAAATTACGGGCAACTTGAAAGACTGATATGCAAAGCCAAATAAGAAAATTGAACCAAGTAACAACTATGAACTACACTTACCAAGCAGGCAAAGAGAACCTCAGCAAAGAAAAGACTAACGAGGAAGTATAGGGTAGCTTGCAAATTGACGAGGGTCAAGTTTCTCATGCAGCAGTTCAGGCTCATCACGAGAAGCTGGTTTTTCACCATCATGAACTTCACAGTTTATTTCTGTAACCCACGAGCATCTAACTATTTCCCGCTGAAAACCATCAGCCTGAACTCAATAAACCAAAACATTAGACATTGGCAGCAAGGGTGTCACTAAAACAATTTCTCAAACGAAAAAAAAAAAAAAAAACAATTCTTCACTTTTAATGCCCACGAGTAAGTAACAGAAGATTAGTGATGTAACCATTTAGAAGAACTTTTGGATTTTATCAGCTGTTCATAGCAAGTGAGCCTAAGAAATATTACAGACGTACTCCAGGAAAATCAAGTACCTGCTGCAGGGGAAACAGAGAAGGAAAACCACAATATACTTGCTTGTCAATACTGAAGATGCCTGTTCAAAAGTGCCAGCCATTAGCACGCCAAAATCTCCTTGCATTATCACTGCGACGAGCATGCTTAATCTTCAAAAATAGCCTGTAAGCTCTCTCAACTTTATTTGAAGCAAGCAGTTTGTTATTCAGTTTGCTACAGATGAGCCTGCTTGGGCAAAAGTCCTTACGCAGAGATTCCTCCATGACAAGGACAGCATTTTCAAGCTGTCCTATGTTGCAAAGTCCGCTAATGACATATTCATAAACTTCCATGTCGGAAGAATAACCACTTTCTTGCATCTCATCCCATATTTTTAACAACGTTCCACATTTACCAAATCTAGAAAGCCGCATCAGCAATAGCTTATAAGCACTCAGTGATACTTTACACCCAACTTTTCTTGCCTTCGTGTATATCATCATTGCAGCATGGGGTGGACCAAACCTACATAAAGGTTCAATAAAAGAAGTTATAGTCCCTGTTGAAGGAACAATCCCTCGACCCAACATCTCATCAAACATTTCAAGAGCATCAGCCACTTTTCGAGCTTTGATCAAACCAGAGATCATTCTTGTGTAAGTATCAATGTTGGGATCGCAATTCTTACTCAGCAAACACCTGTAACACTTCATACACTCATCAAAATTCCCAACTGAAATGAAATTAGAAATCATGGCATTGTGAACATTAGTATCCGGTACACAACCTTTCTCCTCCATGCTACCAAATACCTCAACAGCATCTTCAATCCTGCCAGCTCTTCCTAAACCCTCAAGGAGGTAGCTAAGACTCAAACAATCAGGATTAAAACCATCTTCTTCCATTTCCTCCAAAACCTTCCGCATTTCACTCACTCTACCGAGCTTCGACCACCCACCAACAATCACATTATATGTCATGCCATTATACGGTATCTTCCCCTTCATCGAATTGAAGTATGAATTCGCAGCACCTACATGAGACCTTCTACATAAACATTGCAAAAGCACATTCAAGGACTCCGCATCACGATCAAACCCAAATTCTTCTTCTAAGCTCTCAAACATTTCAATGGCTTTATAAATTCGACGAGCCCTAACTAAACCATCCATAACAATCCACAACGTCTCCAAATTCATGTTCACACCTCCTTCCCTCAACTCACGCAAAAATTTCACCATATAATCAATAAACTTTCTTCTACCTAGTCCTCTAATAAGTACATTGTAACTTTCAACATCCTTACTTATCATAGGCTGCTTAATTGCCCAATTGAAAAAGATAATCATAGCTTCGCCGCCTAAATTCCCTCTGTTAAGCACTTTGGCAACAACATCAAGACTCAAATCCACTCCACATTCTGTCAAAGCACGTTCAATTACAGATGTACCCTTGAGTTTTTGAACAAAAACTCCTCTCAATTTCTCTTCAGGGGATAAAAATCGATCAAAAACGGGTCTGGTTTCGACTTGCTTATTATTCGAACAATCGTTGATGTACGGGTGAGAAATGGGCCGATTGGAAGGGATTGGTAACAAATTAGAGAGCTCATTAAGAACGTAATCCTCGTCGAGATTAGATTGAAGCTTGAAATTATCGTGAGAAGGGGTAAATTGAGGAGAATCTAGGGTCGAAAATGAAATCGATGACCGCGGAAGGTAGGGCAAGCGGTACCTGGTAATTTTGCTGGCGAGAGAGACAAACCCTAGAAAGCTCTGCGGACGAAACGCCATGATACAATGGTGTGAACTGTGAAGGGAAGAGAAATAATTTCTCCTTTTTTGGACAAATATCAGATATACCCCCAGCCTATTAGATTATTATTAATTTGGTACACTAAACTTTTTTTTTATCAATTCTATCTTCAAACTATTTTGATTTTTCAATTTGAAGTTACGTTAGAATCACTTCAAACAAAACATTAATTTTTTTTATAAAAAAATTATATCATTTATTACAAAATAAAAGTATAAGTAAATAAAAATATAGATAAAAAATCTTAAAAATAGATAGAATTTTTTAATTAATTTTTTTGAAAGTAAAATTAATATAAAAAATTATTTGGTGGGAAAATACAAACCACCTAAATATTTTGGATATTTTAGAATATTTTTGAGATTTGACTTCTTTTATTTATTTTTTTTTCTCGAGGGAAGGAAATGGTTTGTGCCAGCTCATACTAGAACTGAATGCTTTAATTATTAGCTTAGTGCTTCAACTTTTGGCCAAAAAAAACTTAATTCCTAATCTTTCAATTACTTAATTTGCCTCTTGCAGTTCTATTCTTGTTGCAATGTTACCTAAAGGTTCCATCAATAATGAACAAAAATTTGCAATGCTATAATATTGTTTTTTTTTTTCTTATAACCGATTTATGAGTAAATTATGAATTAGTTCTTTTATTGTTAAGAAACCAATCAATTGGTCCTAATTGTTAAAAAAATCATTTATTTATTTAATAGTATTGATTATGTTTAATTTAATATTATTTTATTTCTTAAAATGTTATATTTCCTCATCAATTTTTTCATATTATCTATTTATTTATTTTCTTTTTTAAATAAAAAATAAAAATAAAAAATAAAAAATAGCAGGGATTAAATTACAAGAATAGTTAAAAATATAGAAATTAAATAATTATTTTTTTAAAAGAAGGTTAATTAATTTGTTTCTCAAAACTGAAGAAATTTTTTTATAATTTACTCTCGAATTAGCGAGCATGTCTTAAACTTCGAAGTCCACGGCCCTCCACACTCCATACAACATGGTAGGAGGCCCGCTCGAGCAAGTAGTGAAGGCTAACAGTTTCTTGCTATTCTATAGAAAATAAATAAGGAACAGCATTTTTCCAATGCATCAAAGGAACAATTATAAGTGTCATGCAGCCGGTAGAGAGGATAAGGATATCGATTTACCTATCATCTGTTCTTGTAATATCTGTGCACAAATACTGTTCTAATCATGAAGTTACTGTTTCCAGGTCCGGATGTTAGGTTCAGGAAGGCTTGTCCTAGCTGAGGTACAAAATGCTCACCGGATCCTGTCTGAGGCGCTAAATGAAACAGTAACACGGACGTACATATATATAACTTGGAGAACAGATCGGTGAGTTTTTTTTCCTTTTCTTTCTATTCCTCATCACAACTGCAAAAATACCTGTTAGCGTCTAGGCTAGGGTGAAAAATCTTAGTCTCGTAAGTTTCCATGTTAATGAGGCTTGCAATTTAAATATTTTATGGTTTTAATATTTTTGCATAATCTGAAACAAAGTTTTAAATTGCATACACAGTTGAAGAAATAATTACAATCATGAATTATTATAATAATAAAATAATGATTACAACTGTCATATGAGGTAGAATAACGTTAAAAAAGTACTCTGAAATCATCATTATTTAAATCTACGATCTGAAATGCTCAATTGTTTGGTCTTTGTACTCAAAGAACCAGTCTAGAATCATGAAAAGCAGCATTTTATCGACTCTACGACGAAGAGCAAATATACTTCTACTTGAAAACAGACTGAGTTTTCGCTGAATGAGGTTCTTGCCTTTATTCATGGACAAACAAAAATCTTTTACGTAGCTGCAAATGCTGGACACAATTGTGACCAAATTTTGAAATTTGGGCAAAATCATTTGCTATTTGTCCTTTTTACTCGGACAATGGGATCATACAAAAGTAGTTAAAATATTTTCCATCTATCAAATGTATATTTTCCTTTTTACTTCCAAATCTGATCCTACTCATTCCAAGAAGCACCCAACATCTTTGCCATGAAGCTATACCTATCAGCTGCTTCATCGATCTGCAGAACAAGAGCCAAAGGTCAGTAGTCTGTGATGAGGAGCTAGGTGGGTGATTAAAGACCTAAAAATTAATGCAGCAATTACCAATTTTTGAGTTGGGCGGCCAGCTCCGTGTCCAGATTTACAATCAATGCGACCTATTACTGGATTGGTCTGGGGACTATTCTTCAAGCTCGTGCTCAGAAGATATTGCATGGTCTGGGGGGAAAAGTTGGACACATTTTGAGAGAGGGAGCATAAACAAAGTAATAACTTTTTTCTGCTGACTAAATTATTGAAATATCCTGCTTACTTTACAAGCCGAATAAATGATGCATACTATGTATATGTTATACGAGAACCCAACTCAAAGAACAATTAGTATTGAGGGCAGTTGAGGACTTACAGCCAATAACTTCAGGGAGTGTAATGGCACAACTCGGTCGTCATGATCGGCAGTCAACAGCATGGTAGATGGGTACTGAGAAGGTTGTCTAGGATGTTGTTCCCATGGTCTGCGGACATTATGCAATGGCGAATACCTGAGAAAGGAAAACATGAAGGAGAAACAACAAAGCAGTGTCCAGATATCATCAGAGTTTGCTCATTGTAAATAGGCTAATTGGTTATAAACTAACCTGAACTTGCGGTTTGACTGAAAGTTCAGGGTAGTTTTTAACCAATTAGCCTCGTGAGTCGTGAATATGTGTTCATGCCAAGCACATAAGAATGCTTTATGTATTGAAACTCAACATTAAACTAGGCTTATGAGCTCAAAAACCATAGTCTAAAGCACGGTATGGGGTTTCTAAGCAGTCTAAATATGCCGTTACTTTCCATGGAAAAAGCAGTAACGAAGTTGGCAATCACCAAATGAAGCTGGCAAACACCATGCTACAACAGACTAGAAACAAGGGTATTGTAATAAGAAGATTCCACAAGCTTTTTATTCTAAATTCGACTCACTTGATAAGCCAACCGAACTCTTCCTCCTTGTCTGAACAGCCGAAGTCAGAAGTCCATGCATGACCTAAAGAACAAAGTTTAGTAAAAAATCGATAGAAAAAAGTGATCATTGTTAGAGCCAAAGGATGTCAGCTACCTATTGTAAACTTATGAAATCTCAGCATGTCCATAACACCAACATGAGCCAGAGCACAACCGAAAAGATCGGGTCGCTGCCACATAAAATGTGGTAAACACAGTTAATACGGCTAAAATAAGAGGCGAAACTAAAATACAATCAGGCAAATGAATCAACTTTCCACCTGATTTATGCAAGCCCCGACAAGAAGCCCACCGTTGCTTCCACCTTCAATGCACAACTTCTTGGGTTCGGTATAACCAGCAGATACTAGGTATTCAGAAGCAGAAATGAAGTCATCAAAGCAATTCTGCTTTCTGGCAAGTGAGCCTGCTTTATGCCATTCCTCACCGTATTCTCCACCACCACGAATGTTTGCTATGCAGAAAACAGCACCTAAATGCCTTGTCAGTACAATACGACTGACGCTAAATGATGGTGTGATACTAATGTTAAATCCACCATAGGCATATAACAAACATGGATGTGACCCATTCAACTCTATATTCTTCTTGGCCACAATAAACATCGGTATCTTGGTATCATCCTTGCTAGGCACAAAAACCTGGAATTGTAGAACCCAGTCAAGTAGGAAACGTAGACTAGCTTTTGTACACAGAGAGGGATGAAGAATGTACTTGTTAAGTTTAATTTTGTGGAATAAGATCTCATATAAGCAACCAAACTATCAAAGATTATTCCTCTGTCCCTCAGGGAAACTAGCAAAAAATAAGAGATTATTCCTATAAGATGCAAACAGAAAAATTAGTTACCTGATTCACTTCGAACTCAGTGCGATTGAATCCTGGCACACTAATTTCACGAAATACCTTCATATCGGGAACCTCGGAGTTTAGATTGCATTGATATATTATTCCAGGGGTGAGAAAGCTAGTAAACCCAATAAATACTGTATTATCCTTTCGCCTTGCAGATATCCCAGTAACCGAACCAATGTCAATTGGTAATTGATGCAGCAGAGATCCTGTTTTCAAATCCCTTATTTGTAAGACATACTTCACATCACTCAAGTAACAAACGATCATTTTATCACCATTAACGGCAAATGCAGATTCGAGGACATCTTTTTCTGATTCTGGAACAACATCAATCCAACTACTTGGCTCTTTCAAATCAACCCGGACTACTTTATATTTAGGGGCATCTTTGTTAGTTAAGAAAGTAAACACAGTGTCATCACTTGCTATCTCTTGATACTGAGCATCAAAGTTATCGATGAGCTTAATAAATGGGAGCAGGCCGTTTCCTCTCTTAAAACCTTCAAGCCCATCAGAAAATGCAGACGTATCACAATAGTATACTTTGTTCACTGGATCACAATTCTCCGTAATATATAGGACAAGATACTGCAGAATTACATATAAACCGATGTCATCTAGAAAAAAATTCAAACAAAAAAGCTTTCTTCATTCTTTCCATTTTCCAAAACTAAAGTAAATAATTCAGAAAACAAGTATATATCTGAAAATTCACAACATACCTTTCCATCGTCTGTCACACCAGCTCCAAACATGTATTTGGGGTTTTCGGGATCTCTCCAGCATAGTATATCTTCAGATTGATCCGTGCCCACAAAGTGGTAGCATAGCTCATGATAAAGATTTGCATTAGTCTCTGTCCCAGCATCTAAGTCTTCCCCCTTCCTACACAACAAACTCGATTTCATACATTCTAAAAACCAAGAAGATTCAAAGCAATAAGTAATTTCACTTGAAAAAGTAAATGCATACTTGGGAGCTGGGTATCGGCTATAGAAAAACCCCTTGCTGTCATGGGTCCAACTAATACTGGTAAACTTAGCCTGCATAATCAAATAACACCAAAAACAATAAGCTCATAGCCACCATCACAGCCAAAATCAAAATATATCTCAGAATTCAAACAAACTCTCACCCAATTTAAAGTATCAGTCTCAACTATCTTATCCTCAACGCGCATAGCTTTGATTGTAACCCAATCACTCCCACTCGTACTAAGCCCATAAGCCAAGTACTTAGCATCCTCACTAACCGAAAGGGTATTCAATGACACTGTCCCATCCTCACTCAGTCCGTTAGGATCAAACAAAACATCTGGCTCTCCCTCTAAACTATTCTGTCACCAGTGACAAAACAAACATCAGCTTTAAAATTTTCTTGAAAAGAAAACAATGTCATGAAAAAACTTGAATTCTAGCCCATAAAACCTGCACATAGAGGACGTTTTGTGCTTGAAGCCCAGTGTTATGGAAGTAAAAATACTTGTTCCCTCGCTTGAACGGCGTATAATATCGCGGGTGATCAAATAACTTTGTGATTTTCTCACGAAGTTTTTCTCTGGCATCGCATGTCTTTAATACTGATTCGGTCAATTTAACTTGTTCCTGTACGAACTCTTTTACTTCCTCTGCGTCAGGATCTTCTAGCCTGCCACAACACCGAATATACATTAATTTCTCATGCATTCAATTTTTTTTTTTTTTTTTTTGATATTCTCGGGCCAGCTTTTGAACCGAGACCAAGTCAAACTCTTCAGTCCGCTCAAACGTAGGTATTCCCGCTGAGATGGATTAAATATTTAGACAATGAGAAAAGTAGTAATGTAATTACCAGCGATAAGGATCTGCTATTTTTATACCATGGTAATCGTCAATTACAGTGTCGTCTCGGCGAGCGATTGGATATTGTAATGGTCGTTCAACCGCTGGGAGGGAACCCATTGGTCTTGGTCTTGGTCTTGACGAGGAGGGAGTTCGGAATCGAAAAGGTTTCTCTTGGGAGGTTGGTGTATGGTTACGAGAATGGAAGAATAAGAAAAGGCTTGTCCTTTTAATGGGGGGAAGAGTTTGGGGGCAAGGGGTGGGTGAGAATTGCGTGGCGAGGGAATGAGAACATGGTTACGCCATTTTTATTTGGCCGTTTGGTTTGAAAGAGGTGGGAGCTTGAAGATTTTGTGGGGTTTGGTCCATTCTTAAGACATGTTTAGCCTACTATGTTGACATGTTTTTTTTTCGAGAAAATCTTGGAAAAAGGTGTGAGCTTTGAAGATTTTGTGGAGTTTGGTCTATTCTGATGATATGTTTAGTCTACTATGTTGCCATGTTTTTTTTTTCGAGAAAAGGAAAAATAATTTTTTTTTTTTTACTTTATAGACAGCTCCACCTCTTTAATGATGAGCCGGTGCTCCTACGGAAATTGGAAAAAGAAAGAATCCCCTAACTGTCTTGTGAAAAATAGAAGGGTTTGCTCTTAATAGTTTTGTAATTTTACTGTTTTGTCGCATCAAAGCTGGTATTGTATTTTTGACGCATTCAGGAGTTAGATGTCAAAAGTTTATATTTTTGTCATACTCAAATATGAGTAAATTATAATTCTTAATGTTTTGATGATTTTATAATTTATTGTTTCTAGTTTTGAAAATGATAAGTCCAAAGTTGACGGTTGAATCTTTTTGAAATTTATAAAGTATTCGTTTTTAATTTTATACGTGGTAGGTAAAATTAGAAAATTTCATCGGAAATAGGAGGCATTCTAGATGAAAAACCAATAAAGAAACTATTTTTTCTATCTTAAAAAAATTATATATTTTTATTTATATTTATTCTAAAATATTTGTCTCATTAAATTTTTTAGTGTTTTACTTTTCTAAAATATTCATATTTTGTAATGCATGATTAAATTAAATATATTTTTTCCTGAAAAAATATTTTAATGAAATATTGTTAAAAAATACTGATATCACATTATAATTAATAAATTTTTTAAACTGACTAAAAGTTAAAAAAAAAATTATTTTGGAATAGAGAAAGTAAGTTACAAGCATATATGAAAATATAAGGATTTAGTATTTAATTTTTAAACCAATAGGATTAACTAAATATCTCACTAAAAAAAGAGGGATAAAAAAGTAACTTGCTAGAAAAGTACTTTTTAGTCCTTATATGGTCACCCAATTTCATTTAACTTTCCTCGTCCTCAAAGTCAACTTTTTATGCAGCTTTAGGAAACGACATCGTTGAATGAAAAAAATCCTAAAGCTCTTTGGTCCTTGGAATTTCGTTACTGAGCAATCCATGGCTTTCTCCGGCCTCTTGGGCCTCCGCAAGTCTGGTATAACTGGATATTTAGTTCCCAGATCTTTGTATTTGGAATATTTGGTGAATAGAGATAACAAACTTGAAAAAAGTTTCCATATATTTCCAGATATTTGTCTCTTCTCGATGCAATATGTTAATAAAATTAGAAACAAAAAATAAATTACCCATGTCGTTTTTCTTTTGGCTATTTTTTTAAAATATATATATATATATACTCACACACGAAGGCTCTTGATAGAAATAGTACAATCAATCTTTCTATTTAATGCATTATTAATTGAATTTTGATAAACACATATTAAAATATTTTAATTAATTATAAAGTACTATGAAATTTTTATTAACATGAAAAAAGATTTTAAATGTTTTTTTATTATAATTTGGATCTTAAATTCTCTCTCTCTCTCTCTCTTTCTGACACTTAAGTCTTTTTATCTTATTAATCAATTTCAAACAATATTAAATTTACTTAAGAATATACATAACATTAGGTTTACGTGAGAACATACATGTTGTTTATTTAATAATTTCTTAATATTTCTTATAGAATACATGTCATTGTCTTGATGCAGAACGAAAATTTTTTACTATGAATTAAAAAAATTCAAACTTAAATCAAAATTAAGAATTTTTTTCCAATTTGCTAAAAAATTAAGATACTTAAAAGCCAATTAGCAATTAAAAAATAGTACTATATAGTAATGAACAAAATCCGACTGACAACATTTGCTATCCATCCATAAAAGGAGCTTTTCCTAGAATTCCTCCAAAAACCATAGCAACATAAGCAGACCAAAAAATCCACAAGAGAAATGATACTGTCACTCTCTGTAATTGACAATAACACTCCACTCCAGGGCACTAGACACCATTTAGTGGTGTGTTATTATAACAAAATGGAGCGGTACTATCATTTGTTCACAAAAATCCTCCAATGGCTCCCCTCTTTCGAGTTTCAAACCAAACCGCCATGTACCCATTTGCTCGCCACGCGCTCCCCTTAATTTTTTCTCCGTCAATTCTCACCTCCCGCTTTACGCACCGCCTCCAAAATCTCGCTTTACTGAAAATACCTCCCTCCCTCTTATTCTCTACTTCACGTACCCGAAAAACGACCACCTCCGAAAAGAAACCTCTTCAATTCCGAAGTTTGTCCTCATCAAGACAAAAACCAATGGGTTCCCTTTCAGCTCTTGACAAACCCTTACAGTATCCAATCGCTCGCCGAGACGACACTGTAATTGATGATTACCACGGTATAAAAATCGCAGATCCTTATCGATGGTAATTAAATTCTTGCCTAAAAATTGAATCAATTCCGAACAAAAAGTTGAATACATACACGACAAATTAATTAACGTATTGGGTGTATTTTGGCTAGGCAGGCTTGAAGATCCTGATGCGGAGGAGGTGAAAGAGTTCGTGCAGGAGCAAGTAAAGTTGACAGAATCAGTGTTAAGAGAATGCGATACAAGAGAAAAGCTTCGTGAGAAAATCACAAAGTTATTTGATCACCCAAGATATGATGCGCCGTTTAGGCGAGGGAATAAGTATTTTTACTTTCATAATACTGGACTTCAAGCACAAAACGTCCTCTATGTGCAGGTTTTATGAGCTACAAGTCGATTTTTTTCCATGGTTGTTGGTTCTTTTTTTAATTATTTGTGCTGATGCTTCGTGGTTGGTTACAGGATAGTTTAGAGGGAAAGCCAGAAGTTTTGCTTGATCCAAATGGGCTAAGTGAGGATGGGACGGTGTCGTTGAATTCTAGTACGTTTTCGGTTAGTGAGGATGCCAAGCACTTGGCTTATGGACTGAGTTCGAGCGGGAGTGACTGGGTTACAATTAAAGTTATGCGTGTTGAGGATAAGATAGTTGAGGCTGATACTTTAATTTGGGTAAGACATTGTTTTCAATTCCGAGATAGATTTTGATTTTGGTTGTATTGGTGGCTATGAGCTTATTGTTTTTATGTTATTTGATGATGCAGGCTAAGTTTACCGTTATTAGTTGGACGCATGACGGCAAAGGGTTTTTCTATTGCCGTTATCCAACTCCTGAGTATGTAATCATTTTTCTATGTCGCTTTCATTTTACGTGACATGCTGGTTGAGTGTAGCTGATTTAGACATAACAGGGTCGAGTGATATTTCGGGAATTCTATTTGACTAGAAAGAGTAACTAGATTGTATTTCAGTTATATGTAATTTGAGAAGAACGAAGAATGAATCCGTTGAATGATTTCGAGTTACAGATTGTTTGATCAATATTGGTAGATAATGTTGTGCATTATTTATTGAACCTTCTTAGTCTTTAGATTGAAAAAGAAATGGATTTCTGATGCAGAGAGGGAGAAAACTTGGATGCTGGGACAGAGACTAATTCTAATCTTTATCATGAGCTATACTACCATTTCTTGGGCACGGATCAATCTGAAGATATATTATGCTGGAGAGATCCTGAAAACCCCAAATACCTGTTTGGAGCTGGTGTGACAGATGATGGAAAGGTATATTGTGAATGTTTATTTATATATATTTGTTTTCTGAATTCTTTACTTTATTTTTGGCATATGACTAGAATGAAGAAAGCTTTTTTGTATGAAGTTCGTCCAAGATGACACCATTTTATATGTTACTCTGCAGTATCTTCTCTTATATATCAATGAGAGCTGCGATCCTGTCAACAAAGTATACTACTGTGATATGTCTGCATTTTCTGACGGTCTTGAAGGTTTTAAAGTAGGAAATAGCCTGCTCCCATTTGTTAAGCTTATTGATAACTTTGATGCACAGTATCATGCGATTGCAAATGATGGCACATTGTTTACTTTTTTGACTAATAAAGATGCCCCTAAATATAAAATAGTCAGGGTAGATTTGAAGGAGCCAAATAGTTGGATAGATGTGGTTCCAGAATCTGAAAGAGATGTCCTCGAATCAGCATCTGCTGTTCATGGTGATAAAATGATTCTGAGTTACTTGAGTGATGTGAAGCATGTTCTACAAATAAGGGATTTGAAAACAGGATCTCTGCTGCATCAGTTACCAATTGACATTGGCTCAGTTACTGGGATATCTGCTCGGCGACAGGATCATACAGTATTTATTGAGTTTACTAGCTTTCTCACCCCTCGTATAATATATCAATGCAATTTAGACACCGAAGTTCCGGATATGAAGATATTTCGTGAAATTATTGTCCCAGGATTTGATCGTACAGAGTTCCATGTGGATCAGGTGACTATTTTCTGTTTACATTTTTGCAGCGTTAAATAGCGTTTTGATATTATCACTAGATTAATTTAAAGTTTAAATTACAAAATGTCCTCTAGGAATAATCATTTTTCTTTTTGTTACTAGTGTCCAAAATGGGACAGAGGAATAATCTTTGATAGTTTCTACATTGTTCTATTCAGTTGATGTTCTCTCTTGCTTACTCCTTTCCTTCTTATTGTAGCACTTAGGTGATGTCTTTTTCCTCAAAATTAAATTTAACAGATTCATCCTTGCCACCCTTTCCGTGAACAAAAGTTGGTCTTCGTTTCCTACTTGACTGGCTTCTTTGATTTCAGGTTTTTGTGACTAGCAAGGATGATACCAAGGTACCGATGTTTATTGTAGCGAGGAAGAATATAAAGTTGGATGGGTCACACCCCTGTTTGTTATATGGGTATGGGGGATTTAATGTTAATATTACACCGTCATTTAGTGTCAGTCGTATGGTACTGCCAAGGCATTTAGGTGCTGTTTTCTGCATTGCAAACATTCGTGGTGGTGGAGAATATGGTGAGGAATGGCATAAAGCAGGCTCACTTGCCAGAAAGCAGAATTGCTTTGATGACTTCATTTCTGCTTCTGAATACCTTGTATCTAATGGTTATACCCAACCCAAGAAGTTGTGCATTGAAGGTGGAAGCAACGGTGGGCTACTTGTTGGGGCTTGCATAAATCAGGTGGAAAGCTGATTCATTTGCACAATTGTATTTTAGTTTTATTTTCTATTAAGTGTTTTTATCACATTGTGTGTGGCAGCGACCTGATCTCTTTGGTTGTGCGTTGGCTCATGTTGGTGTTATGGACATGCTGCGATTTCACAAGTTCACTATAGGTAGCTGACTTCTTATGGCTCTATTAAGTAATAGCCATCATTTTTATATTGATTTTTTTTACTGAACTTTGTTCTTTAGGTCATGCATGGACTTCTGACTATGGCTGTTCAGACAAGAAGGAAGAGTTTGATTGGCTAATCAAGTGAGTTGAACTTAATATAAGAATCTAGCGGCATCTTCTTATTCTAAAAGCTTTGTTTACAAATGATTTTGTTCAAAAGTCTAGGTCCAACACTGCAAGGTTGGATCCATAAAAACTGCCTGCCATCTAGAAACCACCGGTGGCAGCAGCACAAATTAGATGTTCTTGCTAATCATCACTAAATCAAACTATATTTTTCCCAGTTTCATTGCCAACTTTTTTCATGTGAATCGCAATGATGGTGATGATTGCAAACTTCAATACTACTATTTCCATTAAACTACCACCTCCAATCCAATGACATCCGTTCATCAACTTAACTCAGGCAATATATAGCATCTTAAAGTTTGTTTGTCTTTAATGAACTTTTTTTGTAAGCTGAATTATCTACTTGGCATCATAACATCTCTTTAGTCTTGCATCTAGATACTGGATTTTGTTTTGACCTTCATGTTTTCCTTTCTCAGGTACTCGCCACTGCATAATGTCCACAGACCATGGGAGCTACACTCTGAAGAACCTTCTCAATACCCTCCAACTATGCTTTTGACTGCTGATCATGATGATCGAGTCGTGCCATTACACTCTCTGAAGCTGTTGGCTGTAAGTTCTCAAATAGTATATATTTATTAAGTTGGGTTTGTCATATATCTTTAACCTTCGTTATCATCTTGGTTGCATCTGCATTCATTTATACGTCCCTCTCTCAAAATCAGTCCAACTTGTTTCCTCAGACCATGCAGTATACTTTGTGCACGAGTTTGGAGAATAGTCCTCAGACAAATCCAATAATAGGTCGCATTGAGTGTAAGGCTGGACATGGAGCTGGACGCCCAACTCAGAAAATGGTAATTGCTGCATTAATTTTTAGCTCTTTAATCACCTACCAAGCTCCTGATCACAGACTACTGACATTTGGCTCTTGTTCTGCAGATCGATGAAGCAGCTGATAGGTATAGCTTCATGGCAAAGATGTTGGGTGCTTCTTGGAATGAGTAGGACCAGATTTGGACGTAAAGGACAATATACATTTGATAGATAGAAAATTCTCTTGTTTGCCATTGTTCGAGTACAAGCAGTTGATTGTGGCCATTTTTTGCAGCTACTTAAAAGTTTTTTTTTTTTTCAAAAAAAAAAAAACTGAAAGATATAAATGAATATTTATTACCTAAAAAAGACATCCATTATCTAAATCAATTATGCCCTTTATGCGGAAATAATCTGTTTTGCAACTGTTACATTTTAATTTCTAGTTACTGTTCGTATTCGCATAGAAAGGGCTGCCTTTTGTACAAGGAGAGAGTGGGTGACTCTTCTATGCTATGTATGGCGAAATGGAACTGTAAACTCGCATGAGATGACCTTTCCATGTTGCATGGATGGGGACACAATCAAATAGACCCAAACTCTGCGAATCGGAAACGGGCCATACTTTTTTTTTTTTTTACTTTATAGACAGCTCCACCTCTTTTATGATGAGCCGGTGCTCCTGCGGAAATTGGAAAAAGAAGGAATCCCTAACCGTGTTGTGAAATATAGAAGGGTTTTGCTCTAAATAGTTTTGTAATTTTACTGTATTGTCGGGTCAAAGCTGGTATTGTAGTTTTGACACGTTCAGGAGTTAGATGTCAAAAGTTTATATTTTTGTCATACTCAAATATGAGTAAAATATGATTCTTAATGTTTTTGATGATTTTATAAGTTAATGTTTCTAGTTTTGAAAATGATAAGTCCAATTAAATAAAGTTGACGGTTGAATCTTTTTGAAATTATAAAGTATTCGTTTTTAATTTTACATGTAGTAGGTAAAATTAGAAAATTTTATCGTAAATAAGAGGCATTTTAGATGAAAAACTAATAAAAGAACTACTTTCTCAGGAAATAAGAGGCATTCTAGATGAAAACCCAATAAAAAAACTACTCTCTCAGTCTTAAAAAAAAGTATTTTTATATTTATTTTTATTCTAAAATATTTGTCTAACTAAAGTTTTTAATACTGTACTTTTTAAAAATATTTATATTTTATAATGTATGATTAAATTGAATATTTTTTTCTTAAAAAAAATATTTCAATGAAATATTATTAAAAAAAACTGAAATCACATTATAATTAATAAATTTTTAAACTCGTGAAAAGTAAAAAAAATAAAATATATTTTGGAACAGAGGAAGTAAGTTACAAGCATATATGAAAATATAAGGATTTAATATTCATTTTTTTAAACCAAAAGGATTAACTAAGCATCTCACTAAAAAAAGAGGGATCAAAAAGTAACTTGCTAAAAAAGTACTTTTTAGTCCTTATATGGTCACCTAATTTCATTTAACTTTCCTTGCACACAGACTCAACTTTTTATGCAGCCTTATGAAAACGACATCGTTGAATGCAATAATCCTAAAGCTCTTTGGTCCTTGGAACTTCGTTACTGAACAATCCATGGCTTTCTCCGGCCTCTTGGGCCTCCACAAGTCTGGTATAACTGGATATTTAGTTCCCAGATCTTTATATTTGGAATATTTGATGAATAGAGATAGCAACCTTAGTTCGATGTGTAAAATTAGATGAAAAAAAGTTTCCATATATTTCCAAATATTTGTCTCTTCTCGATACAATATGTTTGTAAAATTAGAAACAAAAAAGAAATTACCCATTTTGTTTTTCTTTTGGCTATATCATAAATCTTACTAAGTAAAAACTACACCAAAAATATAGTAAATTAGTGATGATTAAAAACAATTGATGAAAATAGTAAAACCAATCCTTCTATTTAATGCAATATTAATTGAATTTTGATAAGCACGTATTAAAATATTTTAATTGGTTATAAAGTACAACGGACTTTTTATTAACTTGAAAAAAGATTTTAAACTTTTTTTTAGTTGTAATTTGGATCTTAAATTCTCTGTTTTTTTTTTTTTTTTTTTTTACACTTAAATCTTTTCATCTCTTTTTTTACACTTAAATCTTTTTATCTCGTTAATTAATTTTAAATGACATTAAATTTACATGAAAACATATATGTTGTTGTTTTAATAGTTTATGTATATAGAATTAAAACCAATCCTTCTATTTAATACAATATTAATTGAATTTTGATAAACCCATATTCAAATATTTTAATTGATTATAAAGTACTATGAACTTTTTATTAACATGAAAAAAGATTTTAATTTTTTTTATTGTAATTTGGATCTTAAATTCTTCTCTCTTTTTTTTTTTTTTTTTTTACACTTAAGTCTTTTCATCTCTTTAATTAATTTCAAATGACATTAAATTTACGTGTGAAATCATACGTGTCATTGTTTTAATAATTTACGTATATAGAAGTATCTCATATAGAACACATGTCGTTGTTTTGATTTGTTTTTTAAAATTGATTAATAGAAAAAAACACTTTATTACGAATAAAAAAATTCAAATGTAAATCAAAATAAAAAACATTAAGAAATTTTTTTCCAATTTGCCAAAAATTAATGTACGTATTAGCCAATTAGCAATTATAAAGAAGTACTATACTACATTTTTTGCCCACACTACGCTGCGGGTAGGATAAAATAAATAAAACCATTTAAAAAAATTATTTTAATTTGATAGTTTGTTTTATTGTGTGAATGTATAAAAATATATGAAATCAAAGGCAAAAAATATTTTAAAATTTTTAATGTAATTTGAAATTTAATGGATGAGAATTTTTTAAAAATGACAAATTAAAGTAGTAAATTTTAAATAATAAAAATAATCAATAAAAAAATACTAAAACATAATGGGATCGAACCACAATACAATTAAAGTTTGAAATAAAAAAAATATAATTTTAAATTAATTGGATGAGAAAAGAATGAATAATATTAAAATAAATAAAAACTATTATTAAATGTAATTTTAAATTAATTAGATGAGAATTTAAAAAAAATGACAAATTAAAATTATCGATTTTAAAAAATAAATAAATAAATAAAACAAATGAGCTAAATCACAATACAATTAAATTTTAAAATTTTAAAAAACAATTGTATAGAAAATATATATAAAGAAAAAAAGACACATACACCTAATACACACACGCATAAGCACATAATTTATTGTATACATTATAATAATATATTTTAAAAAATAAAACACTGATTTTATAAAATTTTAATTCAAAATTCATGTATGAAAAAACTAAATTTATTAACAAATAAAATTATATTAAAAAATTAATTTTATGAGAATTTTAATAAAATATAAAGAATTGAAAAAAAATAAACAACAAAAAAAATATATATATATATATATATATATATATATGGGGTGTATGTGTGTGTGTGTGTGTGTGTGTGTTTTGGAGGGGGGTGGGGGGCTTGGTTGCAAGCCAAGCAGGATAGCCGCCTGGTTGGCTTGTGCAACCAGGTTGCAGATTTATATTCTTTAAAAAAAAATAGGAGGTGGGGAGGCCAAGTGTTGGCTTGTGCTGCTCTTGCGCGCTTGGCAGGCCCCCGCCATGCTTGTCGACAAAAAAATGAAAAAAAATCCTGCAACTTTTGATGAATTCGAGGTGGTCGAAAACTTAAAAGGTTAACTTTCATATTTCTAGAAATTAAATTCTGACATCATTTTTTTTTTAAATACTTTTAAATGATCGAAATAAAGTTAATAAATACATCTAAAACCTTAAAAATTATTTTAATACATACAAAAATAAAGAAAAATACAAAATCAATATATATATATATATATTTTTTACTTTTTAGGCTCCGATCTACCTACTCTAATTGTTTAATGGCTTGAAACCATCATGGATAAGCTCATCTCTCAAACATAAAAAAATCTAATAGATTTTCGTCGATCAAAGTGACGTAAATGAGCTTGGCCGATTATCTTTCTCTCTCTTCTTCTCAGCCTTTTTTTTCATTCAGGGATCAAAATAGATGAATAAATTAATATGTGAATCGAAATATAAATTCCAAAATATCAAAGATTAAAGTATAAAAAAATTATAAATAGTGAAAATAAAGTAAATTACGAGAGAATGAATAATAAAATATGAGTATACGTATAATGTTTTAAATAGTACAGCTATAATATTTGATCACCCAAGATATGATTCGCCGTTTAAGCGAGGGAATAAGTATTTTTACTTTCATAATACTGGACTTCAAGCACAAAACGTCCTCTATGTGCAGGTTTTATGAGCTACAAGTCGATTTTTTTCAATGGTTTTTCGTTCTTTTTTGTTTAAATTATTTGTGCTGATGCTTTGTGGTTGGTTACAGGATAGTTTAAAGGGAAAGCCAGAGGTTTTGATTGATCCAAATGGGCTAAGTGAGGATGGGACGGTGTCGTTGGATTCTACTACGTTTTCTGTTAGCGAGGATGCCAAGCACTTGGCTTATGGACTGAGTTCGAGCGGGAGTGATGGGTTACAATTAAAGTTATGCGTGTTGAGGATAAGATAGTTGAGGCTGATACTTTAAATTGGGTAAGACATTGTTTCAATTCTGAGATAAATTTTGATTTTGGTTGTATTGGTGGCTATGAGCTTATTGTCTTTATGTGATTTGATGATGCAGGCTAAGTTTACCGTTATTAGTTGGACGCATGACGGCAAAGGGTTTTTCTATTGCCGTTATCCAACTCCTGCGTATGTAATCATTTTTATATGTCGCTTTCATTTTAATTGACATGCTGCTTGAGTGTAGCTGATTTAGACATAACAGGGTCGGGTGATATTTCGGGAATTCTATTTGATTAGAAAGAGTAACTAGATTGTATTTTAAGTTATTTGTAATTTGAGAAGAACGAAGAATGAATCCGTTGAATGATTACAAGTTACAGATTGTTTGATCAATATTGGTAGATAATGTTGTGCATTATATATTGAACCTTCTTAGTCTTTAGATTGAAAAAGAAATGAATTTATTATGCAGAGAGGGAGAAAACTTGGATGCTGGGACAGAGACTAATTCTAATCTTTATCATGAGCTATACTACCATTTCTTGGGTACCGATCAATCTGAAGATATATTATGCTGGAGAGATCCTGAAAACCCCAAATATATGTTTGGAGCTGGTGTGACAGATGATGGAAAGGTATGTTGTGAATGTTAATATATATATTTGTTTTCTGAATTCTTTACTTTATTTTTGGCACACGACTAGAATGAAGAAAGCTTTTTTGTATGAAGTTCTTCCAAGATGACACCATTTTATATGTTATTCTGCAGTATCTTCTCTTATATATCAGCGAGAGCTGCGATCCTGTCAACAAAGTATACTACTGTGATATGTCTGCATTTTCTGACAGTCTTGAAGGTTTTAAAGGAGGAAATAGCCTGCTTCCATTTACTAAGCTTATTGATAACTTTGATGCACGGTATCGTGCAATTGCAAATGACGGCACATTGTTTACTTTTTTGACTAATAAAGATGCCTCTAAATATAAAATAGTCAGGGTAGATTTGAAGGAGCCAAATAGTTGGATAGATGTGGTTCCAGAATCTGAAAAAGATGTCCTTGAATCAGCATCTGCTGTTCATGGTGATAAAATGATTCTGCGTTACTTGAGTGATGTGAAGCATGTTCTACAAATAAGGGATTTGAAAACAGGATCTCTGCTGCATCAGTTACCAATTGACATTGGCTCAGTTACTGGGATATCTGCTCGGTGACAGGATCATACAGTATTTATTGAGTTTACTAGCTTTCTCACCCCTCATATAATATATCAATGCAATTTAGACACCGAAGTTCCGGATATGAAGATATTTTGTGAAATTATTGTCCCAGGATTTGATCGTACAGAGTTCCATATGGATCAGGTGACTATTTGCTGTTTACCTTTTTGCAGCATTAAATAGCCTTTTGATATTATCACTAGATTAATTTAAAGTTTAAATTACAAAATGTTCTCTAGGAATAATCATTTTTCTTTTTTTACTAGTGTCCATAATGGGGCAGAGGAATAATCTTTGATAGTTTATACATTGTTCTATTCAGTTGATGCTCTCTCTTGCTTACACCTTTCCTTCTTATTGTAGCACTTAAGTGATACCTTTTTCCTCAAAATTAAATTTAAAAGATTCATCCTTGCTGCCCTCTCCGTGTACAAAAGTTGGTCTTCGTTTCCTACTTGACTGGGTTCTTTGATTTCAGGTTTTTGTGACTAGCAAGGATGATACCAAGATACCGATGTTTATTGTAGCGAGGAAGAATATAAAGTTGGATGGGTCACACCCATGTTTGTTATATGGGTATGGGGGATTTAATAATAATGTTACACCGTTATTTAGTGTCAATCGTACAGTACTGACAAGGCATTTAGGTGTTGTTTTCTGCATTGCAAACATTCGAGGTGGTGGAGAATATGGTGAAGAATGGTATAAAGCAGGCTCACTTGCCAGAAAGCAGAATTGCTTTGATGACTTCATTTCTGCTTCTGAATACCTTGTATCTAATGGTTATACCCAACCCAAGAAGTTGTGATTGAGGTGGAAGCAACGGTGGGCTACTTGTTGGGGCTTGCATAAATCAGGTGGAAAGCTGATTCATTTGCACAATTGTATTTTAGTTTTATCTTCTATTAAGCACGTTTATCACATTGTGTGTGGCAGCGACCTGATCTCTTTGGTTGTGCTTTGGCTCATGTTGGTGTTATGGACATGCTGCGATTTCACAAGTTCACTATAGGTAGCTGACTTCTTATGGCTCTAATAAGTAATAGCCATCATTTTTATATTGATTTTTTTTACTGAACTTTGTTCTTTAGGTCATGCATGGACTTCTGACTATGGCTGTTCAGACAAGAAGGAAGAATTCGATTGGCTAATCAAGTGAGTTGAACTTAATATAAGAATCTAGTGGCATCTTCTTACTCTAAAAGCTTTGTTTACAAATGATTTTGTTCAAAAGTCTAGGTCCAACACTGCAAGGTTTGATCCATAAAAATTACCTGTCTTCTAGAAACCACCGGTGGCAACAGCACAAATTAGATGTTCTTGCTTATCATCAATAAATCAAACTATATTTTTGCCAACTTTTTTCAAGTGAATCGCAATGATGGCGATGGTTGCAAACTTAAATACTACTATTTCCATGAAACTACCACCTCCGATTACATCCGTTCAGCAACTTAACTCAGGCAATATATAGCATCTTAAAGTTTGTTTGTCTTTAATGAACTTTTTTGGTAAGCTGAATTATCTATTTGGCATCATAACATCTCTTTAGTCTTGCATCTGGATACTGCATTTTTTTTGACCTTCATGTTTTCCTTTCTCAGGTACTCTCCACTACATAATGTCCGTAGACCATGGGAACTACACTCTGAAGAGCCTTCTCAGTACCCTCCAACCATGCTTTTGACTGCCGATCATGATGATCGAGTTGTGCCATTACACACGCTGAAGCTGTTGGCTGTAAGTTCTCAAATAGTTGGGTTATCATACATCTTTATCTTTCATTATCATCTTGGTTGCATCTGCATGCATTCATTTATTATACGTCCCTTCTCAAAATCAGTCCAACTTGTTTCTTTAGGCCATGCAATATACCTTGTGCACGAGTTTGGAGAATAGTCCTCAGACAAACCCAATAATAGGTCGCGTTGATTGTAAGGCTGGACATGGTGGCCGCCCAACTCAAAAACTGGTAATTGCTGCATTAATTTTTACGTCTTTTATCACCTACCTGGCTCCTCATTAAGGACTACTGACATTTGGCTTTTGTTCTGCAGTTCGATGATGCAGCTGATAGGTATAGCTTCATGGCAAAGATGTTGGATGCTTCTTGGAATGAGTAGGATCAGATTTGGAAGTAAAGGAAAATATACATTTGATAGATAGAAAATTCTCTTGTTTGCCATTGTTATAGTACTAGCAGTTGATAGTGGCCATTATTTGCAGCTACGTAAAAGGTTTTTTTTAAAAAAATCAAAGTCTGGAAGATATAAATGAATATTCATTACCTGAAAAAGACATCCATTCTCTAAATCAATTATGCTTTTATGCGGAAATAATCGGTTTTGCAACAGTTACATTTTAATTTCTAGTTACTATTCATACTCGCATGGAAAGGGCTGCTTTTTCCATAAGGAGAGAGTGGGTGACTCTTCTATGCTATGTATGGCGAAATGGAAAGGTAAACTCGCATGAGATGACCTTTCCATGTTTCATGGACGGGGACACAATCAAATAGATCCAAACTCGGCCGATATTCATAGCTTGGAGAAAAAAGTCCAAAATATAGCGAATCAGAAACGGGCAATTCAAAACTTCTAAATAGAGGTAGAAACTTATTCAGCCAAAAAACAGTCCATTTTCACGTCGGTAACATCTAGTTGTAGTATCTCTGCTCTGCATCTTAGAATTGATCCAATGCTGCAAAGACAAGAATTTGTTTTAAATTGACCAGAAAAAAAAAACAAAAAAAAGAAAGAAACAAGCTCAAAAACAAGTAAATTATAAGTTAGTCCCTCTATTTTTGAGAAATAAATCAATTAATTTTTTTTATTTCAAAAACTAACTATTTAGTCTATTGACTGTATGGGTGAGCATTCTTTGTTTTAAACTAAAAAACCGAATCAAAATACTGTCTGGCCTTTTTTATTCAAATTTACTTTAAAAAAAAACGAATTTATAAAAGATTTCAGTTCGATTGTCTAAATTTGGTGTCAACCAAGATCTACATTTATATTAAAATTGGGCTTATATAATAAATAAGAAAACCTAACAAAACTACAAACTATCAAGCCCAAAAAGCCTACAAATTATGACAACAAGAAATTGAAAAACTCCAAGAAGGATCATGAACTATGAAACCCAAGAGCCCACGGCTTCATGGCCACGAGTAGTTAAAGGTGAAGTCTAGCTTTATTTATAAGCAAACACTCATACCTTAAAACTAAAACTAGGCATAGTTGAAAAAAGTGAACCCACAATCACACATCGAAACACTACACTTTATTTATAATTTTAAAGACTTATAAATAGATATTTCACTTTTAAAATCTAACAACCTAACAACAAATCTTGAGAATTTCTCCAATAGTTCAAAATAGTTTTTGAACTTCAGTATTTTAATATTATTATTTGCAACTTCAGTTTACATCGAAAAACCAAAAATTTAAACTAAAATATTTGGAACCGAAATTTGAAAACCAAATAATTATTCAATTCGATTCAGTTTTTATTTTATTGTGTTCAATTAACCAAAAACCAAATAAAAATTGTTTAAAACTAAATCAAAAAATCATTTGCTCACCCTTACTTAATTGTGTTGGTTATACTTAATTTAATATTATTTTATTTTAAAAAATAACAACTTTTCTCATCAATACTTTCACATGTTTTTACTAAAATTTTTATTTAAAAAATCAAAATAAATTGAAAAGGAACAAAAAATATTAAATTACAAGTAAATTTAAAATATATAAACCAAGTAATTGGTTTTTGAAACAAGAAAAACTAGTTATTTTATTTCTTGAAACAAGAGGAATTGAATTATAAACTCCTTAGAAACAAAACCCTTTTCGATTTAACTTTTTTAGGTTCTTTGAAAACTCAAGAGTCAATTAATCAACAAATTCAATTACTCTAGTCTATTTCATTGGGGCCAAGGTAAACAAATTTTAGACGGAAAAGGTCAAGCACATAAAAAACATCTAGTTTGAAAAACATAGTTAGCATGGTCAGCAAACGGTTATTTGATTTGATTTTGAATAATTTCGATTTGATTTTTGATTAAACAAATACAATAAAATCAAAATCAAAACGAACTAAATAATAATTTAATTTTCAAATTTTGGTTCTAAATATTTTGGTTTTTTGAATAATAATCTTAAAATACCAAAGTACAAGAATCATTTTGAACCACTAGAGAATTCTCACGCCAAATCGAGAGAAAATAAGACTTACAATTTTTTATCTTTTTTATAAGATACTTTAACCATTGCAAATTTATAGTTTTTCGATGTGAAATTTCCTTTTTAAGTTGTTAGATTTTAGAAGTGAGATGACTATTTATAAGCTTTTAAAACTCTAAATAAAATATAGTCTTTTGATGTAGAATTGTAAGTTCATTAACTCATTTTTTTAACTATGCTTACGATTCCTATCACTTAACTTTAGTTTTGAGACGTGATTGTTGATTTACAAATAAAACTAGACTTCACTTTCAACTACTTGTGGATTGTGGCCAGAAACCATAAGCAATTGGATTTTATACTTCGTGGCCCTTCTATGTTTCTTGGAGCTTTTCCATTTCTTGTGGCCATAATTTATGGGTTTTTTAAACTTGATAATTCATAACTCTGCTGGGTTTTTTTTATTTATTATATAAGCTCAATTTTAATATAAATAAATTTAAATTAAATGTGGATTTTGGTTTTCAATGGACACCTAATTTAAAATTTTAAAAATCAAACCAAAACCAAAAACCATTATAAATTTGATTCAGCTTTTTTAAAATAAAATTGGATAAAAAAACTAGAACAAGATGAGTATTTCGATTCGGTTCGGTTTTTTAGTTTAAACCAAAGAATGCTTATCCCTAGTGGCCAATGTGGTTATCAGCTCTACTCTAGCGCAGACTATAAGGCAATTGGAAAACCAAGAAGCTAGATCCAGTCACAGCGGCAGGGTGGCAAATATTGCAAGCACTTTTATTTAAATGTTATATTTTACTGTCCCCATCTATTGAGAGAAATATTATTACACCTATAGCTCCGGTAAGTTGAATACTTAAGTAAAGAGCATTGGGATAGCAGTGCGGTTCTAAATTAAATATGGAAGCTGTGCCAGTCTGCCTATAACAACCAAGCCACCAAATATGAAATTAACGAAATTTCTCAAAGTAACCTAGGCATCATTTCCACGAGTAAGGTCATCACTATATAAGTTTATGAGACTGTAGTAGAAGCTTTCTTTAGCAGCAATGGTAGATGAAATGATAAATTGTTTGTTTTTCATACCTTGGATGCGTACGTCCTAGATCCCCGTGAACAAATTCTTTTATATATGTGCCAGCCTGTGATTCAAGCATCATCGTTATTAAATATTATATTTAGAGGATCATGTCTCCATCTCTAATACCAATCTACCACAATCTGCAGTGTTTTATTCCTAGTTTCATTATCACTAAGAAAGCAAACACCTCAAAACTCTGGTAGAATGGTATTTCGAAAGAGAATTATGCATCTCGGGATATGGTTTCAGTTATTTTACCTGGGTACATAAATGCAAAAGAAAATATTGAGAGCTTCCAGCAATCTGCTCAATTTTCATCCTTAGGAAAAGAGAGGAGATAAACTATTAGCCATTATGAATGTAAACACAAAGATAAACAGAAAATAACAAAATGCTATGCAACGGGAGAGACTCCAACCAATGTATAATCTTTCTGCGTTCTAGCGGACTCCGGCGGTGAAGCACCCTTACTGGGGTCCTCTGCAAAATTTGCTGCCCAAGAATAAGAAGAACCAAATAATTGAGCACATCAGGTGAATAAAAAGAAATCTCCTTCAAAGACATGGCAAAACAATCAAGACTAAAAATATGCAAATACAAAACTTGACTGATGGAAAGGTTCATAAACAATTATTAAAAGCTTCAGTAAAATACAAAACAAAGATCCCATAAAACTTACCAAATCTTTGTGCGAAGCTATACAATGTGAGTCTTCATCCTCAAGTGATCGTGAAATCCATACCAGTGCACAGTATTGCTTCTATATGAAAAATACAGGTGATACTAATGGGATTCAATTTTCTAAATATATCTAACACTTTTATCTCAAATCATATTGCACAAAGAATCAAAGTCAGATACAAAAGCCAAAAGGGAGAGAAAAAACCTGTTTTTCTGCTTCCCCTTCACGCATTAAGTCCCAGCTATGACTGGTTACTAGACTAAGATTTTTCAACCCAACCTACAGCATAACATAAGATGTGGAATAACACGAAAAATGACGAAAGAAAAGGGGGAGGGCAAACACAGATTTGGTAATAAGCTCACCGATTTATTCTCCAAGTTATTTATCTTTGTTTCTGTTTCCTTTACAAGAGCCTCAGATGGAACATGGCGTGCATTTTGTACCTCTAACAGAAAAGGCCTGCCCGAACCCAACATCCGAACCTGGGAACAGTAGCTTCATAGATCAGAACAATATCTGTTGAAATGCAAGTGCAAAATTACAAGAGCAGATCTTAGGTACATCGATATCCTCTCTGCCAGCAGCATGAAACTTGTAACTGTCACCTTGACACATTGGAAGAATGCTGCCACCTATTATCTCCTACAGAATAGCAGAAGAACTGTTAGCTCTCGCTCATCATTTCATACTAACAAATATAAGGATGTTAATGTCCTTTGGCAGAAGTAGGCAGTACTTCGATGGATGCTTCTCCCATCCTTTCATCATCAATGATCCAACGCGTTTGACTCACATTTCTAGAGAACTGCAATATGTAAAGCAATCATGTGATTACACATAAATTAATGATAAATCAGCATAACTGATGATTTTTCATGTCAAACATTGTACCTTAAATAGAATATTTCATCTTGACACGTTTCACATACCCTACAATATCATGTAAAGTCCTTCTGATTACAATAGTGGCATCACAATGTATCATGCAATAGTAACTCAAAATGGTGACATGAGAACTTCCTAGCTCATTCCGTTTCCTTGTTAATATATGTAAGATTGACTTTTCAGCTCATCAATTTCTCATGCTCCACATGGCTAACCGTAAAAGGCGTATAACTTATTTAAGATGTCCTGTCATCCTCACCGGTGCAAATGATCATTTCCTTAAAAGCAATATAAAAAAGTTTCCTTCAGTAACTCACATTACTGAGATGCTCGGTTTAGTCCTTCTAATAAAAATTTCCAATAACAGTCAAACTAACCTTCAGATATCTCCCACCAAAATAGATAGGTGTCCTGTAGCATAGGAAAACCAAGCAGCATGGTTCATTGACCTGGAAAGACAGAATACCCATGACCAATAATAAGCACCAGCATATCTAAGACAACAATAGAAGAAAATTTAACCTAGTTCACAAAGCCAATAAATTCTACCACAGAATATTCTGAAATGACATGCACAGAGTGAAATTTTCCTTGTTCACAAAGACAATAAATTCTACCACAAAATATTCTGAAATGACATGCACAGGTGAAATTGCTAAAAAGTTTAGTAATTAAAAATAAAATATACTGCTAAGGATTTCAATGTTGCGCTTGCAAACACGAAGGTGCAAGGTCCAAGACTATAAAGCAGCCATCTCATGCAAAAATGCTGAAGGATAGGCCTTTCTCCGAATTATCTACATATCTCATTCTGGTCAGATGAGGTAACACCAATTTTTCACTTGAGATTTTAACAACCACAAATTTCAAAATTCAGTGCATAGAAGTTTCAATACCATTAAATTGACAATGGGCAAGCAGTCAGACCAAATTCCCATTCAAGTACAGACTGCAGGATAAAGTTGGGGGGGGGGGGGGTGGGGTTTTGTGGTGGTGGTGGTGGAAGCATTACCCTCTCCAGAGGAAAGTTGGAGCATTCAGAAGATTCATGTTCTGCCAAACCATCACGAGACTTTCCAGTGACGGGACTTCCTTGGCCCAATGATATATCACAACAATCAGTGCCATCCCCCACTGACTCAACATTAACTGTGTCCAAACCATCATTTGTGCCTGCATAAACTGATCAAGTTACATGAGCATCTAAAACTCAACTAATAGATTGACAAGAAAAATGAAGCTTATAAATTGAACTGTCAAAAACAGCAATGCTTTTGAAAGTGTAGAATTTATAGAATATCAGTTCAGACACCAAATTTCTGCATATGCATTAAGCATGCAAGCATGTCATATTGCATGAATATAGAAATTCTAAAAGAGTTGATGTAAAAAAGTGTTGAACTTATTAATCCAAGAGCTAAAATTCTCTGAAAAGCATCACCTATGTGCACCCAATAATTGTTCACTATTATTACACTTGTTGTGCATTTTTTAAAATGTATAAAATTCTGAGCCAGAAGAATTGGGCTTCAGGTACACAGGGAATCATCATTATGAAGATAAGTACATAAAATATTAAAGGATTAACAGCAATAGATGACCAAGGCAGAAATGACATTTTTACAACTAAACAACAGCATTTCATTTACATGTAAACAAATTCACATGCCTGTTTTTCTTCTCTTCAAACCCCCATTCACATCCACCGATTTCAAAGGCATGATTGATGGCTTAGTTTCAGTATATGTCAAACGGATGCGGACAGAGGTTGGGCCAGATTTAACATCCTGCAAAGCTTCAACATGATGAAGGATTAATTGAAGCTAAAACAACTTTCAGTCTGCGGTAAAAGTACATACTCATCTTGTCAGAACTCTGCTTCAATGCATCTTGTCAGTGAAAATTTTATAGGCATTTTCATATTGAAAAAAAAAATATCATAAACAAGAGGATATAAAGGCAAGAATTTCATTACATTTTACAGTATCTAATGGTGAAAATCCAATCAAAATAACTGTCAATATCAAATGACAAAGAAGTCCCTGTGGTAGTAAGTCTACCCTATTCTTGCAAGAACGTATTAATGGGGTCAATCAATTAGCTAATTAACATAATTGAAAAACAAAAAAACAAGTAAAAGAACCTCTTGCTGGGTAATACATGAACAAACTTGACAAATTAACAGTAGTTTTATTAAAAGAAGGAAGGTAATCGGTGTATAGAGACCACCTCACGTCTAATCAGTATCAATGGTATTACAAAATGCCAAGTTTGACTTACCAATAGTGTTTCAAGGGGATTCACAATTGCAAACTTCAAGGCATCCTTTGTAGAAATGCATTCAGAAAGCCTTTCTTGGAACCAAAGCTCCGATCCATACTTCTTTTTCATATACAATCTACAACGCAGAGAAATCCAAAAAACTTAACAAGTATTTATAATATGACTCTTATAATTTCAAAAATAAATAAATACCAACATATTATGTGAATTTTTAGGGTACCAACATAATTTGTGAATTTTTAGGGTAACAAAAATCTTACCGAACAGCTTGTTCTTTTTCGAAAATAATTGGCGGTATTGAAACTTCAAGACAAAAACTATCAATTTGATGACCTTCTTGCTTTATTAGCTCAGCAACTGATGCAGCTAACTCATTGCCATTCTGTCTTTTCACCAGCAATTCTTTATCATCGCGATAAGTAAACTGCAAAACACCTAAACAAATTTTGCACACTTCGGGTTCAAGTTCTGATTCCTTGGTCTCAGGACTGCTTGAATCTCCCTCTCCAAGAATATAACACATCACCGATGGTGATAAAGAGGAGCGAAAGTAAACATGATCACGGATCCCAAACAGTCTAAGTATGCATCTTATACACACCTAAAACAAAATAAAATATGATAAGGAATATAAATTTTTTAAAGGAAACCCTAATTAAGTATAAGTGAGGAGATTTTTAGATAAAGTACGAACCCCGGCGGAGAGCAAGTCTTTGACAGCGTGAGAAGGCAAAGAACGAACGGCGTCGCTGAGGCACGGTACCTCACCGTCGCCGGAGACGACGCGGTGGTCATCGGCCGGAGAGACAACTTGCGCCTCATCGGTGCCGTTGCGAACTTGCGCAGCTTCAGTCTCGTTAGACATTTGAAACGAGCTCTTCTTCTCTTGGCGGCAGTCTCCCTTTCACTACTCTCTACTCTCTGGATTCCGTTATTATTAAAAAGACAAAAGAGCAAAAAAGAAATATTGAGGTGTTTTTTATATACCCTAGCTGTGCGTTATTCAGCCGTCAGATAAAATTACCAAATTGCACGTGAAAGGACTAGGTTTGTTTATCCACGTACCTTGATGGACACTTTAAATTACCAAATTACGCCCTTGATTTCGTAAAGTAATCACCTGTGCGCCGAAGTTATCGTATGTTCTTGACTTCAAATAACTGATCGACAAGTACACTTTCTAATGTTTTTAAAGTTAGATTGGGGATCTCTCTAACATAATACATCACAAATTAATCGTTCTAGATATGAGAAACGAATTAGTTAATTCTCATTTTAAAAATTAATTATTCAATCTTTTTGTCAATTTTATATTTTTTCCAACATTTTTGTTTCACTTTTTTTTTTTTTTACAAAATAAAAAAATAAATAGATATCATGAAAAAATTGATGAGAAAACACCTGTAAAAATATATTGAAAAAAACATCATCAACACTGATTAAAAAATAATAATAATTAATTTTTTGAAACAAAAGATCTAATTAATATATTTCTTAAAACTAGAAGAACTATAATTTACTCCTCAAACATTACTATTTTGTTTTTTTAATTAAATACGTCATCCGTAACCGTTAATTTTCAATTTCTTATCCTGGAGACTCCCCAATATAACGGTTACCATTTCCCTCTCTTTCAAACTCTTCCAGCCAAAATCCATAACCTTTCATTGGAAAAAATAAAATAAAAAATACGATGAACAACACAGTTGCTTGGCTTTGCGAAGAATAATTATAAAGATATTATTAATTTAGATTCTAAAACAGATAGCTGCTACATTCTAGCAAAGGAGAGACATGGGAGTTCCATCCATGGAATATGTCAACGCAAATGAGAAGTTGTTGAGAAGCTTTCATTTGATGCATTCTTTATCCCAGCAGCAACGTCTAACAACAATTATTCATACCACATACAACAATAAAACGAACTCATTCGATGTGCATCAAATGAATTTACAGCGATGAGGTTAAACGATGGAGGTCTACAAAACCAGATAGCACTGCCCGGTTTCTTTCTTTCACCTTCGTCTGATATACGACCCTGCAGAACCAAGTATGGTTACTTGCGTGAAAGAAACGCGCATTATACTTGGTGCTGAATAAAGAATATTGGTTATGGCAGAACATGATGTTTTACCTCAAACCATCAAGCCACATTTCAGTGATCAAAGTTTCACCGGGGTACACATGCAAAAGGAACCGGCCTGATATGGTCTTGACGATGTTTGCATCTCCTCTGCAAATACATTTGATGATTGCCCTAACTGCAAATCCGAGTGTGCACAACCCATGCAATATTGGACGCGAGAATCTTCAACATGCGAAAAGAAACAAGATTGGATTGGCATAGATAAGGCTTAGGATAACACACAGATGAGTAAACAAAAGCTACTGTAAAGACCAGAAAAAGAGAGCAACTGAGTAGTCAAAATTAATCAGAGCTAAAATCCTAATACACACAGCAGAAACGGAGTAAAATTCACACGGTGTATGTGTGGTTAAACCCTGTTGTACCTGAAATATTAAATGAATTTGAAGAATGAAAATGCCAAAAGCATTGCGTATATCATGTTAATGAATACAGTGTTCTGACTCCTGATGCTGTGAAAAGACAGTTGGAAAAGCATATGAACCCAAGAAATAAAGATACATATTGAGAGGGGTACCAACCCAGCAACTTTAGCAATCATGGGATCTGAATGCAGAGGATTATAATCACCAGATAGCCTATACAGCAATGCCTACAAAACAATACAAGACATACTGAAGAATGTAAGTATCTTGTGGTCACAATCTAAAAAAAAAAGAGTCATTTTAGACTCTCCTACGCATCATGCTCCCAAAAATTCAGGGTTTCATTTTATTTTATTTTTATTTTTATGGTAAGTTATATAGCAAGCATAATGAAACAATTGATAAGGTACATCTACGATAAATAATAAAAATTCCAGCTATGGATCTACACTACATGCCTGAGATGGTTGGGTACAATCCTCAAATACTGCAAAAGGTTGACTTTTAGGAATTTTCACAGCAGGAACCTGGTTCTTCGGGTAGTTCGAATAGGAATAAGGGTGGGATGAGTTTGAGAAGCCTCCAGCACCCCGGAGATAAATAGTTGATCTGGAGAGTGAAATATTATAATCCCATCTGACTCAATAGCATGGCAACAAGAGATCAGATATTTTTTGAAAAAATAAGATCACCTGTTCATACACAATAATTCACCAGATTCTTTCTCATAACTTTTGGTTTCCAGCTCAAGAATAGCTGCTTTACCTAAAATTTATATCAAGAGAGGAAAACAGTTATCATAGTTCAACCTCAACCATCATGTTTCTATGTTTCATAAAAGAGGTGTCCTTCCAAATGGATACTTGTTACGATTTGTGAGATTCTGACTGGTTTTTCCAGTCAAAATTCATGTATCAAAATGCCACCCTGCGACTACTTGTTCATACTTGAAATAAAAATATAATTTCCAGTGGGTTGTTGTAATCAAAAGTGTTAGACAAACCTTTGTCATGCAACCCAGCAAGACTTACTTTGTTAATCAGCTGCATAAAAAATAAATTAGGTTACAAAAATTAAACTGGACTTAGAGAAAACAAATTCAAAACCATCCCCATAAAAAAACCATATAATTTACACACAAGTAATAAAAAGAAGATGAGAAACCACCAGTATAGCACACTTATCAAGACTAAATACGCCATGTTTCAGGCTGAATACATGCTTCAAAAACAAGACTTACAGATGCATTTGAAGGAAATGGCTTGTAAATTTGTATATATTGTTGTCCGTGCAACAGAAGACGCGGATCAAATCTGGAAACCATGAAAACAAGAAATGGCCATCACATGTGTGTTCACACAGATACTAAATGATTTTGGATAAAATTTAGAACACCAAAATGGCTTCAAAGATCATAAACAAACAAAATATGAGAGAACAAGTTTCACACATAGATTCAGTCACTACTTACTGCAAACCTGGCAAATCAATAATACCATTTGTCAATGATCCAAGCGAAAATAAGGCAGCAAATGTTGGCAAGACCTACGAATCCAAATACAAGACAATAAATAAATCACCACTAACATAAAAGCTAGAAATTATCCTCCTCTCTTTATCAAATAATTCCATTGTAAGATAAAACTACCATTCTAGACTAAGATTTCCACGATATGCAAAACTAAACCCAATAAGAACAAATTTACCTGAACAAATTGCTGCCCATTTTCATGATACACATATTTCAGCTCATCGGAATCAATCGCATCCCGACAACAAGCTCCAACACCCAAGGCATATATCGCTGCATCTCTGTTCATAAACCACGTGAATTTCCCTTTAAATTCAATACACCACAAAAAAAAAAAAAAAAAACCCCTAAAATAAAATACAGGATTGAATATATCAAGACCTCTCTACCTTTCGGTGTAAGTATATGATGTCTGTCGATTCACCGCGAATAACAATGCAACCAAATAACAAAAATAAAGAGAGAGAGAGAGAGAGAGAAAATATTCATTAATGTCAGTTCATCAAGAATAAAGGTAACCAAATAATAAAAATAAAGAAATAAACTACTATTCATTACTATCAGTCGAGAACCTTGGCGAGATTTCATAGACAAATAAAGCAGAGATACCTCGGGGAATTTGTGAGCAAGAAAAAGATCATGATCGAAGCGGGAACTATCGGCCATCGAAGTTTCTTTTGAGAATTCAATTCGCGCACGGACTGTTGATTTTGTTGAGAGATTGAGACGAGTATTAGGTGTTTAAGCTTTGGTTTGGCGAACTGAAGTTTGTCAGTGGATATAAAAATCGAACCGACAGGCAGTAGTTGAAATCCGTGCCACCGTCAGTTAGCTAAGTCTACGTTCTTTAAACTCTTTGTTACGGAAATGAGTAGACTTTGGATAACAATTATAGTTTTTTATTTCGAATTTCAGTAGTGAAGTGGAAAATCCCCTGAATCTAGAGTAAATTACAAATTACCCCTCTCGTTTTATGATACAAATTAATTAATCCTTTTTTTCAAAAACTAACTGTTTAGTCTCTCAATCACTGCTCACCACACTTAATTTAACATTATTCTATTTTAAAAATATAATTTGAAGAATAAAAGGAGTTAAAGTAATAAAGTATGCTTTGAAAATTTAAAATGTTTTCAAATGACCAATTTTCAAATGACTTAAAATTGAAAAGCCAGACGATTGGTCTTATTTTTATTATTTATCTTAATTCAAAGTAAATATATTTCTGCATTTGGGATTTTCCTAGTCTTTCACCACACGAAAGAAGCAGTGGGAAAATAAATGCAAAACTTCTTTAATATTTTATTTGTCTTAATTGCCAGCAACTAAAAGAAAATTAGCATAACAATGTTTCACAGTTCTCCCGTGCATTAACAAAAGAGGAAGAAAAACGTCAAAACATAAAGGGATTAGAGAAGAGATTAATACACTATTATGAGTAAACTGATACAAACGTTTAATTACCAGCCGGCTTTGAGAATTAGCTGGCCTTACATAACAACATAAATAATGTATGAGAACTTAACCAATAGAGAAGAAAATACAATCATCGATGGAAAAGAATGTGACCTCGAGCTGAGATCATTAGGAATTCTAATCATACAAGCTTCTCATTTGATACTTATGGCCTAAGAAAAGCACCCAACAGCAAAGATGAGATGCAAGACTCTACTCTTTATCCTCCAAAACTAGACATCCTTCCTGGCCGAATTGGTGGCTCCTTCGGTGATGGGCTAGCTTACAGAGGTCTTGTGTGTCGACCACTTGCCCTACCACAAAGAAGTGCATTCTTTGGAATGGGGAACTCGTCTCTGAGAGAATTTGAATCTGTATAAACTCGCAAGTAAAATTGTTGACCGAGATATTGGCGTGCCCAGAATTCTGTCCTCAAGTTCCACATCCCCACGTTGTCGAGCGGAATGTAGATAGCTGTCCATGCCTTGGGATATACCTGCACATCAACATCCAAGCACATGTCAAATCCTTATTCTTACTTTTGAGTTTAAACCATATTTCTGATTACAGAAACAGAACGACTTAATCAGGGAAACGATAGGATTTTTGGTCGTACCTGAGTAGTGCATCGAGAAACTGCATCACGAAGATTGTATCCGTTCCTGCTAGCTGTTGTCCACTGTCCTCCATCCATACTGCATTACAAAATTTTTGGAAGAAATGTCTCAATGAACCAAGCTCACAAGATTTCCTGATCTGCTTTAATCATTACAACCTGAAGATATAATCATATAGAGTCAATGGAAAATAAATGTAAATTATGTGCTTACCCAACAACAAAGAAACTGTAACCATCAAGGTGCCAGCTCTGCACAATGTCCTCGTTGTTTTGGAATACAATTTCCACAAATGCTCTATAAGGAACAGTCAAAACTGATGTGTCCAAGTACAACCCTCCACCGTAAGGTCTGTCAGATATGCTATTCTCCTTGAAAACTCCCTGTATTTTGAAGTAGTCCGCGAGCTTCATGGGAGTGTCTGGTGCGATGAAGGACACGCTATTGACTCCATATCTCTGCTTGCCATTGACCTGACCTGCTGAATTTGCCACTACAATAGTTCTGGTAGTGTTGATCATTCCATAGTGGTACGACCCTTGTGGATTTGGCCTTGGTCCACTTGCAGTAAGATTAGTCCTGAAATGAGCACATATAATCAGAGTGATGTGGACAGCAGAAATACATCAATGTGCCTTTGTGCCATAAATGTGTGCAATCCTTAAAGGCTTCGCATTGCCTATTGTTGTCCAGCTAGGTGAACTAATACACCAAAAACTAAAAAGGAACAGTTTTAGACTTGGTTCAGAGAGCATCATGTTTGTTGGAAGGGATTAGAATATACCTGATAGAGCGGGCCTGGTTGAGTGACCAGTCAATTTGGGTGGTTGGTCCACCAGGGAACGGACCAGAGACTGAGCCAGCAGAGTTGCTATAATGTAGAATACCAGTTGCGTTGAGGACAACCGGAGCGGTGAACCGCGAGGTAACCACAATATAATAGTCTTGGCCAGGTTGGTCTGCTGTAAATAGAACAGAATAAGACTGGCCAACATGAACATCGAGAGAGGAGTAGGTAGATTGGAGAGTATGTGTTCCCTCCACTTCTACCAACTTCATTTTGTGATTTTGAATCCTGAAGTTGAGGGAATTTTGCAACCCAACATTTGATATTCTCAACCTGTAAGTTTTTCCTGTAACAGATATGTCAAGAACAGGTCATGCATTCACCTTAATATAATCGAACAACAAAACATCGGAATAATGATAGTTGTATGCTATAAAATTTGGTTGCCTGACATTGGCAGTCAAAAGGGCTACCTTGTTCAACAGTAAGGTAATAGCCATTGCTTCCACGACCATTGATGAGGATGCCATCAGGGGATGGAAGCTTCCTGCCCCGGTCCAATATAGCCTTCAAATTCTATACAAATACAAAAGTACTACGTCATTATTACTTCAATACAATAATAAGTTTATCATTCAAGAAAGAGTAAAAAAAAAAAAAAAAATTCATTATTTATCATTTTAAAGTAAATTATAAATTAGTTTCTCTGGTTTTGAGAAAGGAATTAATTAATCTCTCTTGTTTCAAAAGCTGTTTAGTCCCTATATTTTTAATTTTTTTTAGTAACTTAATCATTTTTGCTCTTCATTAATTTATTTTAATTTTTGTTTTGAGAAATAGAAAAAAATTAAATGAAAATTGCGAAAGAATTGATAAGAAAAAATGATATTTTTTAAAATAAAGTAATATCAATTAAATATGATTAACACTAGTAAAAAAACCAAATAATTAGTTTTTGAAATAAAGGAGACTCATTAATTCGTTTTGTGAACATAAAAGTACTAATTTATAATATACCCTTATCTTCTATGAATGCCAACCTAACTTGCTTATCTCAACCCTGAAATTTAATGGGCTTCTCTGGATTTCCAACAAACAACTGCCAGCCCATGCTGAAAGCAACTGGAGTGGACGCACATGCATGACTAGAAGAACCTTATGGCCCATGTGTTGTTGGACTTTCTAGAAAAGTAACTAAACAGGTCTTTAGACAGCTGGGATTCCCATTGGATTTATTGGGCATGTACGGTTTGTTGAGACAGCGCAGATTAGGCCCAGCCGAAGACATTTATGACAAAAGTAACAAGTAAATTATAAATTAGTCCGTCTTGTTTCGATAAAAAACTAATGAGTCTTCCTTATTTTAAAACTAATCATTTGCTCCCTTACGTTTTAATTCCTTCAATAATAATTTATTCTTTTCATTAGTTTTTTTTGTTAAATCAAAGATTTTTTTTCCCAAATTGTCTTTCTTTTGATGTTTTATTTATGTTAATCACCATTTTTCTCTCTCTTCAATAAAAAAAAACAATTTGGAAACAAAAATCATTAATCTAGCAGAAAACTGAAAAAAAAAAAAAAACCAAATTATTGATGGTGAAAAACTAAATAATTAATTTTTTTAAAAAATAAGACTAATTAATTCGTTTTTACAAACAAAAGGGACCAATTTATAATTTACTCTAAAAGTAACACAGTTTTCAGCGGGCACCCTTCCCAATGAAGCAATATCTAGGGCCTGATCTCTAAGCTCAACTAGCTCCCATCAAGCAAACTTGTTCTTTTCTTTTTCTGTCCTTTTTGACAGATAGCAAACGTGTTCCTGAACTTAGCCCCTTTTTTGATAATTTCCAGCTGTGTAAAGAAAGTAGGTCATAGTACAAATATAGAATAATTCATAAGCATACCCTACCTAGCTGCCGACACACACAAAGCCAATAGTCTTCCGAAGAACCTCCGGAAGAGGGGCAGGCAAGATTCTAAACTGAGAGCACTTTTACTAAGATAGTAATGAGAATGATTTGGGTTAATTACTGAATAATAATAATTCTTTGATTTTATATTTAAAAAGGCATTAAGTTTTTATTTTATTATTTTAATTAAATTTTCAGATAAAATCAGTTGAATTAATTACATGATTTGCACTTAAAAACTTTTTATTGATCTGATTTGTAAGAAAGTTTTAAAAATAAAAATAGACATTGCAAATTATGTGACTAATTTCAATTGAAATCTTGGTGGAAAGACAAATTAAAAATATTAAAAAATAAATTGATTTAATTAAATATATAGGAATATATTGAAGAATTACGTTATTACATAAGATCATTTTTCTGAAATATTCCTTGGAAAATTCAACATTGGATTTATTGTATCCGTCAATTATATATTTTTTGTAAAAAAAAATAATAATAATTTCAGGAAAAAATATTTGGTAAAATGAACATAATAAAAGAAGTGGATATTTTTGGGGTTAATGTTTACCGTGTGATTGGTTTTGTACCAATCTCCAATAAGAATGGTGTAATCACCAGCAGGATCGGCAAAAGGCACAGGAATTCGTGGTCGGCTAAGGATTCTGATTCCACCAAAAGCACCAGCAGCCTTGTGGAATCCAAGAGATGGGAAGTAGTAGAAACTTCCTATTTGATCCTTCACTTGGAGAATATATGTAAAGTTCTTTCCTGGAGGAATTGGGCATGTTGTTCCAAAAACACCATCCTCAAATGAATTTCTTCTCTGTTGAATTCCATTCCTAATTTTTACAGTCACAAAACAAACACCATAAGTAAATTTACCATTACAAAATGACAGGATTCAGACAAATTTCAGGTCAGCAAATTGGTCCAGCATTACAAATTCAAGACAAATTTTAAAACACTCAATCAGTAATTCTTAATTTTCTCACTGTTGATTTTTATTTTTGAGAGAGAGAGAGAGAGAGAGAGCGCTCTAGAGCCGCTTTAAGAAGAAAAACAGATAAAAAATAAGAAAACAAATCACGTCCGAATATTTCCTTTTAAACTCTTTTTTTTTTTTTTATTCCCTCTTCTGTTTCTTTTTATTTATTTATGTAGTGTTATTTTTTTCATAATTGAGCACATGCTTTTCTTGGTGCATGTTAATGAATGTGTTGGCTGTCTACATTATGAAGCAGCCCAACACGTGCCCGTTGTTTTTTTCATAGAATGTCAAAGATGCAATCAAATTCTTAATTAACCTGCATTAATTCTGGGAAACCATATAATAGATCTTTGAAGAAATGTCAAGAATTACTTCTTGCACAGGCAAAAGGTCCACATTTCACACTCAATGCCCTCTATCCTATCCTATAATTTCCCTTAGTGGATGACAGCTAAAACTAAAATTGACCACACAGTTAGTTAGTGATCTAAATCTGGTAGGTTAACAAATAATATTAGCTATTGGCCATAGTCGCTGTCCTTTAAGAAAAGCTTATCACACAGCCTTAATTCTCTCATAATGAGATACACGGGATGGTTAACTAATGACGAAGAATTTTGGATCTTTCACTAATCGAGAAGATTTAGCATTTTATAGTTTCAAACTTAGAATTTTTGGCGCAAATCACAGCAATAATTGCGGAAAAAAGTTCCAAAAGTGTGACTTTAATTCATTCCATAAATTTAGATCTATAGGCCAACGGTACTATATGGATGGTTTCATCAGCATTCGGTGATTCAAGAGTACCGAAAACAGGGAAATGAGAAGGGAATGAAACCCATGACAAGTACCAAAAAGAAGAGGAAAACAGAGAAATGGGAGTGTGTAGAAAGCTGACATTCTTCTCTTAATTGAATTTTAAGGAAACCGATGATAAAAACAAACATGGGGTCCTAGAATTATAGCCAACAAGGGAATGAGTAGAGCATGGATTTCTCTTTTCAAAGCAGGAAGCAAGAGAACTAGAAATATTGTTTCCAGGAAGAGATCGTTTGAAAGAGATCTTACCAAGAGAGGAGGAAAGGCTCATCTAAGCTGTTAAAGACATTGATGATAAGGTTGTCATTAGTGACAGAGTGAATATCTGGGCCTGGGAATTGTCCATTGATAAGAATACCCTGTTAACAGAGGAAAAAAACAAATCAGCATCAGGAAAATGGATCAGATCAAAAGAAATGGAAGTAAAAACTAATGAGATTTGGAGGAACCTGTTGACGAACGCCAAGAGGGTAGATGAAACCATAAGTAACATTCCAATTGAAGAACTTGTACGGATCTTCAGCTTTAACAGTGGAAAGAATAGAAAATGTGAGGCACAAAAATGTGCAGAGTACTGCAGTTTTTCCCGCTAAGTGGAGCAGCATTTTGGAGCCAAATGACAAGTTATTAAGACTCTTTCGTTTTGCCTCTTTTTTGAGAAGTTCTGAATATAGAAAGCAGAGTGAGAAAGAGAAGTGGGACTTTAAAAGAGGAGTGAGTGAAGTTAGTTTCTTGGAAGTAGCAGTAAATAATGCGGGATGGCGCAATATTTAAGTGCGGTACAGAGCATGTGGGTTGCTATGAAGGAAATAAAATGAGAGGGAAAAACAGGAGAGGACTAATTTGTAAAAACAAAATATAAAGAAAGAAAGAAAATTAGTGTCGGTGATGGGTCCGCTTATTATACATGCAACTGTTTTGAGTTTTTGTGTGTAATTTGTCTCCCACATGGGTTTTGGAGGGTGGTGCTGCGCTAGTGGTGGTGGGTTTGTATTGACGCGACGCTCAGGAGGTCTGCATGTGACAGGGTTTAAACCTTAGGGCCCTCTTATTACATCCTAAGAGCTTTGGCATTTTGGCTCTGGTCATTTTTATTTGTTCCTCCAAATTCAAATTCGAGAGAAAAAGAATGTTGAATAATAGTAAATTATAAAAGATGTTGTGTGGATTTGCGCCTTGAGAGTGCCTTGACTTTTAAAAGAGTAAATTGTAAATTAGTCCCTCTATTTTCAAAAAATAAATTGATTAGTCCACCTTGTTTGAAAAATTATTTATTTATTTTTTAATCAGTGTTAAACATGATTAATTTAATATTATTTTTTTATAAAATAATATCTTTTCTCATCAATCTTTTCATATTCTTTTTTTTAACTTTCTAAAACAAAAAATCAGAATAAACTTAAAAGGAGGTAAAAGAATTAAGTTATAAGAAATTTTAAAATATAAAGACTAAATAATTAGTTTTTAAAGAAAAAGGACTAACTAATTCGTTTTTCAAAAGTAGAGGGACTAATTTAAAATTTACCGATTTAAAACTAAAAGCAATAAAATGGCCCTCATTTTAGGTTCACACTTACGTTTCCGCTTGTCTTTGAGTTGCGTCAATCCTTTTGAATTGATCTATGACAAGGTGTTTTGTTGCGTTGTGTTTATTGCGCCCTAAAGGGAAATTTGAAATCCATGCGCCTGTGTCAACACTACATCAAGTTCAAGAATATTACATGGCGGCAATGGCTTAGGCAGCTAGTTTGAGAAATGTTGTTGCTGTTTATAGAAACAGATGAAGCAGTATAGCAAAGATCACGTAGTTTGTACTGGGGTCAAAATGCCTCCCGTGACACTCTAGTTGTCCAAACTGTGCTCGACTCGGATAGAATCAGAGCCACATTTGCTGTGCCAAATAAAGTACTTAGCTAGAGCCAATTTGACTCCACTTAAATAAGGATTTACAGCCAGCCAGATAGGCTATAGTGTAATTAACTAGTATGATTAGCTACAGACTAGGTTCTTTGGGAACCAGGAAAAAAAAGGGCAATGAGAATGCAACCTGGATTTAATGGCAAGATTAAAAGATAAACAGCATCATTTGCAGACATTAAGTGTAATATTTTATGCAAGACTGGCTCTTACTTCTGACAAATAGTTATATAAGATTAGATGAAGCACATGAAGGAAGGAGGTCCACACGGTTACTCTGCTGAATTTTGCGACATCGAACAACCCAATCAAACACTGCTTGTATAATTTTTCTACGTCACAGTCAGAAGATGGGGCCTATAATTGCCGCACCCACTTCGGTTTGCTTTCCTAAAACTAAGGTGTGATGAACTCCGGCCCAAACGCTGTGAACAAGAGTGCATTTGCAAATTACTCAATGTCACTAACCCCAATCTCAGGCGCGATATGTGCATCTACAAGCTGGCAAATCCTTTTCATAAATGTCTGCGGGGACAATCTAAGATGTAACAAGCAAATCTCACAATTGAGCCAAATAACATCTTTACGCCCTCTTCCTGCTTTTTTATTGTTAAAAAATAATATAAACTATTTTTAAAATCTCACTCGTTTTTAAATTAAAATAATTCTTTATCAAACATCAGAACAAGTTTTACTTGAGAAAGTATTTTAAAAAGTAACATAAAATTATTTTTAAAACTTTACTTAATAGTTGAAGATTTTAAGTTAAGATAATTATTCCCGTACTGTCTGAATACCCGTACAACATTCTCTAAGATTTCATCTTTAAGAATGAGTAACAAGCTCGATGATTCTGTTATAAAGTCACTAGTAAAATCCTAAAAAGAAGAAAGAAAGAAAAAAAGCACGCTGATCATTGTTCATTGAAGTTCAAATCTCTCAAAATTGAGGAATTGAACTATCCTACATTGACTCTCTCAATGACTACTACTTTTATATCACGAGACTACACCTTTATTGAAACAAGATTTGAGAGGAAGCAAAGTAGTCTACAGTTCTACACCCACATCTATTGGCCATTTGGCCTCACTCTTTTGGTTTTGATTAACTGGACCCAACATTCCAACCATATCCTACTTCAACGTGAAAAACTCACCATTAACTTTAACCCCAACCGAAACGACAAGCGTTACTGCCGCCCAGGTGCTTGCTACTCTTATTTGGAAATCTTTTTCTAGGCTCTGGGCAGATATAGATTTCTGATAATAACAGATATTTGAGACAAGCTTTACTGTGAATACAAGCTAATTAATAGATCGTAGACTAGCAAACTGTTAAAACTTTTAACAGGTGAGATTTCAAAATTTCCTCTATACTTCTCAATAAATGCAGTAGGTCAGTCACATTCATCAAAAAAGAACAGAGTGAGCAAGGCTAGCATACCAAAAAGTTTGTTATCTGTCTACAAAGGAATAATTTGGTTCCTCAATTTAATGATGGGTTTGTTTGGACAAAAGTTAAAAACTCTGCTAGTTGGTACATCATCAACCGGAATTAGTAGGCATGTTATACAAAATCAATAAAGACAAGAAAAGTGATGACCATTACCGATCTCTCTGCTCGCTTTGATGGCAACCAATGTCTTTTTTCGTAGGATGATCAACCAATTATTCCCACAAAAACTCAGAAAAGTTCATAGCTATGTCAATAATCCTATATATATATATATATATATATATGTTCAGAAATTTACCATAACAAGCAACTTGTATGAGAAATCATGTGCATAAACAAATATGCTCCACCGGGTAGATCCGGCCTTTAATCAAAATGAGCTGTCAAAGTGCTCCATCCATTTGAACGTGCGATTGCTCATATTCCATTCCAATTAGCAAACTCTTTCTTACCACTTCCTCATTATAATGTTTTACCTCGGAAATAGTGCAAAAATTTTAGTTACCTAACACAGCAAAATTGTCTCCTACAAAAACTAAATGCAGCAGATGACTATGGTAAGAGCGGGTACAAGGCATGGGTACATTCAGTTTGCTAAAAATGCAAAGAAGACCTATTCAACTTAGTGCAGCAACATAAATACTAGGCTCTCAATTGTTTAATCAACATGAGGAACAAAATATAATGTAAGGATCGCAGAAATGCATATTAATTAATGGAAAAACTTATGCTCAACTAAGTGACAGCAACCTCTGCCATAAATAGAGGGCTCTCAATTGTTCTAGACAACATAAGCATCAAAATATAAACTACTGGCTCACAGAAAATGTTATAATGCCTCAGATGGTTAGCTGGTTTGCCCAAGATCGAGCGCAAGACGTCACCAATACAATAAAGCACTATGACCTGCTCGACTTTGAAGCCAAACCTTCCAATTGTATCCCCACTTGCATTTTCCTCAAAACAAAATACTAGTGATCTGAAAATCGTTTGCACAGACAACATAATGGTGAGATATATACCAATATCCTATATGCTTCATTAGAAAACAGAAAATGGCACCTTCTCGGTTTTATAGAATAAATCGCAATGCTAACAACTCTAGTCAGCAAAACCTAACAGCCAACATCAAACCAACTCAAAAATTGTTCCCTGAATTCATAAAACCAAGTAGCACAGTGGAATCCCAAGATTTACCAGTCCAGTCAGAAAGGCTTAACTCAAACAACTACCAGTCATTTCCTCCCTATGAGCAATGACTCACCATAACTACCTATTAGCCAAAAATGAGCCAAGCATTTCCAAGAATTACTGACATCCTAAACCAAAAATCTAAAAACAAAACAATTAATCACAAACAGAAGTCATAGTTTGAATCCTCACACACCAACAACTATTTAAAATCAGCCACAGAAAATAGAAAAACCTAAAACCCTAAACCACGAATAGTCAAGGAGAAACACACTAATTATGAGTAAAATGGAACATTTAGGTTCATTTACAATTATTCATTCAAAATCAATTAAGTAAACACTAAAAAGGCCAAAATAGAGTAACTCACAGGCAAAATCGACCACAAATTTCCTTTCATTTATCCTCGCCAAAGAGAATCCGAAGGCGAGAAGCTAAGAGACCAGTGGAATCAAGAGAGGCTTCGTGAAGGAGACCTCCCTTTATATTCTTCATGCGATCGGTGAGTTTTTGCCGCTCTTCTTTTAGAGCTGTAGTGTCTTCCTCAAGGTCGTGGATTCGGTACTTTTGGCCTAGGGACCTGACGCTCAAAAGAAAAATTCCAGTCATTGCAAAGAACTGGATGAAGCTATCTTTTCGTTTCATCGCGTTTGCTATAAATCCTAACGACCTCTTAAGTTTTGGAGAGGAATTGGCTGCTGAGCTTGAGGACGCCATGAGAGCAACTGGAGGACTTGGGACTGCAAAACCGTAGGACAGAAGGAAATGAATCTTATTAGGAGACAAATTATAGTTTACTTACGCCACTTATAATCACGGGCCCGTCTTCACATGTGGCAACCAAAACCCAGCCCATATACTTAGCCTAGCGAGAACAGCTTATGACTTTAGCCTATTTTGATCGTACATGCTTTGACTAATTAAGTGAGATACAAATAATTAAATTATGCCTCTCGAATATAGCTATTAAATTATGTTTTCAATCCATTTATTTTATATGTTTATTTTACCGTTAAATTTATATGTAATCATGTATATATTATAAAATAGTTATTAAATTATGCTTTCAATTCATTATTTTTAAGATAAATATATTTATCTCGTTATTATGTAATATTTAAAATCTTTCATATGTCTTTAAATTTTTAGTTACATCCTATTTATCTCTTAAAGTATTTAAAATATTTAATTTTTTCTTTCGTTCAATGTTTCCTGCCAAATGAATTTTTTTATCAAAATATTTTTGATTAACATACAAAAATAAAATCTAAAAAGTCTTAAAAAATATATTGACTAGGTCCTGTGATTTTAAGTGTTTTTATTTTTTTCACATTTTAATAAAGACAACTATTCATGGTCGAAAAATTTGATTAGAAGGATACCTTTATTTTTATATAATTGTTATACCATTGAATTTATATCTAGTCATTTACAAATATTTACCCAGACAAGTAAATATATACCAAATGGGTCCATGTCTTGCATCTGATGTTTGATTATATGCATCGATTTATAGTACATTTTCTTATAGAAATAAAAGAAATTTTAAAATTTTCAAGAAGTAACTACTATACTTACAATAATTATTCTATTGACCTATTTTTGAAAAAAAGAGATAAAAAAAACATATTATGACCTACTGTACTTATTTTTTAGAAGAAAAACACATAAAAAAAAACGACAATCACACCAACGTATCAAAAATAATAAGAATATTTCTAATTATATTTTATTTTTTTAATCCTTTCTTCTATTTTTAATATATATATATATATATATATATATATATATATATATATATATATATATATATCTTCTATGATAGGTATTGATAATTATTCATTAAATATTATAAAATTTCTCCAAAAACGATCGTTCTCTTGGATTAAGAAAAAAGACTGGCGTATTCCCTTATGATCTCGGACCCAACCAAGAAGTACATCAGTATTACCATAGAACAACAATTAGTAAATGTTTTATGCGCTACATCAAGAGCATCCGAACTACTCCGAATTACACTATATTGGCTTATAGTGATTAATCAATCGGTTATCTGCACTATACTATAGGTTAGATAGAATAAAATCATGATTTATATTTTGTATTTTTCATAAGATTTCTGCTTAAAAAAAACATGATTTATTTTTCTTTATTTAGGATTCCTAAATAAAAACTTGTAATATATAATTTAAACCTAAAATATTAATTGAGAATTTAAAAAAAAAACTTTAAAAATATATTATTTTATAAGAATATGTCCAAAAAATAAAATTACAATTAATGTATAGACTTGCATAAAAATTAACTAATAAAAAATAAAATTTTATTCTTATTTAACGATGATAAGAAGATTATATTTTTTATAGTACATACATTTGATCTATATATATTATATAATCGTCAGCTTGTGTGAAAAAAAGTAATGATTGATTTTTAAAAATTTTAACATTTAATTAAATAAAAAAAGAACATAAATTGATTAAAAAAAAAAGAAAAAAAAGGCACGTAGTGCATCAACTAGGGATTAAAATTTTTATTTTAAAATTTCAAGGATCAAAATGAAATAATTTAAAAATTACAAAAAAAAAACAAAAAAATTAGAAAATTATGAAAAAAACAACCTAAGAAAAAAAGAAAAAAACTAAGAGTGAATAGTAAAAAAAAAGACGTGAATAGTAAATTGTGAGGGTAAGAAAAAAAGGAGTGAATAGTACAAAAAAAAATTCGGATAGTAAACTTTATTTAGTTTTTGTATAGTAAGGATAAAAATAAAAAATGATAAAACTGTAATAACTAGAATAAAAACATATCACAAAATAGAACAAAAAAAGAATATAAATTTTTACTAAAAGCCAAGAAAAAACATTTATTATAGGGATAAAAAATAAATATTATAAAATTTTAATATTTATTATAAGGATAAAAATCAAATATAATAAATTTTTAATGACAAGATAAAAAAAATTACAAAATTGGGACCAAAATAAAAAAATTCCTAAAACGTTGGCTAAACAATAGGGAAAAAAAAAGGGGTGAACGGTAGATGAACGGAGAAAGTGCTACAACACTTTCTCATTTTCTTTTCGTATTTCTTATAATAATGTAATTAATCGGACAAAATAGAAGGCCAACTCATATCCAAATCGAGCAAAGACTCCGTCCGAACCCATATATAACCCGAGCATAACTTAAAAAAAAACCTAATCACTCCGTTACCGTCCTTATTGAGATGACAATGGACCGAGTATAAAACGAATACTCATTTTAGTCAATCTAATAAATGCCTATTAAAAATATCTAATATGAATTGAAGTGAATAAAGATAACAAAATATATACATATTAATATGATTTCAAGATATATATACCTATTCTTTATCTCATTAATAACTCCCGATTTATTTAGATTTTTTTTATTAACATATAGAAATCTAATTGTATAAAATTTAAAAATTAAAAATAATTTTTTTTATGGTATTGCTAAATCCACCATATGTTTGTTATTCCCGTCAATTTTTTATTTTAAGTCACTAACAAACCCTTACGTCTAATCACTAACTTGATGTGTGGTGGTGTGTTAGTAATTTACAATAAAAAATTTAATTAGAATAACAAAATATCCGATAGATTTAGCAATATCCTTTTTTTGAAAACTTTTAGGATAAAAAAACTTATAAATGACTAAAAAAAAATCTTCAAAATTATTAAAAGACATACTAAAAGAAAATGCAAAAGTACCCTAGCACTTTTGTTGTAGATTAATTGTTCACGGGTTTTTTTTTTTTTTTTTACTTGCTGCATTTTTTAAGCCCCTTTTTTTTATTTTTACTTTTATTTTAGTCCTTGGTTGTAATATTTTTTTATTTCGGTCATTAAGATATGCTAAAAGAAAATGCAAAAGTACTGTAGCACTTTTACCGTAGATTAATTGTTCACGAGGTTTTGTTTTGTTTTGGTTTTGTTTTTTTTACTTGCCGCGTTTTTTAAGCCCCTCTTTTGACTTTTATTTTTATTTTAGTATCTGGTTGTAATATTTTTTTATTTCGGTCATTAACATTTTATTATATTTGATTTTCATACTTATAATAAATATTAAAATTTTATTATATTTGATTTTTATCTCATTAATAAATATTAAAATTTTATTATATTTGATTTTTTTCCTATAATAAATATTTTTTTCTAGGCTTTTAATAAAAATTTATGTTCTTTTTTTATTCTAATCTTGTGATATACTAAAGGAAAATGCAAAAGTACTTGTATCACTTTTACTGTATATTAACTGTTCACAGGTTTTGTTTTGGTTTTTTTGTTTTTTACTTGCTTTGTTTTTTAAGCCCCTCATTTGACTTTTATTTTTATTTTAGTCCTTGGTTGTAATATTTTTTTTATTTCGGTCATTAACGTTTTATTATATTTGATTTTCGTCCCTATAATAAATATTAAAATTTTATCATATTTGATTTTTTTCCATTAATAAATATTAAAATTTTATTATATTTGATTTTTTTCTATAATAAATATTTTTTTCTAGGCTTTTAGTAAAAATTTATGTTCTTTTTTTATTCCAATTTTGTGATATGTTTTTATTTTAGTCATTAAAGTTTTATTATATTTGATTTTTATCCTTACTATAATAAAACTAAATAAAGTTTCACTATCCTAAGCCTTTTTTTTTTTTAATTAAACTTTTCTTTCTATTATAATTCCTATTTTGTGATTTTTTTCTTTGTTTTAGCCATTGAATTTAGTAAAATTTATTTTTATTTTAGTCCTTGTTTTGTAATTGTTTTTTATTTTGATCATTAAATTTTTACTATATTTGATTTTTTACCCTATAAGGAACTAATTTTTACTTTTAGTAAAACTTACTATTATGTTTTGGTTTTTATTTTATGATCTATCTGTTTTGGTTTTTATTTTATGATCTTTCTTTTATTTTGATCATTAAAGTTTTATTGTATTTGATTGTTATTCTTTTTACACCGAAATTAAACACGGTTTCATTATTTTAAGTTTTTTTGTTGGCTTTTGGTAAAAAACATTTTCTATTTTGATTTTTTTATATATATATTTTAGTCATTAAAATTCTATTATGTTTTACTTTTGTTACGGCCTTATGTATAATGAATTTTTTTTAATCGTATTGTTTATAATTTTTTTTTGTTTGCTTTGAGTGAAAGTTTTTTATTCATTTTGATCCTTCTTTTATGATCTTTACTTTGTTTTGATCATTTAATTTTTATCGTGCGAAATTTTATCTCTCTTTGTTTTGCTAGATTCTTGATTTGATAAAGCTTTTTTGTCTTTTTGTTTTGGGTGGTTTCTCTATCTCATTAATAAATTATAGATAAAGAATAAGTGATAATAATTAATCATTTAAAATTCGAAAAACTACCACATCATTATTATAATTATCAATTATTATACATATTTATAATAAAATACACGTTTATATCAAACAATATCTAATTAGCAATATTATATTATTTAACTTTGCGAGTTTTCATTTAGTTAATCCTATAACAAAATATGAGATATAAGTTTTGATTTTTTCTTAAATTTTTTTTTACATGATCCTTTTAAATAATTATTTTTAAATTTTATATGAATGAACACATAAAAAATATTGTATAACTCACCCTGCAGACAACACGCGAGGTATATGCTACTACAAACTGCAATAAACATTTTTGACAAATTAAATTTAACTAGCAATCGATAAACTAGCATGAGCTGAATATTGACCGAATAAAAATTTATATAATTTTTTAATAAATAATGAATAAAATATTATTTTAACAGATGGAGTAAAAAATTAAATTAATAAATTGATTATCCGTACATTGTCATCCCTAATCCTTGTCCACAAGTCTATAAACTGAGACATGGCGCAAGGGAATAGGGATAGATTAGTAGGGGATTATCATATGATTCATATCCAAGACCAATAAAATATCCGAAGGATTATAAAATCCCTTCCAAAATAATACAAAACAGTATTTAAGCATGGAATGCTAACTAGCAATTAGAACCGAAACTGCAACAGAGAAATACAAGTTTGCATCTCTCGGGATCAATACTTGAAATTGTTCAGAACTGAAATGGTATGTATTAAATATTTAAGGGATCGATAAATACACAGCTAACCCGAAAAGTTCATCTGCCAACCACCTATAATTGGAGCACATCAAGCCCCAAAGCTTGATTTGTACAACATTCTACAGACTGAAAAGGCAATTTGAAAGCAACCCAAACAGAGGCGATAGTTTCTGGAAATCTGCTTGGATCTGTGAAACTTTGTGAATTATCAGAAACCATTTTCACGTGGAGAATAATTAGGACTTGTCCTCCCCCAGTCATCCTGAAGTCGCCGACCAATATCACGCTGCAGCATCTCTACATAATCCTGCACAAGTAAATATTGCCTTGAGCTTATGCACAACATGATAAGCAAGAAAAATCAAATGGACTAACAGAAGTGACACGGGCAGCTAATATTTTGGTATTTTATTATTTCAGTACTTCAATTTTATTATTTAATTATTAGACATGTTCCTATACATGGATGGTTAGGATTATAAGCTTTCTTTAGAAGAAGTTTAATCTAGTGCTGGAATTAAAGCTTTTATTGTAACCCCACTATAAATAAGCTGTAAAACAGATTTACAGACATCTTATTATTATTTTCAACTAAAAAACTTCAAAAAACTAGAGGTTTGCCGAAACCCTACATTACAAATAGTAGATTCCAGCTTCTATCCTCCATGTTTCTATCCCAGTTTGCTCATTTACTACTGTTTCTCCCTAAACTACACCGAGAATTAAATACACAGGTGCCTTGATTGCGATCATCAGTCTATACAAGCAGAAAAATATTGCAAGTACAACAGCATGAAAGAGAGAGAAACATAAAACTTACACTGGCTAAACCCTCATTGTTGTTCAGCTCATGCAGAATATCTTCAGCATTGCTTCCATTGCCAGCCAACCTTACTGCATTGCCAACAATGGCTTGAAAAACATCTTGAGGTGCACGAAGCTGTTCAATCCTCTCAGCCACTTCGCGGAGGTTGATCTATAAGACACAGAAGATAAAATCAGTCAAAACAGGGACATTCTTATCAATTCTGTGAAATTCCTTGATTAAATTAAATTCAAGAAAGACAGAGAGAACAGAGCACTTGTGTTGCTGTGTATAGGTTTTCATGCTAATTCATATTTATTTCATCTCTTTTTGTGGGTTATGCAAACCTGAATGTTATGATCATTAGGATTTTCAGCTCCACTTAGTTCCCTCCCATTGGGTTGCATCTGGGGTTCAGATTCTGGGGTAGTAAACAGCTGAGGAGTAGGTGATCCACGGCCAAGAACCTGGGAAACAACGGGCATCATCTGTCGGACCATCCCTGACAGATCAACTCCACCACCTTGGCCACTTCCTAAACCTGAGAACATATTTCCAAGATCTTGGCTGTCAACCTGCTGAGCAATCTGACTGACAGTATTCATTATCTGGGGATTCTGAGTGAGCTGTTGCAACATATTCCTAAAGACATTGGGAGAACCAACGCCGGTTTGTTCTGAAACCCCTGCCAACAAATTGTTCATAACAGGACTATCTAGAACCTGAGACATGGCACTAGCAGCGTCCGACTGGCCATCAGAACTTAAATCTCTTGATGCTCTACCCTCCATGACCTGCCCAGCAAAGGGGGCTACTGGATGTGAAGGTTTGTCATTTGCACCATCCCTATTTGTACCAGAGCTGCGAGATACAAGGGATTGTAAAAGCTGTAGGCCACTGATTCCAGCATTTGGATTCTGATTGAGATGGGTATTGGTTGTTTCACTATCACCACTCCCGACAGGTGATTTTGTCTGCTTGGTTCGTCTCTAGTCACATAAACAGACAGAGATCAGTTTTTTTCTATCTTGAAAAAAAAAAAAAAAAAAAACCATGTGGATGAGTAAAGCATGCATGGCAGATGTGTCATCAATCCCCAAAGTCAAGCCTGGCAGAATGTAGCAAGCCCTAATTTTAATGTCAAATTATGACAAGCTCACACCTAATGCAGCATACCACACAACAGAAACCTTTCACTGTTTATACGGTGATAGCAACAAACAAAAATGATGCCTTTTGTAGCCATTATAGTAAGCATTTCAAAACTCCAACACCAGTCTTATTCCTTGATCTGTTAACAGGTCCACGTGTTTAATTAAATTCATCACAAATAATTCAAATGAAATAAAGAACAATTAGCATACCTTGCGGTCCAAACTCCCCAAACCCAAACCAAGCGGAACAGCTTTATTGGTGTCAGGAACATCATGCTTACTGCTAGAACTGGAAGCATTTTGAGAAGTATCTTCAGACTTCAGAGAAGTTTCACCATTAGGACATTCCAGTGAAAATGATCGGAAGTTCAGTGAAGATGATGGGTTCACTGAAGAAGACGATCTGTCGACTGAAGAAGATGGTAAAGATGGTATGTCTTTCAAGCTCGAAGGATCACTATCATGTATTTGGACCTGTTCATCATGTGTCTGGTGTTCTCTCAACAATTAAGTACTGGCCAGATAGGAGTAATAAAGAGGATCCTTAAATAGTGCAGAAAGCATACCTTCTGACCCTGGCGTTCTGACGTAGCCGCAGGTAAGGACACACAAGATTCCCCAGCTCCATTGACCACAGTGCTATTCATTGTGCTATTCATCTGTAAGTTCGTTGGATTGTTACCAGCACCAGATCCAACAGAGCCTGCATATAGAAATAGCAATATTTTATGATATTCAGTAAGTAAAAACAACAGCATGTCATTGATTTTTTTCTATTTGAACATGAAACACTTGGCTACCTGATGCAGGCTGGTTTCCCTCTTGCCTATTGCCAGCAAATTGTCTCAGTTGTGAGTTTATTTCATTCACTATAGAGCCTAATGATATGGAATCAGAAGGTGGCTGTGAAAGAGAGAGTCCAAGACCAGGTTGTGCACCAACTGTAACACCTGCAGAGCGTAAAGGGACTGTTGCTGCAACAACATTTCTCACGGGTAGCACCTGCTCTGGGCCTGAAACACCCAAACCAGCAGCATTAACTTGTTCGCCCTGCATCCCTGGACTACTTGTCCTGGCACCTATGGTCGGAATAACTGATGCCAACGGAGTCCCTGGCAAGGAAAGGGTGTCAAATTGGCTCAAAGCAAGCATGCAACAATGTGAATAAAGTAAAGCTTTTTCTGCTTACCAGCATGTATATGAATGTTTACATGCCTTGGAGCATTTCCAATACCAACAGGACCAAATGCCACAGGGTTTGATGGTGGAACTGGAACACCAAAAAGTGAATTGTTTTGAAGAGGAAAAGGCTGCAAAGAACTTAAGATTAGGAAACAGTGCACCAAGCTCATGTTAAAAAATTCACTCTTGTAAGAAATTGAGCTATGTAGAAGTAAAAAATTCACGCTTGAAAGAGCCTTTGCAATTAGTGCACAGCAGATTCATATGATCTAGAGAACCATGACAACAAATTTTTCTTACACATAATGACAATTACCAATCAGTGATACATGAGATGGCAATGCATAAATAAGTTCCGACACCCAAAACTTCCTTTCTGATATTGACAACCGACTACAGAGATTTCAACAATGAGTGAATAAGGCCCTATCTATTTTCGCTGCCACAGTGGCAGCTGGCCAACAACTAAGTGACACAACAATCCACCCCCCAAATGTCCCCAATGATTGCTGAGATAAGGTAACGCCAAAGTAAACAAACTGATAATTTCAGTAATTGTTCACAAACCTGGACCATTATGGGATTAGGCCCTGATGGAGAAATATAAACAGCAGGCCCAGCATTTACAGAAGATTCTTCCTGCAAATCGCAACAAAACAATTATACAGAATATTCGATCATTAACTGAATCACTGAACTGACCAAGGATATGAACATACAGGAGATTGTCCCATACGAAGTGTCAAGATTGAGCGACCAAGCTCCAGAAGAAGAGCACCTAGATGTTGCATTGCAAGGCCAACTTGCATTGATTCTGACTGAATTTGGCCCCTTATAGCAGGATCAGTAGAGGAACCCTCTTGTTCCAGACGTCCTGCAATATGCTACGACATTGCAGCATATTATAGATAATGCTCAATCAGATCACAAACTCATCATTCCACATAAATTAGCATCACCTTCCTTGTTGAGATTTATGGATAATTAGATCCTCATATTAAGTGTTATTAACATACCCATAACAATGTCTAGCATTTAAATGTCTATATGAATCATACATTACCCAAAGCAATTTATGGCAGTGAAATTCACTGCGAATACAACATTATAGCATTATCATACCAAGGTAAAATGAATCACAAGGTAGCAAGATGGCAATTTCAACAAGTTACAAAAAAAGTTACAAATTATCGAAATGCTAACGTTAGATTCAAATTAAAAAGCTGGTACAACTTCTGACACTTATAACCACAGATTTAAGAACTCCAACAGTAATATCAGATAAGGGAAAATCAGCACAAAGTGTTTACAGATAATGCAGTTGTTGTGGGACCACTGAGAAGCCGTTCTGCATGACGCAGGACAATGCTCAAGGCTTCAGGCGTTGGCAAGCCCCGTGCATTAGAAGGTAATTCTACCCTTGGTGGGTCTCCCAAGCTGGTTGCAGATGTATTTTGTTGATTACCTATATGAAGCAAATGAGTTATTTTCGGCATTTTCAAATGAAAATACGAAATAAGTATGTGCTTTTGCTGTCATCACCATTTTGTGCTATCACCCGCTCCATGCGCATGATGAACTCAGAAAGTGTGTTCAAGGAATCAGGAATTGGCTGAAACAAAAAGGACAAGATTACAATACAGTTACTATACACATATCACAAATATATAACAGAAGGAGATGTTAATACCGAGTGAAGTGAAGGAACAGGTATAGCTGCAGTCAAAGGAACTTGCACATGAGGTGCTGATTGAAATGGCTGGCCAGACTGTATTTGATTTCCAGCAGGGCTCTGACCACCAACATTGCCATGTGATCCACTGGTTTCACTTCCCTGAGAAGCCTGACCAATAACATTTGGCTGTAAACAGAACGCAGGTAAGCAATTAAATGTCTCACATTCATCTCTGATGTCTAAAATGAACTCTAAATTCTCACACTTACAACAATATGCAACTGTTTGTGCAATTGTTTAACATTATAGGACAATTGTGAATTGGATACTAATATGAAAGACAGATGCTGGAAATCAAAGTATAAACCAAAATTTCAATACAATTGAAGTGTATTCTACTTGTTACTCCTAATAGGAGCCTTTCCACTGAGCAGAAAGATTGGAGATTCTACTTGGGCAATTGATGCACGTTATGGCATGATCAGGAATCATAATTATGGTATTAATGTATGAATGGCATAGAGTGCATATTCGCAGTTGATATGGCTTGAACTGTTTTTTTTTTTTTCCGGTCAGGTTGGTGACAGAAGTAGGGTTAAAACCCAAGCCTAACCGTACCATCTTGCTTAAAACTAAATTAATTATTAACAAAATGCAAAAATGGAATGATGCGATACAATGCCGTAGGAGTTTAAGATGTTAATTACATAATTTAATCAGATCAGAAAGGTCTGATGATGGATGAGATTATACATAATAACGAGCAGTACTTACCATATTTAATGATTGCATGCCACCTATGCTGTTGGTTGCTGCCTGGCCACCAACTCCAAACGAGTTCAGAACAGCCCCAATAACCTGCACGTCAAGCAATGATAAATAATAGTTTCTGCTAAAACTAATGCAAATATGGTCTCCACATTCTTTCACTACCAGTAACCCCGACTGAACATCAAATAAAGATGCACGGATTAAACCAGCAAACGTTGAAAAGAAAAGTTGAAAAGAAAAAAAAAAGAAAAAAAGAAACACACCCGAGAGATGTCTGGAACCATGCCTTCCCCTTGTTCCCCAACATTAAATGTTCCAAGAACTACACTGTGAGATACTTGCCCAAGGCGGTTTCGAGGGACACCAGCGCTTGCATCATTTCCTGTCATGTGAACAATTATAAGAGAAAATCAATTTGAAGAAAATTTTCAAATCCAGATTACTCCACAAGCAAAATAATTAAATATAAATACCCTGATTGCTATTATCCCTGGTTGTATCCCCAGCGCCTGCATTAGCTGAAGGTTGTGGTTCTGCAGGCTGCCTCGCAACCAAGTGCAGCGTATGCCCGTTTTCCACTTCTAGAAACAGTTAAGGGATTTACTGAGAATAGTAATATAACATAGCTAGTATTGACAAAGAAAAATCCTCAGAGTCCTTGTAAGTGGAGTGATCTGAAATGATAACTGAGTGTGGGATATCATAAAATCTGACTCCATAAAGTAAGGCATTCGATAATGACCAAATGATTTGAGATGATAACCGAGTGTGGGAAATCATAATATCTGACTCCATAAGAAGAATGTATCCGATGATTACCAAGGAGGTGACTAGCCTCCCATAACTCAGATTAAACACACATGACAATTCCAGATTTAATGACATTCAACAATATATGAATCTCTCTTCCAGCAAATAAAAAAAAAGACCTAAAGAACACAATAACTTATAATAAGTGACAAAATCTCCCAGAGAAAGGAGGGCCTAAAAGGAAGAATAGCAGGCCCTATCTATTTTAATGCTTATATGATTGGATACGATATTCAGAAAGGAGATGTTCATCCTTCAAGACCCTTCCCCTGAAAATCAGCCGTTGCTGACTCACTGGAACACCAATTTCATTTGCTATTTTCTCCTTGAATACGGAAACTGGCATCTGAAAATATTCAAAATTAAAACTGTATTATACAGTCCAGACAAAAACATCTATGCAATTTCAGACAGCACACATCCTTTAAATGCTTTCTTGATAAAATTTGAAATGCATGGGACAACATTGAATCACTTCTTTTATTAACCCAATAATCTCTCTGATCCAAAAAGTTGAAAACAATTTCCACAACGGGCACACTGCATGAATTAAAGTTAAAGCTATCATTCAAAATCATTAGGAGATATTTTCCACAGTCCAAGCAACTCCACCTCAACAACTAAACATGAATACAAAAACATAAAAAGTACAGCTCAAAACAGGAAACGTCAAGAGCATTCAGTACTTACATTTTTGTTGACCTGAAAACTGTAAATCTGAGAATCTAAAGTCTTGATATTGAGCTTTACAGTTGCATCTGAATCTTCTCCAGAAACATGGCTTGTACCGGAGACTTCATCAGAGTACTCATTTGCCATAGTACCTCAGCAACTACCAAAACTCTAAAACACAAATATCTTACAAATAAGACACGCAATCCAGGTAATTAAATTTCTATGCACCAAAAAAAAAGGTGATTCGTTTTCTCCTAATATGATTACAATTGATGTCTCAAAGCACTGCCAACTGCGCAGATGGTAGAAAACATAACTACTAAAAGAGCAACTCAATCACTCGTTAACGTGCAAGAATAAGTTCATGCAAGGATGGAAGATGAAATGAAAAGAAATTGAAAAGGCAACAAATTAAACAAGGAAAAGTATATCTACATAATCAATCATTAAGACGATGAAAGAAGCTGAACAGAATACTCTCGTCTAACAAGATAACGATAACCAATTTATAGTCATCCAACATCCCTTTCTCAATAAGCAATTATTCATTTAAATGAGCATGGTCATCCAGGATTCTTCTCCTCTGAATTCAAATTTACATCTTTTTTGTAACTGGACTCAGGATTCCCATCAAAGCTGAAAAACCTTTTTAAATTCCCAACTGTGAGAGGAATCCATTTCTGGCCAATGAGGGCTACCTAACCAGACACCATTTATTCCATTTATAGGCAACCATCAAAACAAAAGTTAATAATTATTACCCCATAATATCTCATTCCCAAGCTAAAAGGAAGTTGTAATGATATCGTAAACGACAGAAAACAGATACTCCAACTACTGAAGAATCTGACTTCCAATTCTATACTTTCCTACTATGCAGCCCTTCTTTACGTCTTAAATCACAACAAAACAAAAACAATCCTAGTATCCTATACCTTTTCCTTTAAATGGAAATGCCGTTATCGATTCCGTTATTTCCGGCATTCGTTTAAAAAGAACATGATTTCTAACATCCTTCTAAGCATATCTTTACAAGCATATCCATATCGGGAGTCACCTAACAGCTAGTGATAAATGTCAACATCAAAATTCTAACTTTATCATAATTAATTTTTTCATTAAATACAATCAACCAAAAACACTTCCAAACTAACTGGAACACTTAAAAACTCCTCGCGCCCTCGACTGATGACTAAAATCACCCCCTTTCCACAATAAATAGAAATCTATACCAGCTTTAAACTCAGAACAATCAGAATAAACTCAGTTTTGGTACAAACAAACCACATTAAACAAGTCTAACATCTGAAAAATCAAAGATAATCAAATGCCGCATCTGCACAACCAACTCCTAGGGTCCAAAATAGCGAACATGCAAAATTAAAATTTGAAAAAACCTAAAGCATAATTTATCAAAATAAAAAATAATCTTAAGACAAAAAATCCACTTCTTTCATGTCCTTGTCAACTTTCAAAGCTGAAGTGTTATGGAAAAATAAATTCTGATCCATTAAAAAGCAAACCGTAAGCAAAAACAGAATTTTGCTTAGGGTTTCCATGCAGATATAAGCTAACCAATCTGGAAAATGAATTCTGAGGGCAGACCTTTGTTTGAATTTGCAAGAAAGGCAGAACCAGAGAGTGAGCAAAAGGCGAAAGTAATTGTTTGGGTGTAGAAGTTGAATTTGATCGGAGGATAACTTCGAGGTTAAGGGACTGGGTTCTAGGGCCACAGGCGGGCACGCGTGGCCGGGTTAATGGATCGGTAACGTTCCAGAAGAATCTAGATTTATAAGGCAACCTCATAAAAGGAGAGACCAAATATGGCAACGGTGAGTTGACAGGGGTCAGGAGTCCAGCCACGACATCGTTTGGATGGTTGGCGGTTGGTGAAAAAGGCTGCCATGCCCGTCTCGGTTTATTCGTCGTCCCGCAAGCTGTTTTTTATGGGCCTTTTATGTTCTGGGCCATTATAATGAGCTTGGAAGTTGTAAACCATGCTCACTTTATGGGCTTGCATCCCCATCAAAACCAACAAGATAGCCCATCAAAATTAACAAAACGTGCCTTTTTACGTACGTTTTAATTACGAATTAAAAAACAGATTTAAAATATAAATCATAATAAAATATTAAAAAAAATTGCCCTTCGTGAAAAACTCAGAATGCTTTATGGCATTCTATTTCCCATGTCAAAATAATAGAGAAATTTCTCCTTAAAAAAAAAACAAAAAACAAAATAAAGGGATTTCCGTTACTTGGCTGTCTTATGTACACATAATTTTTTATGATTTTTTTCATAGTTAATCATTTTGCAAGCCCTAATAATGTTCAGTTTGGAAAGTGTTAGATCTAGCAAAATCTGAAAAACGAATCAATGATTAAGACAAATTCACAGTATACGTAAATAAATTAATAACGCGAGAATAATTCAGTAGATGTCCTTTCTTTCTAGCATGCATTTCCTGTTTCAGCCTTGTAGAATAAATTAACAACAACGATGACGTTGGTGATCATAAAACCTGACTCTTTCTCCATGTGCTTAGGAAATAATCCAGATTAATTGACAATATGCGTTGAAAATTTCTGTATTAGACTATATATTTCATTAGGGCGATGAGCATTACCGTTGTTGCTGTGATTTTTTGTGTTTTATCATACAATATTTGACCAAACGACATGGAAAAGCAAAAGATTTTGGTTAGGATCTGGAATGGTCTGTTCTTGATCATGATTTCATAGCATCCGCAGTCTAATAGATTAAATTATAAATTATTATTTTTAGTTTTTCAAAACGAAGTAAACAATTTATTATATTTTAAAAACTATATAATTGATTTATTAATTAATATTGATCATAATTAATTTAATATTATTTGATTTGAAAAATAATTATGAAGAACTTGTCTTTCCATTTGTTGACGTTCATAAAATTATCAATGAGAGTAATCGTAAAAATATAGATTAGCCCCTCTGCAAGCACTCAACCCCCTCGATCGGCATCTTCTTTTTACGGTTTGACTTCTTCATTCTCATACTGAACCTGACATATGGCATTGATGGAATCTTATTGTTTCCGGTCTTAATAGCAATTCGATCTTTGGCTATCCGTTTTTATTTCGATTTTTACATTTATGTTCTAGACTTTTCATTCTTAATAATTAAATTACACTTTAATAATTTAACTTAGATGATTAATAAATTTAATATCCATCCTATTAGATGTAAATATTTTGCATATGCATTACAATATAAAAGATTCTGAGAATATATGTATTATTAAAAAAAATAAAAAATCTTGCAATATCTCTTAAAAAAAAATTATAACAAGGAAGGATTGATTAGCAATAAAAGCAAATCACATTGTAGACGTCAAAAACCAAAACACCAACGAGCCAATTGTATTTAGAGTTGACCAGATGCTAGCTATACAATCAGTCCCTGTCAGGAGTACCTCCTTATATTTATTGATTTTTGAATTTTTAACCAAGCATACAAGACCAGGCTCGGCTGTCAATGGATCCCCCAGGGCCAAAAAAATTAATAACCTCTTTCATCACATGTGATGTTTTCTTATTTTACGGTTAATAAAAAGAACAAAACTGCTTCACATTTACACCGACCCTTCCAAATTACATCACAGCTGAAGGGCACATAAAAGAGGACATCAGAACGGTAAGTAGGAAGATCTCTAGCTTGCGAAAGACTTGGCATTTAGCCCAAAAAGAGCATAAAGAACCGCCAGCAGACGACAAACAGGACCCTTGTTACCTCCACTATCCACCAAAAACTTCTTCAAAAGAGCAGAAGAGATCCACAAATTTTTTGCCTATCCGAGTTAACAAGAAGCGGTCTTTTTGCATCTTAGTTGCCAGAGATGGGTGGTGAGAAATTCTCAAACGAAGCAGGGAAACCAATTCGATGCAAAGGTATGCAAGTACCCTATTTCAGCTGTATATATACAGGTCTTGTTTTTTTTAAAAAAAGATGTATTCATAACAACATGTAGCATGAAAACTGTACAGCTGCGGTGGCTCGGAAACCGGGAGAGCCTCTTGTAATGGAGGAGATAATGGTGGCTCCTCCGAGTCGTCATGAAGTTCGTGTCCGAATTATCTGCACCTCTCTCTGCCATAGCGATGTCACTTTCTGGAAAATGAAGGTTTCCATTCTGAACTTGATGATCGATCTCTTTCCATTTACTGAAACTGGGAAAGCACACACGTTATTCAACTCTTATGACTTTAACTTTGTAAAATTTGTCACTTGTTGAAGGTTCTTCCTGCTGTTTTTCCAAGAATTTTTGGGCATGAGGCTATCGGGTAAGTGACAAAATACCGTATTTTATTATTGTTCCGTTCGTTTTCAATGATACGTGATTTGTATATTTGATTAACATTGTTTTTCTTGAACGGCAATTCTGATGTCGACAGCATGCCTATAGGGCATTAATGAACATTAATTTTTGGGCCTTGGATTAAACAAACGTAGTCTTTACACGAGAAATTTTATAATAAATACGGAGTAGCTAGTGACATATACGATGATTACTTGAATCTACTTTGAAAAGAGAGATAGACATACAAAAAAAAAAAGAGAAAGAAAATAAAAATATTTAAGGGGACGTGGAAATCTTCTTATCACTTTTGGTGGATATAGATGTAATTTTTTTTATCTATCTCTCTCCTCAAAATGGACCAGGAGTAACTATTGTATATGCTACTCATTGTTTATTATAAAATTTTCCGTCTTTAGACAACTCTTCCTCTTAAATAGCCTTTAATCTTAATATTTTATTAATAACTCAATGTCTTTATATTTTCAGTTAAAACAATTTTTAAGTGTTCGATTTATCATTTTGGTAAAATTTTCATATTAAATTACCAAAATTAACCACCTTATTTGCACATAAAAGTTTTTTAATTGACTAGTTTATGAGTATATTTTAGGAATAAAAATTAGTCATGTTCAAATCATGTTAAAATCTTTTTAATGCATTTTTAGTTACAATAATTTTTAATCCTTGATAAGATTTTTATTTGTTTTTATATATTAATTTTTTAATTTGTTCTTATATTTTTAATTAAAATATTTAATTTATCATTTTAATAAGATTTTTATAATTTTACTACAGGAATTAATCATCCGATTTACACATAAAAGCTTTGTATTTGACTAACACGTAATAATATTTTTGCATTGAAAATTAGACAAGTTAAAATTACGTGACTTGACCCAAAAGTTTGAATAAAAAAGATAGATTTAAAATTTTAAAGTATACTTAAAAGAAAATTTGACTTAATTAAGAATATAAAAACCGAACAAATAAATACTTTATAGATTTCTCTATTAGCTCCTTGATTTTATAATCTACAATAGCGTAATTAGCACCTAAAAGGTTCCATTTTCTTAATATAGACCCAGTAAACGAGATAGATAGAATCGGCCTCCTGTAGCCTAGTTTCATTGACTTTATGCACTCCACCAAAAGGAAAACACGTCATATCACAGCTAGTTTTTTAAAGTGTTGTTTGATAATCAAGGTGAAAATGAGAAAAGATAGATTTACATGGGTCCTGATGTTCTATTGCAAATAAAAAGCAGTTTAACAGTTCAATTTTTTTGTTATATAATAAGATAATTTTTTTAATATGTTTTTATATTTTTAATTAAATTAAATTTTATTATTGAATATATATTAAATGTAAAATATGTTATTTTGGATAAAAAATTTTATGTTAAACTATTGAAATTAATCACACAATTTACATATAAAAGTTTTTTATTTGACTAGTTTACACTGATGTTTTAATAAAAATTAATTATGTATAAATTACATGAAAAATGTTGGTTGTTTTACTTGAAAATTTTGACAAAATTATATATTAAAAAACAAATATAAGAATAAATAGAGTATATTATACTTGTCAAGCGATATGGTATAACGATAAAAGAATTGTTTTACTTTGACTAATATCAAGGTTGAATTCTCATTAGTTACGGATAACTAATAATAATTATCTTTTAGTGGTATCATGCTTAGATTGTTTTAGTTTAAAAAAATAATATAGTAGTCGATCAAAAACTAAGTTTGTCCTACCGTGGCTTAACTCGAGAAGTGGTGAATTTAATATCGATTGATACAAAAATTGATTCGAAAAATATCCCACTAATTGTAAATATATAAAAAATAAATAAAAAATCTTATTATATAAGAATAGATCAGGGGAAAAAAAAATTCACTTAATCAAGGGAACTGAAAAGGGAAAAAGTCAGTTTAATGCAACTTGAATATCAACAAGCTATTCGTACTAGGCAGCAGGCCAATACCTTTCAGAACCATGAATAACGTAACAAATCTTAGTATCAAGAAGAAGACCCGATAATTATTCTCATGCCATCTACCCCTTGTATAATGGGCCTGCCAACAGTCGCACCATTTCAAACCCAAGAAAAAAAAATCAGATTCTTTTGCTCGTTGAATTATTTACATTCCAATTGTGTCATGTATTTTAAATTTTAGTAAATAAATCGGAATCACGGATTTTTTATTTTGAAAATAAAGGGATATGTTTTTTCGGTTTTTTGTGTTCATGCATGTTTCTTCTTTTGAGAAAAAGTACGAGTTTCATTTTTTTTTTATTCAAAACATCCTAATCTATATTTTTTAAATGCAGAGTTGTGGAGAGTGTAGGGGAGGACGTGGACGAGGTTGTCAAAGGGGATGTTGTGGTTCCTGTATTCTTGGCAAATTGTGGAGATTGTGCAGACTGCAAATCAAACAAGAGTAACCTTTGTTCGACCCTTCCCTTCCAGCTCAGTCCTTGGATGCCTAGAGACCAGACTGGTAGATTCACAGACCTAAAAGGAGAGGTTTTATACCATTTCCTAAACGTGTCAAGTTTTAGTGAATATACAGTGCTGGACATTGCTCATCTTGTGAAGATTGATCCTTCAGTTCCTCCAAATAAAGCATGCCTCCTCAGTTGCGGAGTATCCACAGGTAAAAAGAATTCACTAACTCCTACTGCGAAATTATAATCCCTTCTATTGATTCTGTTTAAATAATACAGTAGATTTTGTCTAATTCTAGTTTGGTCCAGTCCATATAGTTGGCTATAGAAATGGCAATGTATCGAATATGCAAAAAAATATCGGTTATATCCAACTCAATAAATATATATTAAAAATGTTTAACGAGTATTGAAATGGATAAATATATATATAAAAAAATAAATACATGTTGACAGGGCTTTCATGTATACATACCTACTTTATACCCTATTAATATTTACTTGCTTTTTTTTTTTTTTGGGAAAAGAATTTAACACACAAAGACTTAATTGTATAAACTTTACAAATTAGGTACAAAAATATTTTTTATGAAAACTTTGAGAGCTAGAAAACTTATCAATAAAGGACATAATTGTAAAAAATAAATTTAACTAGCAAAATAACTATTCTAAGAAAGTTAGAGGGACTGAAATGAAATATTTTGATAAATTATTTTAACTGTATTTAGTTAGCATTAAATATAGGTACAAATCGGATATGAATGGGGAATAAGTTTAGAGAGTAATTTTTTTAATAATTATGAGTTTAGTATCTTTTAATGAATAAGATAAAAGATTGCATTAATGGGCAGGATAATTGGCATTCCTAGCTGGCTGTGGTGACTTTTTTTATATCTTTTGAACTTTTTACTACTCTGATCTGAGAACTTATATTGCCTGTGAATTCTTGATCGAAAGCTTTTCCTGGAGTTATCAATAAGTTTGCGTTTCTGAATGTGTGAGGTACTGCAATGTTGACCACACTGTGGGTTTTCAGGGGTTGGAGCTGCATGGAGAACTGCAAATGTTGAGAAAGGATCAACTGTTGCCATATTTGGGCTGGGTTCAATTGGATTAGCAGTATGGTCTCTTAAGATTACTTGCTAAAAGTGTTATTTTTACTCCTGTGTCTATTGCTGATTTATATGATAGGCTGATGAGATGAAGTCGCGGCTATTGGTTGTTCTCTAGGTTGCAGAGGGTGCAAGAATATGTGGTGCTGCTAAAATTATAGGGGTGGATGTGAATCTAGAAAAGTTTGAAATTGGTGAGTACTTTGTATGGGGGTAAAGGATGCTAATTTTGAAGGGATTTCATACATTGAAATCTTAGGATGCAAACTATCACTTCCTTAAATGATTGTGTATGTGCTTCATTCATTCATTTTGATCTGTACAATGCCAAAAGCATGTGATAGCTTGCATTTGTTGGTAATCACGAGAACAAAAGACAACCAAGGGATGTAGTCTAGCGGTAAAAGATCGCTCTAGTTTGGTTAAAACCAAAATTTAATTCTTATTATCCACGGATAACTAGTCATAATTATTGTTAATAATATCAGACTTGTGTTGGTTTGACCTACTAGGTAATTCAGTGGTCAATTAAAATCTAGACATGTTGTGGCTCTGGTTTAGAAAGTGGTGAACTTAATCTCGGTTCATGAAAACGATATATATATATATATATATATATATATATATCAAAAATCTTGAGAACAAGGGTTGACTTAAATGGACTGCAAGCAGTTTTTTATTCAAAATAACGTCAGAATCGATTGCGAGATTTATGTTTGATGCTTTATTTTCATTTCCACACAGGAAAAAAATTTGGAGTCACAGACTTTGTCAATGTTGGAGAATGTGGGGATAAACCTGTGAGCGAGGTTTTCCTCTCAATACTTTATCTTATTGTTTGTTTATTTTCTCTCAGTTCATAATCTTGAGTTGGAAAGAAATTGGAAAGAGTTGAAAAGGTGTATGTTCTTCTGGTGCTCGAGTTGAGTTTGTCTCAGGTGGATCTTACTGTATCAAATGATAGTTTGTGTTTATTAGTTATGGGAAACACGTTTTCTGTCCGAGGGCCAGCCTCATGCTTTAGATGCACAGAATGGATTGTTTTGACTTGATTCATGCTTTCAGCCAGCTTGTTGAACACAGGAGTAACATGAGATGGAATCTCTAAAGCGTAGAAATGGAGTTTGTCTACAATTGCTATAATTTTGCATTTTGAAGAACTGGCAGATCTCTCTCCTTTTGTTTTTCCCTTTTCTGAGAAAACAAAATTGGAAGGGTGGATCTGAAAACTCTTACAAAGAGGTGTTTGGTAAAATTAGGAGTTAAAAATGTTGACAGAAGAGCTTCACTCTTCAATTACCGAGTTGTTAATCCTGAAGTGTTTTCTTTTTACCATGTTGAACAGGTGATCCTTGAGATGACTGGTGGGGGAGCAGACTATTGCTTTGAATGTGTCGGTTTGTCGTCCTTGATGGAGCAAGCATATGCTAGTTGCCGAAAGGTCTCTCTGCCAAAACATCATTTCATTTCTTGCATTGTTCTTTGAAGATTTATTCTGTGCAGAAACTTAACACTGTTGCGTAAGCAGTAAACACAGTTTCTTTGCTTTATATGATTGTCCATGGTGGTTAATCTTACAGTTTGCAAATCTTCGTGTAATTCAGGGATGGGGAAAGACAGTCGTCTTAGGGGTGGGCCTTCCAGGGTCACAGATCAGCATTCCCTCTCTGGATCTGCTTCACAGCGGGAAAACCCTCATAGGAGCCCTGTTTGGTGGTCTCAAAGCTAAATCTGATATTCCAGTTCTCTTAAAGCGTTACATGGACAAGGTGAACTTTTCTTTTTTCTTGCCTGTCATGCCTTAACTATGAATGTTGCTATCCAACACTGCAGTTGGCACAACTAGCCTCCTGTTTGTTTAATATCAGAGCTCGACACTGTATGTGTACATTTTTGAGGATTATCCTAACTGGTCGCAAAAAAGTAAATAAGAAGCTATGATCCCCTGGAAATTCATGTTCTGGCATGTTAAATCTAAGTGGTTTTGCATATTTGTGCTTACAAGTGTTTTTTTCTTTTTCAGGATCTGCAGTTGGATAAGTTTGTTACGCATGAGGTCAATTTTGAAGACATAAACAAAGCCTTTGATTTATTACTTGAAGGAAAGAGTCTCCGATGTGTAATTTGGATGGACAAACAAGGATGATCCTCCAATTATATCTGTATCATGACTCTTGAAAGTTCTCAGTTATGCATCTGCATTTTTATTTGGACTATGTTGATCTTCAAACAAACAAGGCAAGAGACTATTGGAATATCAATAAAAGCATACTTTGGATTTCAGGGAAGCTCGTTCTCATTTTTTTCCATAACGAATACCGATCTCCTCATTTATGACACTGTAAATGCACTAGATGTACCAGTGAAGTATTCAATGGGAGCGTCTTGTTCTTTCTTAGATGACCCAAAATGCCTTAGCCGATAAACTCCAGAGCTAGCCTCCTTTGGCACCTCCCATTCAACGGTTGCTAAGCTAGTGTAGGAGCTGCTATTGTCCAATTTCCACTTGAAATACAAAGAGAAATCATCATCATCATAAACTGGAATCCACTGTTGTCCTCGGAGCATTTCTACCACCGCAAACGTGCCTTCTGTTAATAGATCGTTCCTTGGGTTAGCACTCCAAAACACGGCACTCGGTCTATCCCCTGTTTTGAACGAGCCACCTTCTGGTTTCCTGACATCTTGATTAATGTCACCAAACTTTTTACCCTTTGGAAGTGAGTCTCTAAATGGATCAGCTAAGAGCCTGAGTACTTTCGAGGAAAGATCTGGCGGTGACCAGGATATCGGTTGAAGGACACCCCATCCCTTTGCCATTGCCAGTGCTAAGTGGTTGAATTGTTGAATGTATGCTAATAATGTGTGAGGACCATAGAGTGTTGAAGCAGCCTGCACAATTCATTACGAATTCGCAAAATCAAACCAGGCTCAATATCTCCCTAGTAATTTTTTTCCCCTCAAAACAATAATTTCAAACTCTAGTTTCTGACTCGAAGCTTGACTAAATTAAGCATAGATTCTGATCAGATCCGTTAAGTTGAATAGCTACGATTCAAGATGGAACCATGGAAGGATTATGCCTGGCTGCTATTACAGCCTCTTCGTTTTGTCTCAGCCTGAGACCAGTTTCATTTTGTAAATTCAGAAACATTAACCTGCGTTTAGTGTTTCTGTTGAGCTAAAGCATACCTCGTATCTCTGTTGCTCGTATTCTTCGAAAGTTGCAATATACTGAGAGTAAGTGTTTGTCAGGCCAGCTATTACGATGTGGGTCTCGGCATCAAATTCTCCTCCTCCATTACTTATCAATGTCTCCTTAACTGCCTCCCTCAGTCGCCGGCCAGCCATTGTTGTGAACTCTACAAATATCCAGAGGCCTGAGGGCTTGTTTTTTTCACAGAAGTCATGTCATTGTCAAGGGAAAGAAAACAAACCTCCTGGCACGGAAAGTATGATCAATTTCCCCAGCCTCAGTATTTGAATAGGAAGAATTGCTGGCTGCATAAGATTCAAGGAACAATGAATTGAAAATATATCCTTCCTAGGCAAACGTTATTGTATCATGTTAAAAGTTCTCAGAAATTTACTTTCTAATGAAAACATGTCTTACCGCCCAAGCATAAGGTTCAAACATTTCTCCTGAAGAGAGTAAAACAGCTTTGGGCTTTTGGCAGTCCGCCTGATATTGGCTTGGTTCTTTAAGAAGATCTCTGACTCGTTTCCAAAGCTCATTGATCTGCAAGCATGGGTTAATTTTGCGCAAAATTCTTTCTACAATCACACCCCAAAATATTTCAACTACTAGCATTTAGCATTGTTTATTTGTTAAATTATTAAATTTTTTAGAACTTCAAATAATTTGAGAATCAGTTTTTTAATTTTTAATTCCTTTTAAATATTCTTTAATTAATTACTTTTTAGTATTTAGGAGTAAAAAACAATTTTTTTAAGATAAAAACAAAGTATTTATAAGTTTTACTATATTTTAGCTTGCGAGAAATTACACGTATATATTATAATGGATGAAAGCTTAATAAAAAGACTCGATTTCAAATAAACAAATAGGTAGAAAAAGATCTGATCGAAAATTAAAAATTAAAATATCAATTCTGAAATAACTTAAAATTTAAAGAAATGCTTGGATCGTTTGGACTTCTATTTTCAAAACGGCGTTTGAATAGCCCATAAAGCTTTGGTGAAAATGATAGATAATAAGGTACTGACCTCTGTATCCCCTTGTTGAAACCCAAACATGCCAGGCCCATCAGTGGTTCCTGCAGCAAAACCTGGACCAACAGCTGCCGGACAAGTCCTAACTTTACTGCCTCCGTTAATCTCCACCACAAGACCACTAAAGTTTAGGTACATGTGGCGATAATCAATTTTTCCAGTCAATTCCTTCGTGGCAGACATGAATAAATCAACAGCCTTGTTGGATTGCCTCTCTCCGATGATCTTTGTGCTCAATATTTCATCTGGGTATCTAAGGTAAAAAAAAAAAAAAAAAAAAAAAAAAAAAAACCAAGACAGTAGTTAAGTCTAAGCGTATTAAATTAAAGGGCTCACTTAAGGCTTTGTTAATGGAAGTTTTGGTACCCAGGTCCACGGCCTATGCAAAGGGTGACATCTCCATGGCATGAGGAGTGATTGAAGTCACAAGGTTTTCCACTATCAGTACAAAATGCTCCTAGCACGTTTGGGCTGACATCTCCAACATTTGATTGGCAAAATGCCCCTACAAATTGCGACCCATCACTCTTCCTCACCTTGAAGCTGCGGCTGGTTGAATTATCGCACGGTTTTCCTCCTGTAGCCTTAATAGATATCGCTTTCTTGATCAATTTGCCTATGCCTGCCTCACATAAAGCATAGAGAGATGAAACATATTCTAGACATATATATATATATATATATATCAGAGATTGTATCCATCATTGGAAAAAGAATTGAGCCAAAAAATTAAGATATATTTTGGAAAAATAAAATTTCTATTGAAGAAAAACAAATGAAAGGCTTTCATAAATATTTTCGTCCAATCGAATCTATGCATACTAGATTATGAATTAGTGTTTGTGTCCAATCTTAAAAAACATCCCAATTGTTTCAAACTTTATCGTTTTTTTTTTTAAGAAATATTTATAGAATTGCATATAATTGAAATCGGGTTTTATACATATTAAGATTTTGTACAATTCGAATTTTTTTATTGAGACCCTAAATCTTTTTATGTTCAATTTAAGAATTTTATTCTTATATTGCTATTATATTAAACCTTAACCGATGATAGTTTGTCATGTGTGCACACGTGACAAGTTGCGTGTGACAAACTCTAGTTAATAACAACTTGTCACATTATCAATTCAATAACCCAATTTGGATCCACTATGATACATGGCAACATGTCATTTTGTTATTTGTTAGAATTTGTCATATGTGCTTAAATGGTATATTAGAGTACGAAACAATAATAACATAAGAGTAGAACTCTTAAATTGAACGAGAAAAAATTTAGGATCTCAATGTAAAAATTCAAATTATACGATATCTCGATATATGTAAAATTCAATTGAAATTATAATCACATTATTACACCAGCTAAAAATAAATCAAATATTTTTTCTTTTATGATGAACAACGAGTAACTCAAGCCCAAATCCTTAGAATTTAAGCAAGCTAAATTCTGACGGTTGATCGAAAATAAAAATCCGTGCCCCATTTAGGAGTCTACAAGAATGAAAAAGGGAAATTCTTGTATATTGCAGGAAGTGGGTTTTGTACCATAATCACACAAATTTTTAAGTCTTGTCGGTTAATAGGAAACCAAATCTTGTAGAAGATGGAATGCTTACTTGATCTTGTGGGCACGCTACTTGATGAGTTAGATTCGGAGGAAGTGAACCAGTCTTCAAAAAACCTAGCAGCAGCACCCTTGTTGTCTCCGCTAATGAGTTTATTGTCTCTGGACATTGAGGTCCCGTGAGTAGCATACCAGCTGAATGCTCCTATGCTCTTAACACTGGCACCATCCACAAATTTCAAAAGGGTCATTTCCTTATCAACGTTGGCTGGATATCGTGCTCTTTCCTCTGCTGGGTTAAATAGATATGCACTTGGACTCCTATTTATTCCAGCATTTTCCACGTCCCCTGAAAAATAAACGAAACCAATGCAGCTGCCAATGTTGCACAAGCTAATAGCTAGACAGTTTAACTTAATAAAGGGTTTTACCTGAGATTTTGTACAATTTAATTTTTTTTATTGAGGTTTTAATTTTTTCCCTATCCAATTTTAAAGTTTTATTCTTATTTTGTTATTATTTTAGATCTTATACAATGACAACTTATCACGTGTGCACTCTACAAACGATGACGGTTTGTCGCATCATCAATTCAATTACTCAATTTAAGTTTATTATGACATATGGTAAGCTTTTATTAGTTAGAATTTACTATATGTGCTTATGTGGTACATTAAAGTTTGAAACAATAATAATATAAAAGTGTAATTTTTAAATTGAACAAAAAAAAATTTAAGATTTCAATAAAAAAATTAAATTATACAAAATCCACTCGACATGTGCAAAACCCACTTTATAAACGGAAGAAAAAAATGCTTGATGAATTGGATTACCTGAGTTAATGAAAATTGAACCAGGCTTCAAATTTTGGTGAGCTTGAACTATGCTTTGCTCAATTGCATTGACAAGGGGATCAAATGATTGCTGGACAAAACCTAGAGAAGTAACATGGTAAAGTAGATATTGCAAATACCCTCCAGGCCCGGCATGAGTATGAATGCCACTGATGGCCAAATTTTCTTCCTTGTACAGAGTTCCATACCTTCAAATTATTACCAAAGTAATGATTATTTATAGATCAAATAACTTCTCTATTTTCTGTCATTTAATGTAATCGCTTGTCCTTATTTTTTACCTTGATCTTAGTCTCTCAAGTACTTTAATAGTGACAAGCTGTGAAGCCATCCCAGCATCAAGATTGACAAAAGCAAACCTCGATCTCTGGTCACTCGGATCAGCCACTATAAAAGTCCTAGCCCTTAACCTGAAATGTACACCAGCACTGTTCTGATCCATATTAGCATAACCCATCATGTTAACCTGAGCTGCAGGGCCAGTCATGTCATAACTTCCCAACCCAATCAAGTACTCGCCATGAGCAACTCCTAAAATGGCAAAAGCAAGAACAAGTAAAAGAAAATGAGAGTTTTGGTTGGCTTTCCTGCTCACCATTTCTGTCTAATTACATATTTTCAATGTCTCTGTAGTTATATAAAGCAATTGGGAGCTTAGAGGGTTTCTTGGATTCTGTTTTGACGCTAAAATTTCCTAGTACTTAGTGACTGGATTCATGGTTAGCTTGTTTTTTATTGTCTACTTGCCAAAGGGACTTGAGTTGGCACAAGGCATTTCTTCTTGGTTTAGTCCGCTCAAGAAGAATGTCAAGGGCGTGCCTTTTGTCTATTATCTTGTGCAGTGATGCTTTCAGCGGCCAAATAAGTGTTTCTAGCTAAATTAGATTTTTAAAAGAGAATGTGTCTCTTGCAGAAAATTATGAACCAAAGTTATCATACCATTGATTGATGCAGTAAATTATAGTATTATATTATTTGGCGACTATAGAGTTTGGGCATATGTTAATTATGAAATCTTTTAAATAAACAGCTCATAAATAAAGATGAAATTTTTTTTTGGATATGGATTTTTTAAATTAATTGAAAATAAATCTTTTTTCAAATAATTTTAAAAACATACTTTTTACATCGATCTAATACATTAAAAAAATTTAATAAATTCTTCTAAATGTTAGTATTAATATTTGAATTAAAAAAAAGAAGCAAATTTATTTAACCATCAAGCCAACCTCTTGAAATTAGAAAGATGAAGATTATGGGATTAAGCTGTTTGTAGTTTTAACTAATTAATATTTCATATTTAGCCAATCTTTATTACTGCGAGGGGAAAAAAAAAAAAAAAGAACCGAGATCTCTAAAATACTTTATTGGGTTCTTTTAATTATTTCAGCCATTGGCTACTAGATAGGCCATGCTTAGAGCAACATAAAGTCCTTTATTGCTGGCCCATTGCTAGTCACATTTTCTCTTTTGACTTTTACCATTTTCGATTCTTGCCCATGATTGTTACAGCATAGCTTACAGTAAATGTTTTAAGGCTGACCAAAGTGCACAGAAACCTTTTATTTCACTCAAGCTGTACAAAGTTTGTCAGGTTCTCGATGTATTCAATTAATGGCCCAATAAAAATTAGTCTAAAATAAACATCATTTCTCATTCTTACGTAAAAAATTCCGTTAAAATCACAGTTTTTCCACCTCGAGAGGCTATTTTTTCCACCCTGGAGCCTATTAGATCCACCATTCTTCTAAAAGAAAGTGAAAGAGAAAGAAAAAGGATAATTGATGCCATCTAGACTTTGGTGCCAATGATAGCGAAAATCTTTTTAAAGCCCATAAATTAGAAGTGGGATGAAATTTTACAATTCAGTGTACAATAAAAGGACAATGTTTCCATTGTATGGCCCTTGTAGCCAATGTTCGTTGAAGTAACAACTAATTTAAGAAATATTACTCTTTTTTTTCCTTAATCTTTTACTAACATTAAGTAAATCCTCGAGGATTTCAGAATTCGACCGCTCTTTCATCTGTTTTTAAGCAAACCGAACATGTACACAATAGGTAAAAACTGATTTTTTCTTAATCATTCTATAACATAGAGAAAGTCCTCGAAGATTTCAGAATTATAGCGATCTTTCATCTGTCTCAATCAAACCGAACACTTGTACGCCATTTTCGGAAAGTAGCTACATTATTCTCTTTTGTAGATTGATTAAGTTTTACGAAACAACGATGGATTGCCCAAGGCCTTTCCTGCCCATGCCACATTTCTCCAAGACTACCCCACCGAATTAACAATCAAATTTTTTAGTGGCCTAGCGACCCGATCTGACGTACGTGGATTAGTGCCATCCTTTGTCTTGATCCTTTCAATATCTAGATTAATAAAACCTTCAATGTATCATGAACCTATCCGAATTAAACTTTTGATAAATTCTTCTTGAACTTTATAATTTGCCACGCTAAAGGGGTCTCAGGTGGGGTTAGAGAAGCATGATCACTCCCACCATATTCAATTCATCAAATTAAAGTATGATGCATGAAGTCATCGAAATCATTTAAATTTAGACCATGCTTTCTTGCCTTTAAACTTGTAGCTATCAAAGCAAGTACAACCAAAAGACATAATAATTCATTGATATAGTTTTAAAAGAAGGATCAAAACAACAAAAACAAAAGAAAATGATCCTCAGAACATGAATAAACTTACATACAAGCACATACAGTACTTATATTTCCAGTAAAACAAGTTTTTTTTTTTCCTAAAAAAAAAAAGATTAAAAATGAACAAAACCAAACAAGCCACGCATTTTCAGCATCATAATCACCATTTTATAGGACACAAAATCACAGCTGCCCTAATGGGAAGCGCTCTCCTTCTCTTTCTCCTTGTCTTCCTCGGTCTTGGGGTGGTACCCAGGAAGCTTCTCCTTGATCTTCTCGAATATTCCCTTCTTCTCCTTGGCCTCTCCTTCTTGGGAAACTGCAGCCTCAGTAGAAGCAGGTTCAGCTGGAACAGGAGGAGGGGAAGAGACCTCCTCAGCTTTCTTATGTCCTGGCAATTTATCCTTGATTTTGTCAAGGAAACCCTTCTTCTCCTCTGTTTCAAGGGGTGTTTCTGTGTGGATTACCTCAACAGGAACACTAGTGTCCTCATGTTTCTCCTCTTCTCCTTTCTCTCCTGATACCTTTTCCTTGACCTTCTCTTTCAATCCCTTCTTATCCTTCTTTTTCTTCTTCTTCTCTCCATCCTCACCTTCCTCCTCGTCACTGGACTGCATTTTTTAACGCATCAAAAAACCCGTCAGTCTCAAGAACACTTAACAGAAAAAGAAAAGAATTAATATAAACAATGAGATTGATCCACCGATCGAGTTAGAAACTTACAGAGCTAGAACTGCTGCCTGATCTATGGAGTTTTTCCAAAAGACTAGGTTTCTTCTCCTCATCCTTTACTTTAGTCTCAGGCTCAGAAACCTGAACTTTCTCTTCAAACTTAGAAGCAATCACCTCCTCTTGTGGCTTCTCTTCTTCCTTCTTCCCCATGAAATCAAACAACCCACGATCCTTGGTCTCAACAGCACCACTCTTTTCTCCAACGTTGGTCTCGTACTCATGGCTCTTGCTTTCCTCAGCCATACTGATCAAAATCACAATCTGAACTTAATCAAGAAAAGGTTAAAATTCTAGAGAGAGTAAAACGGGTAAGCTTTTGTGTCGAATGATTTACGTTTGTAACTGATGGTTGAGCTTAACAAGAGTGAGGGGCTTTTATAGCAGTGATACGACGCGGATCCGACGCGATTAAGAAATAATAAAGCCAAATGAGCTTTGCCAATCAAGTTTCACTTCTGTAACCGACGTGTGCACTTAAAGAGAAGAGAAAACCAAAGTAATACGAACAACGTGTATAGAAATATTGTACTCGCTATTTTGATTCGCCAGCTGTGTTTGGTGAGAGTGGTGGCATGAGTGTGTTGGATACGCGAGGAATGTGTGAGGGAGCAGTCAAAAGGAAATGAAAGGAAAGAGGAAAGTGGAAAAGTTGAGAAAGACACGCTGTAATGTACTGCAAGTGGCGTGATGACACGTGGAAGGAGAACGTGAATGGTTTGGGTGGGACCCGGAAACGTCGGCCTCGGGAGGATAACTATGGGAGGGGCGGTGTAACTTGGGGGCCCGAGTGAGTTTTTTGGACAGAAAAAGCTCCCAAGAAGGATTTGCCTAGTTGTTTATTATCTGGTACTCTCTATGGGCTGGCTGTTAAATTTATTTTTAAAACTGATTATTTATTTTAAAATTAGAAAGATATTAGCATACTGATTGTTTATTTTAAAATTAGAAAGGTATTAGCATATACCATGTGCGTCGCTACGAGATGAGTTATATAATATTCTTATGTATTCATTCATATAAAATACAAAATTTAAACATAATTATTTAAAATTATCACTTGAAAAAAAAATTAAAAAAAAAAAACCAAAACATATATTTCATATTTTGATGCAGGGTTAGCTAAATAAAAAATCTACAAAGTTGAGTAATATAATATTACTAATTAGATAACGTTTGATATAAACATGTATTTTATTTAAAATATGTATAATAACTCATGATTAAAATAATGATGTGATAGTTTTTTGAATTTTAGATGATTAATTTTTACCATATATTACTCATCTGTAATTTGTTAATGAGATCGATAGACCACCCAAAATTAAAAAAAAAAAAAAAACAAAAAAGCTTTGTAAAATCAAGAATTTGACAAAAAAAAAATAGAGATAAAATTATACATGATAAAAATTAAATAACCCAAACAAAGCAAATATCATAAAAGAATGATCAAAATAAATAAAAAAATTTCACTAAAAGAAAAAAAAACTTATGAACAATAAGACTAAAAAAAAATTCACCATGCATAAGGCGAGAACAAAAATAAAACATTATAGAATTTTAATAACAAAAAAAAAATTAACAAAATAAGAACCAAAACAGAAAATAGTTTTTACTAGAAGAAAAAAAAATGTAAAACTGTATTTGATTTTAGTGTTGAATGAATAATAATCAAATATAATAAAAAATTTAATGATCAAAATAAAGAAAGATCACAAAACAAAGATCAAAACATAACAAAATGTTTTACTAAAAGTAAAAAATAGTTCGTTTTAGGAAAAAAAATCAAATATAATAAAAATTTAATGATCAAAATAAAAACAATTACAAAACATTGACTAAAACTTTTACTAAATTTAATGGTCAAAACTTAGAAAAAATCACAAAACATAAATTATAATAGAAAGAAAAGTTTCACTGAAAGCAAAAAAAAAAAAAAAAAAAAGCTTGGGATAGTAAACTTTATTTAGTTTTAGTATAGTAAGGACAAAAATAAAAAATGATAAAAATTTAAGGACTAAAATAAAAACATATCACAAGATAAGAACAAAAAAAGAACAAAATTTTTTACTAAAAGCTAAGAAAAATATTTATTATTGGGATAAAAATCAAATATAATAAAATTTTAATGACTGAAATTAGAAAGATTACAAAACAAGAATCAAAATAAAAAGTAAAGTTCCCTTAAAGCTTGGTTAAGCAACCAGTTTTTTTTTTTTTTAAGGTGAGAACAATGAATAATGACCAAACAAAAAAAAAAATACAAAATAGAGATCAAAATAAAAGGTAAAGTTTCCTAAAAACTTGCCTAAGCAAACGAGAGAAAAAAAGGTGAATAGTGAATGAATAGGAAAACTGCTACAACACTTTTCGTTTTTGTTTTAGTATTTCTTATAATATGAAAAAGATATATTCTCATGCAATAACTAGTATAAAAAAATTTTAACTTTGATTTCGAGTAAATAGAATATATTCATTTAAGAATAGACAGTTTAATTTGTATTTATATAATAATATGAATTTTTGGTTTATTTCTATATTTTTAATGACATATATTATGTTCATGTAAAATATTAAAGTTCTCACTATGTGATGATGATTAAGTTTTTTAGACTAAGAGCAAATTTTTGATCGAAATATTCTTAACTAAAAAGTAAAAAAAAAAAAAAAAAAACCTACTTAAAGTGGTGACATGCATGTTCTATTTTGAGTATTTTCTAAGTATTTAGATTTTTTTCTTTTTTATAATTTAGTTAGAAGCATTTTGGTAATATAACTTTTCTTGTAGTTAGAAAAATTAATCAGAATAATAAATTAACGGTTTAAACATTATTTAAGAATATAATAGATATAATTAAAAACGCATAACCAAATTGAAGTAGCATATTATTATGTAAAAACAGATTGAATTATTTATATATTATTTAATTATTAACGATTACCGATACTAATACGAGTTGTGAAATCTAATCAACTAAACGATTACATGTAGAATAAAATTTTCATTAATAAATATTGTTGATTTTGCCTAAATTACCATTTTTTATTTCATTAAATAAACTCATATTTTCTTATAAATTTTAAATTATTTTCTTAAATTGTTGCATGAGCCGTGAGTTCTCAACTCAATTATAATGAATTGACAAATTAAAACTAGGGCAGAAAAACTTCTACCCATGAGTTATCTAACTTATTAATTCAATTTTTTATCTTTTATTAAAAAAGAAGAAATCTTATTCATATCTATTGTTATAGATCTTTACACGACTCATATTTGATCTATATTTGGTTTATCTATTCATTTAATAGCTACTAAAATTATTTTTTAAAATATTTTATTTTAGTCTTTATAATTTTTTAAAAGTTATTTTTGCTTTAATTTTTTTTTTTTTACATTTTGTTCCTTTATTGAAAAGTTTTTTCATCCTCAAGTTTAAAGAAAAAATATTTTAGTCCCTAATTTTTTAAAGCTTGTGCAATTTGGTATGTGCATGTTAATATATATATAATTGGGTATTAATTGGATATATAGTAGATATTTATATCCTAAAATCATATTTTATCAATATGATTGAATATTTTTAATAAATATTTATTAAATCAGAATTAGTAATATATTCCTTTCTAACCCCGATTTTGCTTATCTGTATACATCCTTTGTAGAATTATATATATATATGAATTACCAGTCCTTTTCATTAAGCTTATTTTCAAACAGTAATTATAGAGAACCCAACGTAATTAATCAGGATTTAACCGTGCGAATCGAGTTCCTCGTCGTGGGAAAAAGTATGAGTTGGGTGGGACCTTATGGCAGTTTCGTCGGCAAGAAAGTGAAGGGTATCTAGAGATTTGAGACCGGTAGGTTTGTGGTACGGTTCGGGTGTCGTGAGGAACTTTAATTTAAGGTTATAAATCCACTTTGATGTCGTAGATGCGTTACTTGGGTGGACAGATGGTCGGTTTGGCGTTGCTGATAATTGTATTTCCAAGATATTGATTTTTGAATTACACATTAATCCACTTTTTCTGGCCTATTGTGCTTGGCACATGTGCACGTGACTGCTTCCAACCGTGCCACCTTCCAATTATTATTATTTTGGTTGGTACGAATGGTCAGGTTCGTTACGGAATCGGCTGGCGATGAGTATGGCTTGTATTTTAGACTAAAAAATGTTTTTTTTTTTGCTCGCGAAAGCTGAATCCAACTAATATGCTTTGGAGTTATACTGCGAGGATTGAATGTTGTTGATAGTAAGATTAATATAGTTTTCTGAATTGTTTTGACTCCATCGCAGTGGAAATTTCCATTCGTCGATGTTCAACTTTTGACATAAATATAACCGAATAACGTAAAATTTTATACCGCGTTCATGATAATTTTCTTTATTAGGTGGGCTATGAAAACATACCATATATGCATTTCATATTTAAAGGTTTGAAAATTTTTTAGAAAAAACAAAATAAATAAAATGGGCCTGGCCAGGTTGTGAAAGAAGGCTCCAATTTCCTTTCAATGAACCAAGTTTGGAAACGGGCCTAGCGATAGTCAGAAAACGAGCCGAGAGAGCTTAAAAAACGACACTTACAATTTCAAGCCAGCCCAAGAGGCTTTAAAACCTAAGCGAGGAGGCAGAACACCAACCGCCAAATCCTGTTCCAGGCAACAATCAAGCAAGAATAAGTAAAACATTGGCTTAAAATACGAAATGGCAAAAACGACCTCATAAAATCTTCTACCCTGGAAAGAGATTAATGAAGTTGATATGGGCACAGGAATTTTGATGCAGAGAAAACGCCAAGTAATACCGATGAGTAGAGTTGTTAGCTGTTACATCCAAGGTCTATATTCTGATCATTGGAGAGCCATCCAAACTAAAAGCAACATTATCATGCCATTTTTTTTTTGTTTTTTTGTGGAAAGAAAATTAGAGCAGAATAAAAGACCCTAGCTGTAAATCCCAGGGAAAAAGTGAAACTGACAATAGCAATAATCCGCAGCCTCAGATCCAGCTGCTAAATAGATATCCCAAAATGTGTATATGCTAGCGCGTGTGCCTCTGTGCATGCAATGATCCCTTGGATAGAGACAGGATATGCACATTATAGTTTCCAAACCAAAATGACAAACTGATAAGAAGCTGCATTGAAAAGAAAACTGCGACATGGTCCTGCCAAACAAGCATCAATATTGTCTTTTCACAAGCATCAATGCGTGGCCAACTTGAGTTGGATAAATATTGAAATGACGAAGTTATTGGGTTTGTGAAGGCAAGCCATATACAACCGAAGCTGAATATCAGATTTTCCATATCCAGGTAAGTTCAATAACTGCGGAAGATGGCAAAACTAGACCAGGGGCACAGCGCAAAAAAATGATAAGTGTACAACCATGTGAAGGGGCAATCAAATTGCATCTGGTTAATACACAACAGTGTAAATTCACTCGAGGAATTTCACAGTAAATTAAAAGCAACAAAATAACATGATTAATCGCATTCTAAATTGAAACCCGCTAATCTAGTTCTAAAATCAGGCAAGCACATGAGCAATCATCCACATGATTGAACTCTATAAATCCAATTTAAAATGGAAAGCAAGTCAAATACCAATTGAAATAATGAGTTAGACGCTAACCTATGGGACAGAGCACATTGGAGGATTTCAATTCTTGGTCCAGCATCAATCTCAATTCCCTACATTTAGTTTAGATCTAGCCTCTTTGATGTATGTGATAAGAGATTCCCCAGCATTAGGCAAACCTTTTCTTCCAACTAACCTTATCTGAAAGTTATGATACAACATCTCCATCCTCTTTCCATCATCTTGCAGCTCACTAAGTTCAATTGCCTGCTTCCTTGAAGTCAAACCATAAAGAGATAGAAAACAAGAATCTGACTGTCCCCCTTGTAATTTGACCCTCAACAATGACAGAGATTCACTATGATTGGACCTGGGATCGAACAAAATAGAGAAGCTCCCGAAGGTCAGATTAGGGGTGTCATATAATTTGTTCAAATCATCAATTTCCTTGAGGCCATTATTTACTTTGCTGGTCAAAGCTAATGACCTTCTGTTGGCCACTCTCAATATATTAGCTGCCTCTCTCATCCCACTGAGAAAAGCTCCATGCATTGTTGCTGGATACTGTTTGTTAGTTGCCTCTCCTGCAAAGAAAACTCTTCCATCCCCTACACTCTCAGCAAGAATATCATAATCATCTCCTGAAGACCCCACTGCAACATGAGAATAAGATCCATATGCGAAGCAATCTTTTCCCCAGCGAGTACAGACTGATTGAACTGGATCTGGAACAACAATTCCTTTTGGATGGAAAATACCACGCAATATGCCTAGGACCCTTTTCACAGACTCCACTGGAGACATGGTCTCAAACTTAACTGCAGCATCCCCAGCAACTAGCGCAATTAGAAGAGCACCCCCTGAAACAGAAGAATAGCTATAAAACAGGAAAAACTCGCCTCTCATGCTTGAATCTTCTGTCAAATGACCAAATGTATCAATTTCTCCTCCCCAAAAATTATAGGGAAACAACAAAGCCACCTTATTTAGCAACCCATATCCTAGCCTGTGAATTGCATCTTTCTTTCTTTGTGGAAGCTCAGGGACAAATTCAATGGATCCCTTCTTAAGCACCCCCAATGGGACCGTGCAGAGCACCATATCTCCACGAAACTCCTGTCCACTCGCATAAACAATAGCCCCATCAACTCCATACCTTATACTCTCCACAGTCCTCTCGTAGAAAATTGGAAGGTCCTTGGCAAGCTCTCTAACAAAAGTATCATTACCTCCTGGAATAAAACAATGATCACCCCCATTTCATAAGGATCATCCTGATCCCAATATGCCATAGACAAATTAGACATTAACGAAGCATTTGCATATTCCAAATTCGCAAGATGCCAATTTAACAACATCAGCTCTTGTGGATCCTCAGCCACCTTATAAACATGCCTAAACGCTTCAAGCGCAGTTCCTAGATTAACATCTACAGATTTAACTTCCTCAATCATAGCCTGTCTAAGCTTACAAACTCTATCTAACAACTTATTAAAAGAAGCCTCTATCCTAGAATCAATCTCAGAATCAACAGCCTTCCCATCCGGTAAATACAAAGGACAAATATCTCTCACCTTATGTAGCGGCAATCCCATTTGCCTTGCAAGAACTCCAAGTGGATTCCCATTTATTCCAGTGAGAACACTCCCACCAACATCGGCCGCAGCCACCACTCCTTCACCCTTCATTTTCATCGTCTTTACACGCCCACCCGGCCGCGCCCTCCCTTCTAAAACAGCAACCTTAAAACCCATAGCCATTAACTGTCTCGCCGCAACCAACCCCGCGAGTCCCGCACCCACAACAACCACGTTGGCTCTCTCTGCTCCCTCGTTTAATTTCAATTGTGCTTCTTTAATAGCCGGCGCCACGCCAAAGTTAATGTAGCCGTGCTGTAGCAGAAAATTATAAGCAGAATGCACCAATGCTTTGTGCTCAGCCCGAATTGACTCAAGCGCATGATCACGAGTTAACCAAACAGAGACATTAGATCTCCAACGAGTAAGAATATGGTTTCTCACCACAATATAATTAGCTTGCTCCGTGCCCCCAATCGTAGACACTACATTAGCTTCAATTTCTTCCTCGGTTAGCGAATCGACAGGAAAACCGACGGAGATTGCGATTAATGCTTCCACATCGACTTCTTTTGAAAGGCCGCCGCCAATTTTGTGGCGGCGGAACGAGGGATTACCGTTGATTTCCGTGAAGAAGCGTTTTCTACGGCGTCGTTTTTTGGGTGGTGGAGCAGGGAATATGGAGTTAGGGTTTTCGGGTTGTTGGATGGGGTCAGAAGAGTCGTCTTGGGAGTCTGAAACTGGAGCTTCAATTGTTGTATTGGGAAGTGGAGAGTGGGTTTCTGACGAAGGTGGGAGGTTGTTTTCCGGTGAGTTTTGGTGATCGTTGAGATCGGTCTCTGGTGAGGAGTCGTCGGAGACGACATCGTTTGCGTTATCCGAGGGGTCCTGAAGGGGCTCAGCGGTTGTTTCCATTTAGCTTACGGCGTCGATTATTATTAGTGCCCTGCACTTTCTTAAGCCCTGCCTGGAAGTTCAAAATGATTCTGTGCTGGGCTTCGAGACAAAGCAGGCCCATTAAATTTTGTTTTTCGGCCCTTTATTTTTTTTTCAATGCTGGACATTAATAATAAAAAATAAAAAAGAAATAAAATCACGGCCCTTTAGATTCGATATTTAAATAAAATAAAAAATTGCTCAAAATTTTTGTAAACTTTTTAATTACTATTCTATGAATTTGATAAAATTTAATTAAATCTAACTCTTACACTATTAATTTAAGCCCTTCTGTTCAACAATAATAATCATAATAAAAAAACTTTTCTGCTGTCGAGAGAAAAAAAGGGATTGTATAGAAAGCTATTTAGGAAATATAGAAAAAATTTATGTAGCAAATAATTGTATAGTAATATAATTATTTAACCAATTAAAAAATATTATAGTTTTTTAAAACTACTTAAAGATTATTATAATCAATTAAAAGTTTTTATGAAATCCATTATTTATATATAATTATGGACAGAGGCCTTGTCCGATACAAGAATCCTTTAAGCCCAATTAAGGAAGGGTCCTGCACAAACTAAAAGGGAGGAAAGACAAAATTATGAAAGACGTCAAGAAAACCAGATATCGAGTCTAAATCCACCGGCAAGGGACTGGTGAAAACTACGGAAATAAAGCCCTCCATCCCAGGTTTCCTTTGTCTATGCAAATTATAGTACAAACCGGAAGAGAATGCCCTGTACTCTGTGAATGGTAGAATTAATGGGTGATAAAGAGAGATTATTATTATTATTATTATTTAGAAAGATAAGAGATATTGTTGGTTTTCTTTGGAAAGCATATAAAAGGGGAAAGGTTTTAATGAACAATCTTTTGTTAGCCAAGTAACTTAGTTTTCACCGTTTATTACGTAATTCGAAAACATATGGGAACATAATTGGAAGAAAAAAAATTGTCACCGTTTTTTTTTTAATATAGGAACAAGTTATGAAAATATAATATTCAAATTATTTAAATGATTTATTTTTAAGAAATATTAAAATAGCACAAAAAAGGCGGTCAAGATTCGAGGAAGGAATCAAAAGTATAGAAGTTAGCTGGCCCTTTAGAGCATACCATGACCTTCAAATAACAAAAGAAATATTAATTTTAATCGAGTAAATTATATTTTAATCTTTCTAGATTGAAAGAGAATTACATAATTTCTCTAGTTTAAAACATTAATGACTTAGTTTTTCAATTAGTTCTAACTGTATTTAATTTAATTAATTTGTTTTTAAAAAAACTCTTGTCAATCTTTTTATAATATCTATTTATTTTTTTATCTTTTGTATTTTTTGAAATAAAAAATAAATTAGAAAATGATATAAAATAGATAAAAAAAGATTAATCAATTGGTTTTTCAAACTAGAAGAATTAATTTATTAATTACTCATATTATAGTTACATTTAAAAAAAGCTAAAAGAGTTGAGGTGATTTGTTATTCACAATGCTATTCGCTCGGTCTCACATATACTATTCATCCGGACTCATGTGTATTATTTATTTTTGTTGTGTAGTGGTATTTTTTAGATTTTTGGGCATTCATACGCGAATTTGCCATTAAATTCTTACAAACATTCTCATCAAATTAATTTTTTATTTTTTTATGTAATTTTATTTGTTAATGAATATGATCTATTTTTATCTATGTATGGATTTTCGAATAAGTTTTTTTATAAAAATAAATAATCTATTAAAAAATAGAATTCACAAATTTTATTTGCTTATTTTTTATATAATTAAAATTTATCGGAATCAATTTTCTAGTTATTTTTATTACAATCTATTAACTTCGATACATTCATTACGATTTTAAGATTTTTTTTAAAAATATTTTTTGATTTATACTGAACACTCTGACCCACTAAATATAGTCATTATGTATAAAAGAATTTAAATTATTGATTTTTATTGAAAATTAACTAATCATCTACACAAATAAAACCAATTATTTGCTATTTTTTAAATATTTTAAAATTAATTTATTTCAAATAAAACAATGTTTTAGAATAACCACCTAATCATTAAAATAAATTTTTTATACTATTATTATTGATTATTTTGTAAATAAATATATATAAATCAAGTGTACATATTTTGAAAAAATTAATCTTCCCATCAGCTTTAGAAAAAAAAGAAAAAGAAAGAAGGAGATCAATTTCTTAATTCTTATATAATTTTTTATATTAATTTTGATTTATTTTTTCAATACAATCTTTTGAAAAACATATTAAAATATTTTTCAAATTTTATATTTAGATCATTATAAGTTTTATCGAAGAATAAATACACAACATAGAAAAATCATGTTTTTTTAACTAAAATTTTTTTGAAAAATATAAAAAATTAAATACAAAATTTTGATTAAAAATTATAAAATTAAATGAATTTTTTATTTTATATATTTTAGTTATCAATGTTATAGCACATCAAACTAAAATAAACATATTTGATTGGGCCTAGAACGCAGAGTAGAAAGCCTTCTAATTAATTTCCAACCAAGTGACTAATTTATCCACACCAGCCCAGCCCGTCGAGTGGAAGCCGATTTACGCCACATGGAGCCCAATAAAGAGGAGTAAATTATACATTAGGGCTTCTAGTTTGGATAAACGAATTACTTAATCCCCTTGTTGCAAAATATAATCATATAATCTCTACCTTTTTAAATTTTCTCATAACTTCATCTTTTGGTATTTTTTTCAGTTTATTTTTTATTTTTTATTTTATTACGTAAAAAAAATTGAAAAAAATGACATTATTTAAAATAAATTAATATTAAATTAAGTACAGACAATCCAAATAAAAGGACTAAGTAATTAATATTTGAAGTAAGAGGAGCTAATAATTTTTTTCTTAAAAATAAAGGGACTAATATATAATTTAAGCCAAGAAAGTAAGAGGATTTTATAGTGATGGAGGCGAGAGTCCACGCAACGAACCCAAGCCAGACCGAATCGAACGATCCATACTCTTCTTGTTCATCGTTCAATTCGTCTTTGGCTCTGCAGAAATCACCATTGCTGTCTCCTCCTCGAGCTCCAAATATAAAATAGTGGGAGATAGAGGAGAAGAAAGAAACGACAAAGATGATAACGCGATCAAATTTGGCAGACCAATTAAGAGAGTATCAGATTCGATCTAAGCATGATTGGGCCTCTGTCTCCTTCTTTTCTTCCACTTCTAATTTCAGCTCTTCAAGGTATTTATCTTTATCCATCTCTTTTTTCACGTATCAATTTCGGATCTTTTTTCTTTCCTTCAGCTTTTAGATTTCTTGATTGCTACTTTAATTGGTTTGATTGTGAGATCTCTATTTTTTAAATGATATGCTTGCAAAGAAATTATAGTTTGTATAGGTCAGATCAGCGAGGGTTTGGATTATTTTTTATGGAATGTGGATTTTATTTATGGGATTTTGAATATGAAAGCTGAAAATTTAAGCTTTAGAAAATTGGTCGATCGATTGAATCAGTTTTTTAGGGTTTTGATTGGCTTGATAGGTTAAGAAAATCAATTTCTTTTTTCTTTTTTTGGGTTTTCTTATATGTGGAAATAGTTTGGAAAATTTTCCCCTTTTTGTGTCAAGTTGAACATTATGGAATTTAATTACCTGATGATGGAGCATTCCTGCTTGTGTATAAGAAAATTTTAGTTGATTAAAAAAGAGAAGGAAACTTGTTTAGATAAATCAAAATGGGTTCCTGAACGGTAGAATTTGGAAATGATCTGCTCAAGCCTTTATTACATCAAGCAAATTAACTGTGGATATTTGAGCAAAATGTGAAGAGAGAGAAATGTGTTTGGGGTGTAGAAGCTTGAGCACTTGTACTCTTGAGGAATGATTATAGCCATTTGCTAGAAGCTATGTAAAATTTGATTAACAAGGTATTTTTCAAGCACTGGTTTTGTATCGTTTGCGGTAAAAAGAAACACTTTTTACTGGTGACTAGATAGTTTCCGTCGCATGTAAGCCAATTACCACTCATTAAGAGCATGTTTGACTGTGTGAAATTGGTTGGAGTAGCATTTTATGAGTAAATCCTCTTTTTTGCAGGCTTTCTTTTTTTAAAAAAAAAAAAAATTCATGCTCTGAATAGGTGCAGCATATCCCAAGTACTAAAACTAATTTTGGTGGCCTTTCATAGCATCCCACTTTATTAGGGTTGGTAGTGACTGATTTCCCTGGATGGTCCCATTCAAGATGATAAGGTAGTACCTTAAGCTCATAAAAAGTTACAATCATCTAAGATATCTTTTCCTATTACAGCCGCTTCCCATATGCGAAGCAGAGATGCAAAAGTGGAAAAGATAAAATGCTTTCAAGATGATATCCTCTTTAGTTTCTTGTAGACAACACTCTGATATTGATTCACCAAGCACATGGATCTCCACAAAGGACAAGAAAAATAAAGTTCGAATGAAAACATCCAGTGAGCATAAATAATTTATGTAAGGTGATAAATAGGTGAGGAGATAAAACAGACTACGATTCATTTTCTTAGGAAAAATGTCAGTTTGGTGCCAGGGTACTTTTGGCATTTGCCTGCAGTTTCATGCATGTGAGGTTTGGGATGAGATGCTGAGCTCTAGATTTGGATAGTATGAGGCATTGGGTTTCGTTGTAGAAAGATAGTGGAATTAAGTTCTGTAGCTTATCATTGAAACACGATTTGATAGGATTGAGTGTTGAAGGAAACTTAGGGGATTGAAAAGGTAGTTTATGGTGAGCTTTAACGTAGGATACAGTCTTGCTGCATTTTGTTCTTGTTTGATTCGAATAGTTTCCAGCTGGGGATTTTGAAAAGGAGAAAGCAGTCTGATTCTTGATTCATTCAAAGAAACTAGTCTAGATACTAGATTAACCCTGTTGTTTGTGACTTGTGTAAGTCAGAGATAATAATTCAATTAATAACTGTTTGGGACATTTTCCTGATAAATGCAATTCAGTTATGTTTACTTTTGTAGACAGTAGTTGAGTGGTTGCAGAACTAAACTGAAACAGAGTAGATTTATTTTCCTGCCTTGCAGAGATTTGGATATTTCATGTAACTGGTGTCATTTCCTGGCAATTTATTGTATCAACAATTTACTTATGATAACTGAATGTTCTCGTGCTTTATTATCATAACTTAGAGAATGTTAATACACAACTCGTCTATAATAGTCCCTGCAATGTTATTTTCAATGACAAAATCTTTCTTTGTATCATCTACAATGACATCGATTCTGATTTTGTTTCTTCTCTTGTTCTGTGTATGTTTGCAGGGTTGACGTTGTGGTGTTTGTAATATGGGAACTCGTTATCATAGCATTCTTGGTTTTCTCTGCAGTTTCTTTATATTTTAGGAATATGCAACTTGCGTTTGTCTTAGTATGCATCACTATGCTATTGCTTTTATGCATGAAAGTTACAAAGCAAGTTCGATTGGCTAGGAAAAAGAAGCGAAGGATGCTTCTTCCTTTATCTATGTAAACTTTACAAGTAGTGAACCTTTCCCTAAACCAACACAACTTTGTTGTGTAGATTGATACAATTTCTGACCTTTGCATTAGACCCTTTCCCCCTGGTTTATTGCAATATATAATTCTATACCTAAAGCAAGTTGATTAAGGAATACGGTTGAGGTGATCATTAAAACGCATGCTGATTGAATTGGACGTTCATCACTCTGCATGGAAGATTGAGATGTTTTCATCCGAGGCAGTGACGGTCATCGAATGTGGGTTGGGAGGGTGCTGGTGTTAAAATTATTGTTTCTTTTTTGCTGCATGCATGTAGCATGGATAGCCGCCTTAACAAACACTAGCCAGGCTTGATTTATGAGACAAATGTTTGTAATATGTATGGGACACGAGTTTTATTTTTGTTGGTATACATCACTAATGTAAAGGAACGAGTAGGTGTTGTGAATTTTGGAGGCTCGTCTTTCTTAAGGTTCCAAACTTCCAATAATCTATTACTCTCTGCACGAACTATCTGTGTACAAGCTGCGGCAGAATTAACTTTTCTGGAATTTGGAGTGGAAGGACTTGCTACTGAAAATACTGTTATATATTTATCAACTATAATATCATATATTACATGTCAATATCAAGAGTAATATTCTTCAAGCAGGGGCTGTGCTCGTTAAGCCAGAAGGCATTTCATTTCATCAAACTGAAATCAGATTTAGAGCCGACTGCCTATTTATTTGGTAGGGCCCTGCTCACCGGGGCTTGAAGAAGTTAATTTCAATTCCCATGGTCACAATAGTCCATATTGCTCCAGCTATCACCAGTAGGCTAAGCACCATCCCCAAGACTCCCAGCATCCAATTCAGGCACCAGATTGCACTATATCTTGTGGGTTTTTTAATCAGTATCCACATGAAACATGGATATGCTAAGGTAATTGGAAGTGCAACCCCTCCAATCAATCCTGCCAAACTATTCAAGAAAGGAAGTGCCACAGATATGAAGAATGCCAAGCATCCAAAGAAGATCCTGAACACTGTTCGCAACCACAGTGGACATGGTTTCTTCATTTTGCTCGTATATCTAATCTCCAAATTGTCAAATACTGGCATTGCATATATCTGAAACGAGCTGAGGCAGCTAATCACAACCAATAGGCTTGTTAATCCTAACAGCCACTTAGATGTGTTACGTCCGTGATATTCCTGTAGAGCATTGAGCATCCCTCCGTTTGGCATCTGCCCATCAGAAGCAGAACACAACTTCTTGTTAGTTCAAAAAAGGCAACGTTTTTTGTAGTCATTATGTTCGTTGAGGCCTCAGTTACAGGCACAAGATCATTTGGTGGAAAAATATTTGTGCCTTACCAAGTTACCATAAGCCCAATAGCCCCCTATTGCAAGAGGAAACAAACACATAGCAATGATTACATATGCCAGCTTTACTCCTCTCCACATTGGCTTACGGGATGGTTGCTTTGCACTCGAAGGCATGGTCCCCTAAAACATTAATTCAGCACACAAATCATATGGCCAGATCTAATGCAAAATGAAAGCACTTCAGTTTTCCATTTTCGGGCAAAAGAGAATTTATGTAAGATTGCTATCTATCTAACCTGTATTTCAAGCACAAGATTGTGACCTCTGAAAGCAAAGGCGATTATCCCAAATGCATTTAGAATGCCACAAATTCTAGCCATATCAGATTTTGCCTCTGGAGGGTCATAGGACACCCCCTCAGGCCTTCCTTTACTAATGGACACTGCCCATATCAGTGTACAGTAGCTAATAGCTGTGATCGCTCCGATCAGGGAAACTCCAGCTATAGAATTCAAGTTGGGGAGCTGAGCTAGAGCAATTGCCAAACAAGTGAACAAGAGGTACCACTCTATTGTCGTTAATGGCCTCATGCTGCATGCGTCTCCGCAGACAATATGGAAAAATATCTTCATGGTTCCACCACCTATCATAATCAGGGTCACACAGGTTCCACCTGACAGATACATGATTGGGAAGAGGGCAGCAAGCTTCCCCAGCTTTTCACCTGAAAATATAAACCACATGTTTTTATCTTCTCTGAAGTAGACATGTGTTTCTCGTATTCTATCTATCTTTCATAACTTTAGACCTCAAAAGTAGTCTTTTTGCAAACAAATCTTTTTAATCAATCCTTAATTAGTACTTAATACTTTTAACATGTAAATGTACCGAAGCAAATTATCTCATGCGAAGTAATGATGCAAAGAGATGTTTTAGTAGAAAAACACTCTCCTTATCATGTCAAACCTTTCTCAAAGTTTTCCAAGGTTTCAAACCTTTTTTTTTCCTATAGATTTTGTGCCTTTTGCAAATGATCAGCGAACCTTCAAAACGAAAAGAGAAAAAAGGTAGCTATGGAGTGAGATCAAAATTTGTTCACTGTGCCTCTAGTTCTAGCATTCGTGCCCAAAAACTAGTACATGGTTGATGACACCACCTTTTACGAGAGAAGTTCTTTATGAAGAGAAAATTTATGCAAGTTGAATAAATTTATGGTCGAGTAATAATTCGCATGAAGATGTTATAGGCATGACGCGCTCACCAAAAGCAGCCATTGATAATCGGAGATATCTGCTATAGCGCATCCCGGATTCTGATTCGTGTAGCTGAATCAATAGCCATAGGGTGTATAGCTGCCACATGAAAACTAAAGATAGACATAGAATTCCCCAAGTCCTGCAGCCAAATTGAAAAAGAAAAAATAAACTAAAACTTTACATTTACAAAAGTCAAATTGCATGCCGAATTATAATGTTTTGTTCATTAAGTAAAAAAAAAAGTTAAGAGAGATTCAAGGAAAGGTCCTTAATTTTCATGATCAGTGTGGAGGGTTGATGACTTGATATTAATGAAGCTCAATTACCAGCTAAGAGTGGTGAAAGCAAGCGGGAGAACAAGGGCTTGAACTCCAATTCCTGAGCTCAAAGTGTGAAATGCCGAGTAGTATGCGTTACCATTTCTAGACTCGGTTATTGGAAGCCATGCCTCCTGGGGATCAAGCTTGGTGAAGTGGCCAACCTCTTCCAAGCAACATTGCATGCTTGCAATTGCCTTCTTCATGGGGCTGGATATAGGAGTACTCATTAGACGCGAAGCTAAAGGACTTTTGGGTGTTTTCGGAGTTTTGGGAGCTATGTGATCTAGCAATGGTGACCTTGTCATTGAAGGACAGTGGAGTTGAAATGGAGGTGCAGAAATTGCTGGAATTTCTGCCCTAGGACTCAAACTTTCAGGTCTCATGAATTTCATTTCCACTCTCTCTTCCATCACAGCAACAATTCAGCTTAAACAACGCTCACAAACAATTCTCACTTGTCTTAAAAGTGTCAGTGATTGATATGCTGTATCTCTTTGGGCCAATGTTCGATTTATATAGTGCCAATCAATGAAGAAACTGGGTCCTGAGATAACGGAGTATGTACAGTGCAACTTTTAGGGGAGTGTCCTTAGGCTTTTAGGTTGATGTTGACGTGCATGCTGTCATGCTGAGTAGGTAAGGACTCGTGAGGTTTACGTGCATATTTGGCCCATTATATTTTCAAAGATGGAATCTTATTGACTGACCCTATTCTGTGGCTGCTGTCCATCCTCGCTAAAGATCGCACAACCAATGAGCGTCTACTACTTTTTAAAAGCTGTCTGTTTCTTCAATATCATTTACTTGGTAGAAAAAGCTATAGTCGCAAAAGATTAATCTAGATCTTTAAAATCAGAATATCCTAGAAATTCCAAAACAAAAAGCTTGTCTATTTTGATTCTAGCTGATACCGCAGCCACCCCGTCCAAGGTATGCCTCGTCCTTTAGGCATAGACATATATATATTTGTTATATGTAGTTAAATTTTTTAGGATTAATTTTTAAATCAATTAAAATTAAATTTATTATTTTTAAATTAGATTAGAATCGAATCATAATATCTTTTAGTTGATTTTAAAAATTAAATTTTATGAATCCATCACTAGTGTTACATAAAAGAGAATAAAACGTTTTTTTTAATTAAAAATCAAACTTATTATCCAGTAGATCAAAAACATTTTTTTACCGCTCTACCTATTGCTTTCAATTATCAATTTTAATTATGCACTTTTAAATTGCATGACAACATTAAAAAAAAAAAAAGGTGCCAAAAAATACTTAAGCTTAAATAGGGGTGGCAATTTGTCTCGCTCGACGGAATCCTACCCCGTCTCATCTCAATCAATGCGGAAATCGTCCGAGTTGATTAGGGAATGAGGCGAGGTGTCTTGCTTGGTATTAATTTTGAACGGAGATGAGGCAAGGATAGTATTTGTCTATTACGCTTGTTTGTCTCACTTTATTTTTGAAATTAAAATTACACGTTATATAAAATTTGTGATTATTAACTTTTAGGGTTTATTTTTTATTTGAACTATTATTTTTTTGCTACGGTTTAAAATTTGATAATAGAATGGAGCGGGATAGGACGAAACAAAAAATTAAATGGGACATCAATGCTCGCGGGGATTCTCGTCCTCGTTTGAGGCGAGGATTGTATGAAAAATTGACTTAGATAAAACACACAAGAAAGGATAAATATCGTTGATCTAAAGTCTAGATATCGATCTACTACAACTCGTTGAATTGCACACACAAACACCAAGAAATAGGCTTCAAACCCGTTGATTTAAAGAATATCGAGAATTGAAAAAACCGAGATACTCTCTCTCACAAAAGTTTATTAATCAAGTAAAAAGTGCTATTTTTCAGCCTAGAAGTCTTATATAAATAATAAATTTTGGGTCAAAATCCAAAAAAAAAAATTGAAAAAAAAACAAACACTAAAAATCCAAAATTAAATAAGAAAAATCCCTAAAATCCTGCAAAAACGAGTAAAATATAATTTGAGGGCCTAAACTATATATTTTTTTACCAAAATCATCCCTACTTCATGGGTTTTGAGTTTTGTTCTTTGGCCTGTTTGGTATCGAATTAAGTCTAAAAACCCTTAAAATTAAGCCGACAATCCCAAATCACGTCACCATCCGTCATCGTGCTACTTCATAAATTTGAAGATCTTTTGATCTATATCATAAATATTACCTCGTACGAGACATAGGACGGAAACGGAGCAAAATTTTCATCCCCGCTCGACCCCATTGCCATTCCTAAGCTTAAAGCAATCAATCCCCTATTCCAGGTAGCAAATACAATTTTAGAGACGAGAGATGTATATAATTTTTTTAATGAATTTATGATTTAATCTTGTAGACTCTCTAATTTATATATAAAAAAATTCCGCAATAAATTAGACTTATTCTTCCCATCGAATTTTAAAAAGATTATTTATATCCAAATTAATACATAATTTGGAAAAAAAATTGTTAATTCAAGATGATAACAGAATGAATGATTAAATTCATTTACCATCCAAACCAATACCTAAAACTGACAGCTAATGACAAAATTGGTGATCAATCGGTCGATCATCAATTTGCGTAAGAAATTATAAACTGCTTCCTCAATTATTGAACTTTCACCGTTACTATGAGAGTGTGTTTTTATCATTTTTTACACGTCATAAAATGGGAAAGAAACATGACGCTAGCAAGGTTTACTGCAGCTGAGCTCATCTCTGAAACCTCGCCTCGCACGATGCATAGTCTCCCAGGGTTTCTTTTTTCTTTTTCATTTTTTTCCTCTCATTTTCCTTCTTTTGTTCGAATTGCTTTTGGGTACAATAATGTTTTCCATTTTGTCTGCTTGATAAGTTTAGATACATGCATGTTCCTGTGAAGCATCGATCCTCTTCGACGAATAGACCACTGATCGATCAAGCTTTATATAAGAGGCAATTTGCAGACAGAGCAGGCCCATATTTATTGAATTTAATATATATATATATATATATATATATATATATATATATATATATATATATATATATATATATATATATATATATATATCTTTGCAAGATCATTCATAATTTAAATTAGTATATTTATAATTCTTTTTATTGAAACTTTTTTGAATTTGAGATGATAATTTCTTAATTTCTTCTCTTTTTGAGTACCCTGGCGATCCATATATCAGTGAGTCGCAATTTGGACAAGTAACCTGATGATAGAATTATTTTCACCTATGGTGTTAGGAATTTTCCAAATAAAGTTATTTTGCTTCAAATAATTATATATGTTAAATTAATAAAAAAAATTGTAAATATTTGTTCTTCTAACCCAACAATATCTAGCTAGTCCATAAACAAGTCAAATGTAAGCAAATTTTATTTTCTATCTTTTTTGTTAATCCATATAAAAAAAAATAGTGATCTTATATTTTTCAACAGAAAACTGTGTTGGTATTATACTATTTTTTTTTTAATTTCAAAAAAACTCCATCGCACTTATGTCGGATTTAAAATTTAAGATTTTTTCAATAATATCAACTACAAGTTATAAGAAATGAGATTCAAACTCTCAACCTTATAAATGAAACTTTTATTATTTATCAAAAATCTATACTTGTCCCCCACTATGTGAATTATTGACTTCTATACGAAAGCTACATTATCTTGACCAAAGTCAAAAAAGGATCGGATTGAAATTCAATAAAACGCATAACAAGAAAAAGTAAAAATAAAAACAAAATTTCCAAAGCTACTTTTGAGAAAGGAAAACCTAAGACTCTCTTTATCATCACGCCACTGCCAAAACGCTGAAGAAACCTCACTCTCTTTGAAATTGCGTAATTGCTAGATCACAAGCTAAAATCTCAACCCAATGAAAATAAAAAGACATCGCTACATTTATGGTGTTTCAGGAGTAGAAAAACGTTATTTTTTAGATCTTTCAATATCTTAAATTCAAAAATCAAAATTAATGTCTCATTATTCTGTGGGATGTATGATATTAACGAGGACATTTATTAAAAAAGTTATATATATATAAATTCGAAATCACTTGTTTAAAAAATTAAAAATTTTTACCTCAAACCAACACTTTTGGATAAAATTTATATTTATTTTTTGATTAAGAAAAAAAAAACTAGTATTTTAAATGCTTTAAAATCTTGAAATTTTAAACCTTCAGTCGACAAATAATGGTTAATCGGAAATATGAAATAATGCCTTGAGACTTGTTATAATACTTTTGCACCAACCATCTAGTCAACAACTCAACATCCAGACCAATTTACATTCACAATTCTAAAAACTTAGAATTCAACTGACGGCCATTAAAACATGAAATAATGGAATTATAAATACATTATTTTTAATATTTTTTCAATCGAGTATATAATTTTTTTTTTAGTATATTGATTTTTTCAAAGATTTCAATTAAATATTTTCATCCAACTTTTGCTGCAAGATGATGTGTCTTTGCTCTAAATTATTAAGTTATGATTTTATCTTTTTATTTTTAAAAGAAGCTTTCTCTTATAAATTATTTTGTTATTTTCAATTTGGATATTTATATACAATAAAGTACAAAAAATAAATTTAGAGGAAAAATTCCCTATTAAACAAAAAGCAAAATGATAATTTAAAAAGATAGGATAAAGAGTACATTCTCAAATAACAACAATGCAACTGAGAAAATAATAAATTATTTAGTTGAATAAAAAATATTTAATTAACAATTTAAAAAATTAATACACTCGAATAAAATTAATAAAATTTATTATATAGTCAATTGAGAAATTATTAAAAATTAATATTTTTTAACTGTGGAGACAGGAAATTACCATACATCACCTAACTTCGTGGTCGAAAAAATGCATTATTTTAGTCTCACCAAAGATCTTTAACAACCAAGGAGCCTAGCAAGGCCCCAAAGACACACAAAATTAATCTAGTGACTCTTGTCGAATTTTGAGTGCATAAATTTGTAATTTGGTTTGCAAGAGACTGTGTGAATAATAGATTAATGATAAATTTAGTTTTAAGTGATGTAAAAATTAATTTTAAAAATATTTTAATTAAAAAATATTTGGCAATGATAGAATCTTTCATAATAATAACAATTTGTTAGTTATTATTGAAATATCACAACAGATTATAGAAATTAAGCAAGTCAATTACGATAAGAACAAGTTTAGTTTCTAATTAAATGAATTAACAATTTTCAATTGGATTTGCAGAACAATGTATGAACAGATCAATGATAAATTTCTTCAACTAACGAAATCGACGAGCATATCGTTGGATGGATGAATAGCTTTCGATGTGTTTGATTGATTAACAAAGCCAACAACCTCAAAAGGTGTTGGAATATCATCAGCAGCATGTTGCCCTGTGGTGCTAACGACCAGTCAGTCCATGCAAGAAAATTGTTGATTGGAAAAGTAAAAGATCAATAAGGAAAAAGAAGAGTAGATTGTAAATTAGTCTCTTTAGTCTTTAGTCTTTCAAAATAAATAAAACAGTCCCTCTAGTTTAAATAGTTAATTAATTAGTCTCTATATTTTTAAATCTATTTGTAATTTAATTCTTTTCAAATTTTTTAATAAATAGAAAAATAAATTAAAAAAAAAAAAAATTGATGAGAAAATAAGATATATTTTATATAAAATAATATTAAATTAATCATGAACAACGCTAGTCATGGAACTAATTAATTATTATTATTATTTAAAAAATAGATTATTCAATTCGATTTAGAAAATAGGAAATTGCGTTCGAAATATGTATAATGAGCAAACCTCAGTTTAGTCTCAAATTTATATATTCATTTTTAATTGAGTCTTAAACTCATAAGTGTTATCAATTTGATCCCAAACATTTCAAAATATTCATTAGCAATTGCTAGTAAATTAGAAATAGTTGGATATAAATTAAATTAATCATCAAACACCAAACAAATCTTACAAATCAACAATGTAGAGACTTCTCTAAGACGATTAGCTTGAGTAAAAGAAGTTTTAATCGTTTAAATAAATAGCTTTGGGTTCTAATTTTTGTATACACATAAAACTTGTTAGATAGTTGTGTTTTTCTCATGCGTTCGACAAAATAATAGGAGGTTAGTTTGGGTTTTTAAAATTGAGATACCTTGAGAATCAAAAAAAAAAAAAAAAAAAAGGTGAGGGCGTCATCCTCTTCAAGAAGTTTTATTCTTTAGAAAAATCACATTCTTTTATTTCCCTGTATATTTCAAAGAATTTTTAACCTCTTTTATTTTTTTATAATGTTTTGCTTATTAAGAAAAAAAAGTTAAGAGAGGCTCAACGGAAGGTCCTTAATTTTTATGATCAGTGTGGAGGGTTGATAACTTGATATCAATGAAGCTCAATTACCAGCTAAGAGTGGTGAAAGCAAACGGGAGAACAAGGGCTTGAACTCCAGTTCCTGAGCCCAAAGTGTGAAATGCCGAGTAGTATGCGTCACCGTTTCTAGACTCGGTTATTGGAAGCCATGCCTCCTGGGGATCAAGCTTGGTGAAGTGGCCAACCTCTTTCAAGTAACATTGCATGCTTGTAATTGCCTTCTTCATGGGACTGGCTATAGGAGTACTCATTAGACGCGAAGCTAAAGGACTTTTGGGTGTTTTGGGAGTTTTGGGAGCTATGTGATCTAGCAATGGTGACCTTGTCATTGAAGGACAGTGGAGTTGAAATGGAGGTGCAGAAATTGCTGGAATTTCTGCCTTAGGACTCAAACTTTCAGGTCTCATGAATTTCATTTCCACTTTCTCTTCCATCACAGCAACAATTCAGCTTAATCAACCCTCGAAAAAAATTCTCACTTCTTCTTAAGAGTTATCAAAGATTGATATGCTGTATCTCTTGAGGCCAATGCTTGATTTATGTTTTGCAAATCAGTGAAGAAACTGGGTCCTGAGATAACAAAGTATAACAATGCAACTTGTAGGGGAGTGTCCTTAGGCTTTTAGGTTGATATTGACGTGCATGCTGAGTACGTGAGGACTCGTGAAGTTTACGTGCATATTTGGCCCAATATATTTTCAAAGTTGGAATATTATTGACTGACACTGGCGTGTGGCTGCTGTCAATCCTTGCTAGAGATAGCACAACCAATTAGCGTCTAATACTTTTTAAAAGCTTTCTGTTTATTCAAATATCATTTAGTTGATAGAAAAAAGCTATAGTCGCAAAAGATTAATCTAGACCTTTAAAATCAGAATATCCTAGAAATCCCCAAAAAAAAAAAAAAGCTTTTCTATTTTGATTCTAGCTGACACCGCAGCCACGTCCCTTAGGCATTGACATATATATTTGTTATATGTAGTTAAATTTTTTAGGATTAGTATTACTTTCAATTATATATCAGTTTTAATTATGCACTTTTAAATTGCATGGCCCCATATATATATATATATATATATAAATCAGAAATGTCAGAAAATACTTAAGCTGAAAGCAATCAATCCCCTGTTGCAGGCAGTAAATACAATTTTAGAGACGAGAGATGTATATAGTTCTTGTAATCGATCTTTGATTTAATCTTGTAGACTATCTAATTTATATATATAAAATAATCCTCAATAAATTAGACTTATTCTTCTTATCGAATTGTAAAAAGATTATTTATATCCGAATTAATACATTTATTTTAGAAAAAAAATTGTGAATTCAAGTTTATAACGGGATGAATAATTAAATTCATTTACCTTCTAAACCAATATCTAAAACTGACAGCTAACGACAAAATTGGTGATCAATCGGTCAATCTTTTGCGAAAGAAATTATAAACTGCTTCCTTAATTATTGAACTTTCACTATTTACTATAAGAGAATGTGTTTTTATCATTTTTTACACCTCATAACATTGCAAGAAACATGACGCTAGCAAGGTTTCGGCAGCTGAGCTCATCTCTGAAACCTCACCTCGCACGACAGGCTTTCTTTTCTCTTTTTCATTGTTTTCTCATTTTCCTTCTTTTGTTCAAATTGCTTTTGGATACAATAATGTTTTCCATTTTGTCTGCTGGATAAGTTTAAATACATGCATGTTCCTGTGAAGCTTCCTCTTCGACGAATAGGCCAGTGGTCGATCAAGCTTTATAAAAGAGGCAAGGCAGACAAAGCAGGCCCATGTATATATATATATGTATATATATATATATATATATATATATATATTTATCTTAGCAAGATCATTCATAATTTAAATTAGTATATTTATAATTCCTTTTTCTTGAAATTTTTTTTGAATTTGAGATGATAATTTCTTAATTTCTTCTCTTTTTGAGTACCCTGGTGATCCATATAGCAGTGAATCGCAATTTGGACAAGTAACCTGATGATAGAATTATTTTCACCTATGGTGTTAGGAATTTTCCAAATAAATTTATTTTGCTTTAAATAATTATATATTTTCAATAATAAAATTTTGTAAATATTTGTTCTTCTAACCCAACAATATCTAGCTAGTCCATAAACAAATCAAATGCATGTAAGCAAATTTTATTCTCTATCTTTTTTGTTTATCTATATAAAAACATAGTTATCTCATGTTTTTCAACTGAAAACTGTGTTAGTATTATACTATTTTTTTATTTGAAAAGCTTTAAAATTTAAGATTTTTTCAATGATATAAACTACATGTTATAAGAAATGAGATTCAAACTCTCAACCTTATAAATCTAATTTTTATTATTTATCAAAAATCTATACTTGTCCCCCACTACTGTGAATGATTGACTTCTATACGAAAGCTAGATTATCTTGACCAAAGTCAAAAAAGTCTCGGATTCAAATTCAATAAAAGGCATAACAAGAAAAGTAAAAGTATAAAAAAAATCTCCAAAGCTACTTTGAGAAAGGAAAACCTAAGACTCTCTTTATCATCACGCCACTGCCAAAATGCTGAAGAAGCCTCACTCTCCTTGAAATTGCCTAATTGCTACATCGCAAGCTAAAATCTCAACCCAATGAAAATAAAAAGACATCACTATTTATGGGTTTCAGAAATACAAAAAACCTTCTTTTTTTTATCCAAAAAGTTTTTTACATATATAAAAATTTGAATTTAAAACCACTTACTTAAGCGATTAAAATTTTTTCTACTCAAGCTAACTTTTTTGGATAAAACTTATATTTATTTTTTGATCAAGAAAAAAAAACTAGTATTTTAAATGCTTTAAAAACTTGAAATTTTAAACCTTCAGTCGACAAATATGAAATAATGCCTTGAGACTTGTTATGCTACTTTTGCACCAACCATCTAGTCAACAATTCAACAGCCAGACCGATTTACATTCACAATTCTAAAAACTTGGAATTCAATTGTCGACGGCTGTTAAAACATGGAATAATGGAATTATAAATATATTTTTTTAATATTTTTTTAATTGAGTATATAAATTTTATTTTTTATTTTAATATATTATTTTTTTCAAAATTTTCAAATAAATATTTTCATCCAACTTTTGCTGCAAAATCCGATGATGTGTCTTAATTTGCTCTAAATTATTAAGTTATGATTTTATCCTTTTATTTTTAAAAGAAGCTTTCCCTTATAAATTATGTTGTTATTTTCAATTTGGATATTTATATACAATAAAGTAGAAAAAAATAAGTTTAGAGGAAAAAAATCCCTATTGAATAAAAAGCAAAATCATAATTTAAAAATATAGAATAAAGAGTACATTCTCAAACAACAACAAAGCAACTGAGAAAATAATAAATTATTTAGTTGAATAAAAAAATTTTAATTAATAATTTTAAAAATTAATACACTCCAATAAAATCAATTAAATTTATGTTGTAAATTGAAAAATATTTAATAATTAATATTTTTTAATAGTAGAGACAGGAAAGTACTATACATCACCTAACTTCGTAGTAAAAAAATGCATTATTTTAGTCGCACCAAAGATCCTTAACGACCAAGGAGCTAGGCCCCAAAAACATACACAATTGATGGATTGAGCCCATGACTCTTGTCAAATTTTGAGTGCATAAAATTTTAATTTGGTTTGCAAAATTACCGATAAATTTAGTTTCGAATAATATAAAAATTAATTTAAAAGTATTTTAAATAAAAAATATTTGGCAATGATAGAATCTTTTATAATAATAACAATTTGTTATTTATTATTGAAATGTCACAGCAGAGTATAGAAATTAAGCAAGTCAATTACGATTAGAACAGGTTTAGATTATAATTAAATGGATTCACAATTTTCAATTTGATTTGCAGAACATTGTATGAACAGATCAATGATAAATTTCTTCAACTAACGAAATCGACGAGCATAACGTTGGATGGATCAATAGCTTTTGATGTGGTTCATTGATTAGCAAATACCAACAACCTCAAAAAGTGTTGGAATATCATCAGCAACACGTCGGCCCGGGGTGCTAACTACCAGCCATGCAACAAAATTGTTGATTGGAAAAGTAAAAGATCAGTAGGGAAAAAAGAAGAGTAAATTATAAATTAGTCTCTTTAGTCTTTAATTTTTTTCAAATAAATTAAATAGTTAGTTAATTAGTCTCTATATTTTTAATTTACTTGTAATTGAATTCTTTTCAATTTTTTTAATAAAAATAAAAATAAAATAAAAATGTAAAAAGATTGATGAAAAAATAAAATATTTTTTTTATATAAAATAATATTAAATTAATCATCATCAACACTAGTCATAAAACTAATTAATTATTATTTTTAAAAAAGAGATTATTTAATTCATTTTGGAGAATAGAAAATCGGGTGCCAAATATGTATAATGAGCAAACCTTAGTTTAGTCTCGAATTTATATATTTATTTTTAATTGAGTCTCAAACTTATAAGTGCTATCAATTTAATCCCAAACATTTCAAAATATTCAATTGCTAGTAAATTAGAAATAGTTGGATATAAATTAAATTAATCATCAAACACCGAACAAATCTTGCAAATCAATGATATAAACACTTTTCCAAGATGATTGATTTGAGCGAGAAAAAGCTTTAGTCATTTAACTAAGTAATTTCGAATTCTAATTATATGCACCGATAACCTTTTAAATAGTCACACTTTCCTTATTTGTCGAACAGAATAACAAAAAATTAGCTTAGGTTTTCAATATCTTAATACCTTGAAAAAAAAAGAAAAGAAAAGAAAAGAAGGGGGGGGGGGGGGGCTCTTCAAAGGGTTTTATCCTCTAGAAAAATCACATTCTCTTAATTCCCTATATGTTTCAAATAATTCAACTGAAACCTCTGGTCTCCTTTTCTTTTTGCAACTGGGTCCTTCGTTTCATATCTTTATTTCCTTTTTCAGAACTAAAGGATTTTCTCCCCTGTCTAGAAAAACTAAAGGAATCGAAATGAAATTAAAAGTTTATTTTAAGGTCCTTTCTCTTTCTGGAGCCTATTTCGAAACATGATTCTGAGATGGAGGCCTTTTCCTAGTTTCCAGGAGTTTTCTTGCATGCAGACAGGTGAGTTTAGACTGTAGGAAATTTCTAAGACGGTGGCTTTATTCTGTTTTTTAAGGTCCTTTCTAACTTTGTCTTTCCTCGGGTTATGTATAGTTTGTACGAGAGTAAATTATAAATTAGTCCCTTTATGCTCTAGAAACAAATTAATTAATTCTCTGTAGTTTAAAAATTATTTATTTAGTTTTTTAACCAATGTTAATCATTTTTTAATTTAATATTACTTTATTTCATAAAATGTCATTATTTTTAATTAATCCTTGTATATTTTTGCTTTTTTTTATTTTTAAAGCAAAAAACAAAATAAATTTAAAAAGAGCGACTTAGATCAAGTAATAGGAAAATTCTAGAAAATATAATATTAAATAATTATTTTTTGAAACGAGAAAAACTAATTAATTTATTTTTTAAAATTAGAGATACTAAAATTTAACCAATGTTAATATTTTTAATTTAATATTACTTTATTTCATAAAATGTCATTATTTTTAATTAATCCTTGTATATTTTTACTTTTTTTATTTTTTTTAAAAAAAGATAAATTTAAAAAGAGCGAAAAAGATTAAGTAATAGAAAATTATAGAAAATAAAATATTAAATAATTAGTTTTTTAAACGAGAAAAATTAATTAACTTAATTTTCAAAATTAGAGAGACTAATTTATCATCTACTCAGCTTTAACCTGAAATGTCAATATTGTTTCTTAAAAAAAGAAAAGAAAATAGCAATGATAAAATAAAAAATTCAATTAACATATAAATCATTGTATTAAAGGCAACCGATAACAAATAGCCTGGAACTAATACATAGGACGCATCCTGAACATGTATATTCCTTCATGTTTAATCCAGTTTAACATTAAAACAAGAAAGGATCGTAACTCTTAGTTAGCAGACAAAAACATAGAGGAATTTTATCGTATCTGAACATCAGCTATATAAATATGAACATTTTTTAGTTGATCATATGCACGCCTGCTCTTCCTTTGATCTTGCATAAGCCTAAACGATTCAGAGCTTGGATGTTGCGAGCTTGATAAGATCCTTTCTGAGAATCTTGCCCGATGGATTCTTAGGTATCGCAGCGATAAATGCGACTCTCCGGATTCTTTTGTATGGAGCCACCTATACACATAGCAGGAACCAAAAGGATGCCAAAAAAAGAAGAAATCAAGAACTGGTGGGACAAAGTTGATGCAGACTGTTCCCGTCCCCGTCCTAAAAATTTTCCTTTTTGCTAGAGGGATAAATGTTATCAAGTAATCAACAAATCTTGAAGAGAACAATCATTTATCTCGAGTGGACCGTCCCCGTCCTATCATTTTTTGTTCAGCAGTAAGGGGGTCCCGCGGACCGTCCTGTCATTTGAAAGTGCGTGACATGAAGAAAAAAATTGACTTGTCTTTTCTATCAAGTTTATCTTTTTATTTACCAGAATAAATAAAGTTGAGGACATCATGAATATTGCCCCACATCATTGGTTTTTCAAAAATAAATTAAATAGTCCCTCTAGTTTAAATAGTTAATTAATTAACTTCTATTTTTAAAATCTATTTATAATTTGATTTTTAGTTTTTTAATAAACATAAAAATAAAATAAAAAATAAAAAGATTGATGAAAAAAAACATTTTTATATAAAATAATATTAAATTAATCGATCAATACTAATCGTGAAACTAGTTAATTTTTTTTTTAAAAGAGATTATTTAATTCGTTTTGGAAAATAGAAAATTGGGTGCGAAATATGTTTAATGAGCAAACCTTAATTTAGTCTCGAACTTATACATTCATTTTTAAACGAATCTCAAACTTACAAGTGTTATCAATTTGAACCCAAACATTTTAAAATATTCATTAGCAATTGCTATCAAAATAGAAATAATTGGGTATAAATCTAATTAATCATCAAAATCCTAATAAATCTTACAAACCAATGATGTGGGCATTTCTCCAAAAAGATTGACTTGAGCGAAATAAGCTCTAGTCGCTTAAACAAATAATCTTGAATTCTAGTTTTTGTGTATACTGAAAACTTTTTTAATAATTAAATTTTTTTTTATGTGTCCGACAGAATAATAAAGAATTAGTTTAAATTCTTTAAATTGAGATACCTTGAAAAAAAAAAAAAAAAGGGCAGTGTCGTCTTTAAGGAGTTTTATTCTTTAGAAAAGTCACATGCTTTTAATTCCTTATGTGTTTCAAATAATTCAATTCAAACCTCCCGTCTCCATTTCTTTTTGCAATCGGGTCCTTGGTTTCATATCTTTATTTTCTTTTAATTACCTATTGTTTCAAATAATTCAATTCAAACCTCCCATCTCCATTTCTTTCTGCAATCGGGTCCTTGGTTTCATATCTTTATTTTCTTTAAAAAAGTTTATTGAAAGTTTCAGATAATTTTTTGAATCCACCACTGGTTCATAACTAGTGTCACATAAAAGAGGTTAAAACTTTTTTTTTTAAATTAAAAATCAAACTTATGATCTAGTAGATCAAAGATATTTTTTACGGCTCTACCTATTACTTTCAATTACCAATTTTAATTATGCACTTTTAAATTGCATGGCCCCATAGAAAAAAACAGTAGTGCCAAAAATACTTCAGCTTAAAGCAATCATTCCCCTGTAGCAGGCAACAAATATAATTCATTTTGGAGACGAAAGATGTATATAATTTTTTTAATCGATCTCTGATTTAATGTGGTAGACTCTCATATATATATATATATAGCCTTATTCTTCTGATCGAATTTTAAAAAGATTATTTATATCCAAATTAATACATTAATTTTAGAAAAAAATTGTGAATTCAAGATGATAACGGGATGAATAAATTCATTTACCATCTAAACCAATACCTAAATTGATAGTTAACGACAAAATTAGTGATCAATCGGTCAATCATTTGCGTAAGAAATTATAAACTGCTTCCTTAATTATTGAACTTTCACTATTACTATAAGAGCATGCGTTTTAATCATTTTTCACACGTCAGAACATCGCAAGAAACATAACGCTAGCAAGGTTTCGGCAGCTGAGCTCATCCCTGAAACCTCACCTCGCGCTATGCTTAAAGTCTCACAGGCTTTCTTTTTTCTTTTTCAATTTTTTTTCTCATTTTCTTTCTACCGTTAAAATTGCTTTTGGGCCAATAATGTTTTCCATTTTGTCTGCCGGATAAGTTTAAACACATGTATGTTCCAATGAAGCATCCTCTTCGACGAATAGGCCACTGATCGATCAAGCTATATAAAAGAGGCATTGATGCAGACAAAGCAGGCCCATATATATTGAATTAAAATTATTTTTTTTTGCAAGATCATTCATAATTTAAATTAGTATATTTATCATTCTTTTTTATTGACACTTTTTTTTTTTTTAATTTGAGATGATAAATTCTTAATTTCTTCTCTTTTTGAGTACCTGGGTGATCAATATAACCCTGATCACCTCTTTTTTTTTTTTTTTTGTTCCGCAACTATTCATTTTTTTTTTTCAAGTTGTTATAAATAAATGCCTTTTCTTTTTTTCCCCCTTTGTCTTTTTCCATCAATTTAGGTTCTTTTTTATCTTTTTTTTTTTAATTTTTTAGATTATTTCATTTTGATCTCTAAAATTTTAAAATAAAAATTTAATCCCCTAACTAATGCACTGATCATGCCTTTTCTTTTTTTTTCCTTTGCTTTTTTTCCATCAATTTATGTTTTTTTTTTTTAATTTGATTAGATTTTAAATTTTTAAAAATTTAATCATAACTTTTTTCACACAAATAGACAATTATATAATGTATACGATATATATTTTTTCGAGTTGTTTCACTATGCATGTCTTTTTTTCTTACTTTTTCCCATCAATTTAGGTTCTTTTATTTATTTATTTTTTAAAAAAATTTAGATTGTTTCATTTTGGTCTCTAAAATCTTAAAATAAAAATTTTAATCCCCCTAACTAATGCACTACTCTTGCCTTTTTTTTCCTTTGTTCTTTTCCTTTGCTTTTTTCCCATAAATTTATGTTCTTTTTTTTTTATTTAATTAGGCGTTAAAATTTTAAAAAATTAATTAATATTTTTTCCATACGAACTGACTATTATATAACACTACTCATGACTCTCTTTTTTTACTTTGCTTTTTTTTTCATCAATTTATCTTCTTTTTTTTTTTTAATTTAATTAGGTGTTAAAATTTTAAAAAATCAATTGTCACTTTTTTTCCATACAAACGGATGATTATATAACATATACGATATTTTTTTACATTTATACGATATGTTTTTAGATTTTAGAATAAATATAAACTACTCTTATTGTTTTTTCAATAAAAAAAATCTCATCAAGTTAATTTTTATTCTTATTTTTTTATAATTTTATTTATTAATAAATATGACTTATTTTCTCTATGTATGGATTAAAATATGTTTTTTTATGCTTTTTTTATTTGCTTAATTCTTAAATAGTCAAATTTTAAAAATTGAATATATGTATTTTATTTTCTTATTTTTTTGCATAATCAAATTTTATCGAAATCGGTTATATATTTTTTATTGCATTCTATTAACTTCAATATATATTTTACCATTTAATTTTTTAAAATAGTTTTTAATTTATTTTATACATTCTCACATATTGAGTACAATCATGATATATCAAAAATAATAACATTAGAGCGATTGATTTTATTAGAAATCAACTATGCATCTACACACACGATACCAACTATTTGATATTATTTTTTTAATATGTAAAATGATTTTTTTAAAATAAAATAATTGAAATAATATTTTAGAATAATCACCTAATAATTCAAATATAATTTTGTATACTAATATTATTCGTTATTTTGTAAATAAATATATATAAATCAAATATATATATTTTAAAAAATAATCTTATCGTTCGTAAAAAAAAGTTTCATTTATTAATTTTCATACAAGTTTTTATATTAATTATTGCTTTATTTTTTTGAGATGTAATGAAAAAAATATTAAGATATATTTTTAAAAAATTATATTAAAATTTCTTTATTATGGGTTTTGTTTAAGAATAAATGCGTAAGAAAAAAAAATCATATTTTTTTGACTTCAAAATTTATTCAAAACACACACACACACTAACACACATGTATACATTGATTAAAAATCATAAAATTAAATAAAATTTAGTTCGGTACGTAGCGTAGTGCAAAAATCTGAACTATTCATATATCTAAATATAAATATATAATTATTTTATTCTAATAATCTTCTCATCGGTAAAAAAAGTTTCATTTGTTAATTTTCATACAATTTTTTTTATATTAACTATGGCTTTATTTTTTTTGAAATGTAATGAAAAAAATATTAAGATATATATTTTTAAAAAAATTATATTAAAATATTTTTATTATGGGTTTTATCTAAGAATGAATGAATAAGAAAGAACAAATCATATTTTTTTGATTGCATAATTTATTCAAAACACACACACACACACACATATATATATTGATTAAAAATTATAAAAGTAAATAAAATTTAGTTTGGTACGTAGGGTAGCGCGAGAATCCGAACTATTCATGTGTCTAAAATTCTTATTCACTTACCGTCAATATGCATAAAATTACTATTTACTTGATGACAATTTAAGTTGTTTTTGTGTGTCGTTTTTTATGTGTTTCTTGGCCATTAATATAAAAATTCAACAATTTTTTCTATTTTTTATCCCTCATGCTGTAACAGTTTTTTTTTTCAATCCTTAGTTTTCATTTTCACACACACACACACACGCTATCTTTTTATATTTTAAAATTAATATATACTTCATTCTATATTGCTCTTATCATTTAAATTTCATTATCCGAGTTTATCATTTTTTTAATGAAAATTCTCATCCAATTAATATTTTTTACATAAGATTTTATTTATCGATAAATATAGTTTATTTTTCTCTATGTTTGAATTTTAGAATAAAATTTTAAAACATGATTATTTTTTCTTTTTAAAAAAATAATTTGGTATAATATATATCATGAATTCTTAGAATTTTTAAAAAATAGTTGCACATATATAAATATATAATTATTTTATTATAAAAGATTAAAAGTGTATTTCAAATAATTTATTTCAGTTCATTATGTATGGTCAAGACATATAAAGAAATACTGAATAATTGATTTTATTAAAAATTAACTATACACCTTCGAACATAATACAAATTATTTATTATGAATATTTTTTTTAACATTATAGAACCAATTTATTTGAAAATAAAATAATTTTTTAAAGGAACCAACCAATTATTCAAATATATTTTTTTTATGCTAATTTTGTTGATTATTTTGTAAATAAATATGTATAGATCTAATGCATATACTTGAAAAAAAAAAATCTTCTCACCAACATTAAATAAGAATAAATTTTTATTTTTTCATTAGTTAATTTTTATGCAAATCTATACATTAATTATAACTTTATTTTTTGGATATATTCTTATAAAAAATATATAATTTTAAAGTATTTGCTTTTTAATTCTTAATCAATATCAAGTTTAAGTTATTATAATTTTTTATTTAAGATCCCTGAATAAAGAAGCATAAATCATAGCGTTGTGCGGATAATTTCAAAAATTAATATTTTTATTGGCATTAAATAAGAATTTTTTTTTCATTTGTTAATTTTTTTAAAAGTCTATACATTAATTATATCTTTATTTTTTGCAATACAATATTATGAAAATTATATTTTTAAAGTTTTTTAATTCTTGATTAATATTTTAGCTAAAATAATTGTATTTTTTATTTTAAAATCAATCCATAAAGAAGAATGATTTATGTTTTTTTTATACAAAAAATTTATAATAAAATGAAAAAATTAATTAAAATTTTTTTATAATTAAAAAAATTTAAAAAGATTTTTTTTCATTAGATCGCAGCTTGGCGCAGACAAACAACTAGCCTTAACTAAAAAATATTTGGCAATGATAGAATCTTTCATGATAATAACGATTTGTTAGTTATTATATTGAAATATCACAACAGAGTATAGAAAATAAGCAAGTAAATTACGATTATAACAAGTTTAGTTTCTAATTAAATGGATTAACAATTTTCAATTTGATCTGCAGAACATTGTATGAACAGATCCATGATGGATTTCTTCAACTAACGAAATCGACGAGCACAACGTTGGATGGATCACAGGCTTTCGATGTGGTTGATTAATTAACAAATGCCAACAACCTCAAAAGGTGTTGGAATATCATCAGCAACATGTTGCCCTGTGGTGCTAACGACCAGTCGGCAGTCAGTCCATGCAAGAAAATTGTTGATTGGAAAAGTAAAAGATCAATAAGGAAAAAGAAGAGTAAATTATAAATTAGTCTCTTTAGTCTTTGTTTTTTTTTTCTTCAAAATAAATTAAATAGTCCATCCACTTTAAATAGTTAATTAATTAGTCTCTATATATTTTAAATTTATTTATAATTTAATTATTTTCAATTTTTAAATAAATATAAAAATAAAATAAAAATTTTAAAAATTGGAAAGATTGGTGAAAAAATAAGACATTTTTTGTGTGCACTTTTCCAAGAGGATTGATTTGAGCGGAATAAATTCTAATTGTTTAAACAAATATTATCATATTCTAATTTTTGTATATATAAATTTTTTTTAGATAATTATGTTTTTTTTATGTGTTCGATAAAATAATAAAGGATTCGTTTGATTTTTTGACACCGATATACTTTAAAATCTATAAAAATAAATAAAGAAATAAAGAAGAAGAAGAAGCAGCAGCAGCAGAAGAAGAAGAAGGGGAGGGTGGCATCATCTTCAAGGAGTTTTATTCTTTAGAAAGTCCCATACTTTTAATTCCCTATACGTTTCAAATAATTCAATTCAAACCTTCCGTCTCCATTTCTTTTTGCAATCGGGTCCTTGGTTTCATTTTTTATTTTCTTTTCCAGAACTAAAGGATTCTCTCCACTGTCTAGAAAAACTAAAGGAATCCAAATGAAATAAAGTTTATTTTAAGGTCCCTTCTCTTTCTGGAGCCTAATTCCAAATGTGATTCTGAGATGGAGGCCTTTTCCTAGTTTCCAGGAGTTTTTCTTGCATGCAGGCAGGTGAACTTAGACCGTGGAAATTTCTAATATGATGGCTTTATTCTGTTTTTTAAAGTCCTTTCTAACTCTGTCTTTCCTCGGGTTGTCTGTAGTTTGTACAAGAGTAAATTATAAATTTGTCCCTTTATGTTCTAGAAACAAATTAATTAATCCTGTGTATTTTAAAAATTAATTATTTAGTTTTTTTTTTTAAACCAATGTTAATATTTTTAATTTAATATTACTTTATTTCATAAAAAGTCATCATTTTTAATTAATCCTTGTATATTTTTACTTTTATTTATTTTTAAAGCGAAAAACAAAATAAATTTAAAAATAGCGACTTAGATTAAGTAATAAGAAAATTCTAGAAAATATAATATTAAATAATTATTTTTTGAAACGAGAAAAACTAATTAATTTATTTTTTAAAATTAGAGAGACTAAAATTTAATTTACTCGGCTTTAACCTAGAATCTCAATATTGTTTCTTAAAAAGAAAAAAAAGAAAAGAAAATAGTAATGATAAAATAAAAAATTCAATGTACATATAAATCATTTTATTACAGGCAACCAATAACAAATAGTCTGGAACCAATACATAGGACACATCCTGAACATGTATATTCCTTCATGTTTAATCCAGTTCAACATTAAAACAAGAAAGGATTCATAACTCTTAATTAGCAGACAAAAACATAGAGGAATTTTATCGTATCTCAACATCAGCCATATAAATATGAACATTTTTTAGTTGACCATATGCACGCCTGCTCTTCCTTTGATCTTGCATAAGCCTAAACGATTCAGAGCTTGGATGTTGCGAGCTTGATAAGATCCTTTCTGAGAATCTTTCCAGATGGATTCTTAGGTATTGCAGCGATAAATGCGACTCTCCGGATTCTTTTGTATGGAGCCACCTATATACATAGCGGCTCCGTAATTAGAAAACAAAAGGAACTGATTTGTGCAAAACCATTTGATTAACTAGAACTAATTAGACAACACACCAGTCCTGCTACGAAATCCATGACAGCTTTCTCGGATAAATTACTTCCGGCTTTTCTTACCACGTAAGCCATCGGGAACTGCCCGACCTGCTCGTCAGGAAATCTGCCATAATATCACATATAATGCAAGGTTAGATTGGATTCCAAAGTTCATTTGTACCAAGAGATAAGAAATACTTACGGTATTACAGCAGCATCAGAAATCTCTAGGTGAGTAAGTAACAAGGCCTCTAGTTCTGCTGGAGGAACCTATCATGTCAACAGACAAAACTATTAGAGCATATCCTATTTTGCAGTTAAATTCAATATTGATGATGAAATATAAAAAAATTTTAACCTACTATGTACAAATTTGAATTTTAGAATCATATTTATTAGAAAAAATTAAACTTTATCGCCTTCTTTTCGAATATTATTAATTAATATCTCCAATGTAGAATAAAAAGACCTATATATATATATATTAAAAAATTCAAATCCAACGATAAGACTCATGTATTAATCTGATTTATTTATTTGCTAACCATTGAAGAAAATTTTCAGCCACGTTCATTTCATACCCTGAAAAAGATCAAAGCACATATGTAGCATTATTCTCTTCCTAACAATGGTGATTAAGCTATTTTCAACCTTATGGTTGGTTAGTTTTGCCTAATTACAACCCTAGATAGTGTTACTGCACCCGTGCATAAAGTTAGCCTCTGAAGCCGCAAGCTATTTGTTGCCAAAGCTAGCTTTATTCTCTCCTGATGTGTGAACTCAGATCCCAAATTCAACTAAAATTGGTTGATTGGTTCCGTTTCGTTTGTTTATGAAGAAATCAGGTTTGTTAGAGCATGTCCATCAAGTCAAAGTTTCAAAGAGAAGGTCCAGTGTCAAAATTTCTGCATAGAAGATTTTTTATATTTCAACGCGAAAGAAATGATAAATCGAATCGTGTCATTCACCTGATATCCCTTGTATTTAATCAGCTCCTTTAACCGATCAACCACAAAAATGAAGCCATCATCGTCAATGTAACAGAGATCCCCTGTTCTTAACCATCCCTCTGAATCAATAGTCGATGAAGTAGCTTCAGCATTACTAAAGTAGCCTGAAAACAGACCCCAGCCTCAAGTGTCAATCAAACAAATTGCATTCAATGAGGGCAACATGCAAGACGTCTTATATCTATACAAAATCAAAGTCGAAATTGGGGCACCTTGTGATTTTAAGAAGGTTCAATCGCGATAGCACATTCCATAAAAGCAAAAACATTCGAAATTAAGCTTGAAATCAACAGGCCAAAAGCTTTGTATCATAGATCATACCATTATTTTATTACCAAAGAGAATTTACCATTACATAATACCACTCAGCACTCACCGCATGTAGAACAGCAGGTCCTTTCGAAATGATGGATTTCGAAGTGGTACACCGAATTCTAGGTCCACACTTTAAAGCATTAAAAAGAGGAATGATTTGCCACAAGGAAGCTAAAAAAGAAGAAATCGAGAAACTGGTGGGACAATGTTGATGCAGACCACATATGCCTAAGAATTTTCCTTTGTTTTTGAGGTATAAAGGGTATCAAATAATCAACAAATCTTGAAGAGAAGGATCATTTATCTCGAGTGGACCGTGTTCAGCAGTAAGGGCTGTCCCGCGTCCTATCATTTTAAAGTGAGTGACACGAAGAGAAAAATTGACAGTCTTTCAATCAAGTATATCTTTTTATTTACCAGAATAAATAAAGTTGAGGACGTTACCAATATTGCCCACATATTCTTTTTGATTCAGAATCTATAAAGTTAAGCATGGTCCATACCCACCCACCTTCTTTGGTTCTAACATCTTTATTACGATCCTTCAAATAATCTTAGCCCGCTACAGACACAAACAGCAATATTATGTGGACAACCCAGCAAAACGAATTAAATAGTTTTTTTTATTAAAAAAAAAATTAATTATTTTGTTTCTTTACCAATGTTAATATTATTTTTTTCGGCGTAAAAATCTAAGTTAATTTCTTTTCCAGACGTGTCCACTTCTAATCTGTCCTAATAAGAATAAAATGACACGTGAAATTATAATATTCTAACAGTAAAAAGCGACACAAAAAAAAACTAAAAATGAAAAAGAAAGAAAGAAACATGCGGCCTACCTTTCATAACAGTAGGAGCTCGGAGCCAAAGTTCACCGGTCTGGTTCACCGGCAAAGCTTTACCACTCTCTGGGTCCACGATCTTAGCCTCCGTATTCGGCGACAAAAGACCAGCCGTGCCGTACCTCCTACTCTCCTCCAACGTATCCGTCGAGGCACCGATCCCCGTCGATTCAGTCAGCCCATAACCTTGTAAAATTGTAACACCTGGATACTTCTCCGAAAACCCTTCGATCACTTCCTTACTCAACGGAGCTCCACCCGATAAAACAAATTTCAACGAACTCAAATTATACCTCGCACCAACCTGATCAGCCCCATTAATCAACGCCACTAGAATCGGCGGCACGAGTGGTAAATAAGAGGCCCCGTATTTCTCGATCGTCGATAACATCTCACCCATTTCGAACTTTGAGAGAACGATGATCGTTGACCCTGATGCCAGAATTCCTGTGGCGAACGCTGCTAAACCGTAGATATGAAACATCGGGACCGTACAAACAAATTTGTGATCTCCTTCGTTTAATCGAAACCGTTCAACAATTGTTTGTACCATCGTGATTAAGTTCTTGTGTGAGGAAACCACACCTTTGCTTTCTCCAGTTGTACCTGAAGAGTAGAGTAGTGTCGCTGTGTCATCCTGGTTGACTCGCTCTCTAACTCGGCTCCCACTCGGTTCTTTTTTTACCATCTCGCTTAATGTTGTCAAAATTCCGGCTTTTGTTTTTGGGGAGGTATTAGTCTCGTCGTCTATGAGGATGATGGGGAGATTTGAGTTTGACTCGGTGAGTTTGGAAACGAGTTCAGGAGTAGTGAAAGCGAGTGAAGGTTTCGAGTTGGCGATTTGTTTGGCGATTTCCCGAGGAGTATTGAGAGGGTTAGTTGTGGTAATTATTGCGCCTAACGACATGACGGAGAGGCAGACAATGGGGAAGAAAATGGAGTTTGGAGAAAGTAAGAGGATGACGTGGCCTTTGCGGATTCCCATGTCGTATAGATACGTGGCAACGGAATCCACTGCTTTCCATAGGTCTTTGAAGGAGAGGTGGCGGCCGGTTGCTGCGTCGATGAAGGCTGTTTTTCCGTGGTGAGGACGGGAGGAGATGAAGGTGGTGACGTCTAAAAAGTCAGTTTGGGGGAGTGAAATTGGCTTGCGTTTGCTGTAGAAAACAGAGTTTGATTTGCAAAAACCGCTTCTTGGGTCGATTGTGAGGTTGCTGTTGCTCTCTGCCATCTCTGCTAAGTTCTTGCTCCTTCACGATCTCTCTCCAACCAAGCTACTAGCCTTTCTCTGTTTCAGGTAGTGGTGATTCAAGGAACTCTCTTAATTCGCAGAGGAATATTTATGTACAGGTCGTCACTCGTCAAAGGATGGACCACATTTTTTAATTAATTAATTAAAATTTAGTCCTTGTAGTTTATCAAAATTATTTATTAATCTCTATAGTATTATGAATAGTTAAATAGTCCCTTGATTGATGCTTGCGGTTCTGAATTTAGTAGTTTTTTGTTTCGAATTTTCGTAGTTAAACTTCATTTAAGTTAAAAATTTAAAAATATAAAGATTAAATATATAGTTTCTCAAATTTCCAGGATTAATTGATTAATTTTGTTAAACTACAAGGGTTAAGTAAAAACATAGGTTTGACACCTTTGTCTGTTTTATTTGGAATTTTAGCACAATACTATGCACTAGAACAAAAACGAGAAACAGTTGATTTGACTTTCTTTTGGAAATAATCTGGTAGAAATCTCAGTGGGAATGGAAACAAAAGAACATGTCGAGAGCGTCTATAAAAGGGAAAATGCTATTGAATTTTAAATTCCTGATTAGTAACAAAATTTAAGCTACAAAATTGCATTGCCTGCAATATTTTTCATTTTTTGGTAACATTACCCGCGGGTTTGTTAAATGCCAGTTATATTTGAGTTGGAATATACTGGACTAAATTAAGAAAATTGAAAATATGTAGATAACATACATCCTCTCAATTTTATTAAGAATTTCTTGATGTTGTTTTTATAATTGATTACCGTTGAATGGTATAAAATTTTCTTGAACTTCAACTTAGTTGATAATCAGTATTTCAAGTTAGATTCTTCTCCAGTTATTTTTTATTTAAAATTGAATATTTTTATGAATGTTTTTGATAGTGCAAATATAGTTTTTGATAGTTAAAAACTTGTAAAAAAATTATGAATGTTTTGTTTTTTTCTTCAAAATTTATTTCTTTCTCTTAATCACTGAGAAGTTAGTAGTTAAATAATATTTTCTGATGGAATCAACAAATTTTGGAAAGAAAAAAATTATTTATAGATTTTAATATATTTTTAGTTCGTGAAAAAATTAAAAACAAAACACATGCAAGTTATGTACTGCACTATTAAAATTGACAAAATCCAACAAAAATATCAATTTTAAATTAAAAAAATAGATAAAAAAATTTAAATTTAAAAGTTTAAAAATTCACATATAAATCTGTATTATTTGACCATTTATCACATATAAAGTAAAACTAAACTCAAAACATACAGTTGGATTCTTCTGTGTTATATCCATTGAACGCAAATTTTATCAGACAAGAATTCTTCAATAGGCAATAAAAAAAACCTAATCTTTGCGTGTTTGCATCGTTTAGGAACTTAAATTAACGTTTGCTGTTAATTTATTTGCTTGTTTGTTTGTAGTTTCTTCGTCTTTTATCCCCCAAATGGCATACATGGTTTCATGTATTCAGTTCTTGGAATGTTCTGCAAAATAGATTTTCTTGTGTAGCAGGTTTAGATGCATCTATGGTTGGAGAAGAAAAAAGTCTAGAAAAACCAGCAGGAAATGAGATTAGATTTGGATAATTTAATCCGGTCAAATACAATGTCGTTTAGGGCGAAATTTATATTATTATAGAAAGTAATCCGCTGGCGACAGGACCTCGAGATTTAAAAACACGTGGGAATATGTTTCTATGCATGTGACACCACCATGGATAAATGAGTATAATGTTTTGCACGTGCTATTTTTTGTCCTTTTGGGTACTGTTTCTAACCGCGTTTTTTCTTGTTCGTGAACCATCGGGTCAACCGTGCATTTGGTCTCTCCCCGTAAAATTTCTCATGTTTTGATTTGTTTTGATTCTCGTTCTAATGTTTTTCTTCTATTATCTATTTTTGAGTAAATTATAAATTAATCTATTTAATGTTTTTCTTAATATCGTTTCTCTAATTTCTATTTTTGAGCAAATTAGAAATTAATATATTTAATGTTTTTCTCAGTATCGTTTCTCTATTATCTATTTTGAGTAAATTATAAATTAATCTATTTAATTTTGACACGTAAATTAAATAATCTATTTTGTTTAAAAATAATTATTTAATTCCTATAATTTAATTTTTTTTCATTATTTTGATTTTTTATTTTGAGAAATAGAAAAAAAAAACATGGGAGAATTGATGAGAAAATATAATTTTTAAAATAAAATAATATTAAATTAAATATATTCAATATCGATAAATATACTAAATAGTAATTTTTTAGACAAAAGAAACTAATTAATTCATTTTTAAAAAAATGAATAGATTAATTTATAATTTACTAAACCTTTTTACTAATGTGGTGTCTCAATTTTATCACCTACCAACAAGAATAGTTAACGATGACATTATATATTACATTCATAAAAAAACGAAACCAATTATATAGATACACACACACCGATTTTATTGCCATTCTCTTGCTTTTTACTATACAATAGGATATTTTACCAAAAAATCACAAAACTATATACTTGACCCGAGAAATGATATCGGGTAAAGAAACATCACAAAGCTTAAAATAAAACAAAAATGAGATCAAATGACCATCTCTAATTTCCCAATGGTTGATATCTTTCAATCTTCATCGTCTCATGTTTGAAAACGAAAAGTAGCATTGCCTTTAAAATCTAATAATTAATCTTGAATGATCTTATTTAAATTACTAAAAAAATAAATATTTTAAATTGTTTTAACTTGTAATGTTTGGATAAATAATTAATATTGATCATTTTAAAGTTAAAGATTTAGTTTTTACTAATTATTTGCATCGTGTGGTTTTACTAATTTATCAGAAAGTCACTTTATTATAAATTCGGTCAATTAAAACATCTATATTTTCTATCTAAGTAAATTAAGTATGATTTGTTTAAATTGAAAATAAAAAACTACTCGACGAAAAGGACGGAATGAGTGATTATTTTAATAAGAATAAAATAAAATTTAATAATAATGGATTATGTAGTGAAGAAAGTACTTGATTAATTGAAATAAAATTTCAATTATCAAAAATTATAACTGATTAGCTAAAATTATAAAATACGAGCTTAATTAATTAAATTGATAACAAAAATAGTGAAAACACAAGGTGGAAATAATAGATTTAGAAGGAATATATATATATGTCAAAAACACAGGGTGGAAAATGTAGATTTAAAAAAGAAAAAAGAAAAAAAAAAAAGAGAACCAGTATTTGTATTTTGTCGAGAGGCTACAAAATTACGACCAGAGGCCCAGAGAGTAATTGGTTGGCCCAATTCAAAGTCATTGATATTGGACAGGGTATAGCCCATTCATAGCCTCTATTATTTAACCCCAGTTCAGCACTGCTACTTAGCCCAAATACCCTTACGAGGGCAAGATCAGGTGCGGCACCGGCACACGAAGAAATACTGAGATAAAATTTTAATTTTCTAAAATCAAACGGCTCTCGGTAACATAATCAAACTTGCAGTCTTTGGGTACCAATCGATCATTTCGGAGCTACAGGAGAGGGAAAGATATGGCAGGAGGGCACGGAGACGGCGTCAATTTCAAGGGCTTAACTGTGCACAAGCCAAAGCGGTGGCATACAGTCACTGGGAAGGGCTTGTGTGCTGTCATGTGGTTGGTTGCTGTCTCCGTTTCTTTTTTTTTCTTTTTTTTTTTTTTTTTGGGGTTTCAGCTTCAATTGCTAGATTTTATCTTAATTTTGTTTGATTCCAATTCTTTTATGTATTATTTTCCGATCTGGTTTAGTGTGAGCTTGTGTTGTTGAGTTAGAAAATGAAATTCTGGGAATTAATTTACACCGAAATTATGGAATTCTCCTGATCCGAAGGAAGTAAGAAAGTTGACTGCTGGGGTTTTTTTTTGTAATTTGTGTTTTCAGGTTTTGGGTTTTGTACAGGGCTAAGCAAGATGGTCCTGTAGTATTGGTAAGAGCTTGATTCTTTATAAGTTTTTTTCCCTCACTTTTCTGAATTATTTGCATTCGGGATTCAGCTCACTTCCATGGCATTATGTTGTGTTTGGCAGGGCTGGCGACATCCGTGGGAGGGCCACGATGACCACGGCCATGGGAGTGGACACTAGGTATTTTCTCTTACTCATGTTGTTAGTTGAATGTCTTTCGTGTCTTTGTGTATTATTTTATCTTCCTTGCTGTAGATGTGAATTTAGCATAAATAAATTGCAAGTCGGGTCAGTTTAAGGAGGAAACTCGAACCTTTATAGTCTACTTGGATGTGCAGTTTTTTATTTTATTTTATTTCCCTTCTTTTCCCAAGGAATTGATAGATAGGTATTCTTCAGATTATCATTTTAGTTTTTTCATTAATTAGTTAGCCAATAGCAAGTGTATCCAAAACCATTTATATTTGTGCGAGAACTGCGTGATTGAAATAAAATGTAGAACTGTTTTTATTTTAGAAGGGTTTTTATTATGTGATATCAAAATGGAGATGGATGAGGTGTCCATTTTCCGTCATGAGGAGTTCTAAAGGATTTGTGTGATTGCACTATGCCATCATAGGAATAGTACTGTTGATTGAAGGCTAATATTTGGATTTTCTTGGCAATATATATAGAGACTTTTGTTGCAGAGCCATGATAGTGGTGTTAGATTTACATAAAGAAGTTTGTATGATGATATAATAATTAGGAGAGAAGAAAAAACTTCAATCATTTAGATATGGAGCTTTTAGTTATGGATTTATTGTCATTGTAAAAATTTTCTTACCAAAATTGGTATTTATAGGAAAATCCTGCTCTTGTTGAATTTGAATCAGGTTATCTAAGAAAGAATATCCTCATTCAAGGCATCTGTTTGGATCCCTTGCTAATCTTTTGAGCTGAAGACTCTTTTACAAAGCCTTCGAATCATTCTGTAAAAAGAACTTGGCAATCTTCTTTTTACTTTACTTAGTTGGCGGTAAATTCTGTGATTTTCTTAACAATGATTAAGATTTTATATGACATTGATTGGAGGAGAAAAGCATTATCCTGGATCTATTTTATTCCATGCAAGTGAAAGTAGTTTACTGAACCTGAAGGGATAAGGACATTCTTGCACTTTCTTCTTGGATAGTTCATACTGGGTAGGAACTAGGAAATGAATATGGTTGATGTACTGCTGACTTTCATTGCCCCTTTCTAGAGGTTAATGGCATTGTGATTGATTATGTGTGAATAATATGAAGGTATTCACTGGTGTGGTCATTCTTTTCTCGTGATCTGTAGACTGTAGCCCATTTATCGAAGTGGCATGTTGCAACATCTCAAGCAATGGATTGGCAAACACAAAAATAGCAAGAGAGGATCAAAAACAAGACAAAAAAGCCCCATAGTTGGAAAAAAAAAATTGTGTTTTGGTTCTCAATATCATTCATACAGTTGTTATTCCGTTTTTCTATTCTTTTAACCATTGCCTTCTTAACCTCAGTTCTTCATTAGAAAGTTAAGGTTCTGGTTAGTGTGTTGGTCATTAGTTACTCACGTCATGGCTATTCCTAGTTGTCTTTTGGCATTCTTGATGAGCATTTTGTTTTCATCCTCCTAATGTTTTGTATCAGCAATTTATTTTACCGTTGTTAGAATGTGTAAGGAAATGGGGCAACCGTGATTTTATTTTGCTGATTGCAGGCATCCCATTGAAAAGTGAAGAACAATAGCCAAGCATGAAAGTTTTTATTGATAGGTGGTTGGTGATGTCTGAAATAGTTCTCTTCCGTTCTTCTATTCAATAAAGTGGCAGTGAAAAAAGGATTCTCGGGAACATTCAACCCCTTTTTAACATGTTTGTGAGCATGGATTTGTTGTGTGTGTATTTGTCTATAGACATGGTCCTTTCTTTACGGGTACTTTTTAATATAAAGGACTTCTCGTTTGCTATTGCTTGATCGGTTCACCAGTATGCTGCTTGTCCGGCTTATGGTACCATTGTTTTTTTCTGCTGTTTTATAGCAAGTCTTGGTAAAATCCCCAGTCTTGTGCTCAGATAACATTCCTAGAATAAAAAATCGTGAATAATTTCCCAATGTTCCCAACGAGTAATGGTATATCACTCGGAACTATTTCCCAATTGTGTGATGAAAGAATGGTTAGAAAGACTGGAATGTTTAGGAAGTGAGTATATGGTCTATTCAACTTAATAAATATCTATAAAAAATGCGTGATGAGCATTTAGATAGGTCAAAATAGAGAAATTTTATAATATTTAAAGAGTAATTACAGTAAATTAGTGCATGGAAAGAGAGACACAAAGAAGAGAGAGAAATAGGAAAGAGAAAATTAAATAAAAAAAATTGAGTTAAGGAAAAAATCTTATTATCATTTTGTGTGAGTACAGATGTGATTCTTTTTTTTTTTTTTAAGTTATGTTTCTTTAGTATTATAAAATTTTTTGAAAAAAATATAGTAATTACTCCTCAAGTATTATAAAATTTCTAGATAAGAATATATATATGGTTTTCGAACGTAGATATTCACTTTATATTTTCTTAATACCTGCTTTTTTTTGTTGTTTAAAGAAAGTTTAACAAGAAGGGATTTGATTACACAAACTTTGAAACATAAGGATCGTATATTTTTATGAAAACTTTCAAGATGAAAAAATTGATAAATAAAGGATTGAATTGTAAGATTTTTTTGACGGTCAAGATAACTTTTTAAAAAATTTACGAGGATTGAAATGATAATTTTTGACAAATTATTTATATAGAAAAACAATTTTTATTTTATTTTTTGAAGGGGTAGCGTCCGGATTGATTTAATGGGCCGGCCTAATGCCTTTCCTAAATTCCTAAAAGTAGTTAGTCGTAACTGACCTCGATTAGATGGTTTGGGTCACATTATTCATGGGCTCAAGTTCAATAAAGCCGCCTGGTGCCCAACACCAACGCCCAAGTTATATCAGTTGGGCCTCTAACTTCTACGTGTCTCTAGAACTGATTTGCAAAGAAGGGCCTCCACAGGATCCAAGTCAAACTAGCAAATCTTACTGTTCAGATGCAGAAATTGTGAAAATGGAAAGTGAAACCCTATAAATTGTAGGACGGCAAGATTGCTTGCTGTATAGCTGTAGATGTCAATAGCTGTATTAATAGTTGCAGTTGACCTAGAGAGGACCTTCAATGGTTGATTAGCATCGCACTGTTTTTGTTTAATTGATTATTATAGTATAAACAATATACTTTTATGCCTATAAAAAAAGCAACATTAACCTTAACAGTTGTCATCCAAACAATTGTAATGAAGCCAAGTGGATAATAGGTTGGCATGTCTATCAGCATTATTACAACTAAAATTCCACAAATTATTTTTCTTCGGTAGATTAATTTTTTTTATTGGGAAAAACCAAAAATACCCCCTAATTATGTAAACAGTCTCAATTTTATATCAAAATCATTTTTTGAATCAATTTTACTGTTAAATTTTCTGAAATTCTCAATTAAGAATTTTCATCAATTTTTTAGGATTTCCGTTCATATTTCCATCCAAATTATACTTTTTTTTTAATAAGAAACGATGCCATTTTGTAAGCAATTTAACGTTTTTCGTTAAATATTTTAATATGCTGGATGCTTGAGGCATTGCTGAGCAAATTGCGATGAAAGAACACAAGTAGCATAAATGAGATAAAACTAGACTGATTGCACACTCATCCAAGTTCAGGATCAGATTCACAGTTGAATTCATATGTGTGTACTTGAATGTTTGGGTTTTTTTCTATTTTGATTTTTTGAAAAATGCCCTACCATTTGTGCTAGCTTTAAGGATTAATTAACTCAAAAGCAAACGGCCAGACCTCACAATTTTATTAGAAGACTGAATTATAAATTATTCTCTCTGGTTTTGAGAAATAAATTAATTAGTTTTCTTTGTATTAAAAATTAATTATTCAATTTCAGTTCTTATGTATTTAAATCTAATTGCTTAATCCTTTTTGTTCTTTTTTTAATTTATTTTGGTTTTTTTAGGAAATAAAAAAATAAAAGAAAGGATTGATGAGAAAAAGAAATATTTTATGAAATTAAAATTAGCATTAAATTAATTATATCTATAAAAAATTAAATTAAATATCTATAGTCAACACTGGTCAAATGATTAAATAATATTTTTTTGAAACAAGGAGGACTAATTAATTTAATTCTTAAACCTAAAAAGACTAATTTATAATTTACTCTTTATTAGAATAGTAAAAGAATCCATTTTGAAAAGCAAAAAAAGAATGTAATAAATTTTGTTGAAATAGGATTGAAAAAAAGAGAGAAGGTGATGTCTAGATTTTCGAGAAATTTTAAACTCCATTCAAAGTAATTACTAATAATTATTCTATGAGAAATAAATAGATATAAAAAATGAGAGAAACATAAGGCATAATTTACAAAATAATCATAATAATAATAATTTTTGAATTTAAATTGAGATATTGTAATTATTTTTTAGTGAGTCCGAACATGATCTTTTCTTTTATCTATGTATCTATCCTCTCTCTTTTTAAATAGGTCCATACTATTATTAATTATTCTATGAGTACTCTAAATTTTTTCCAGCTTTCCTTGGAAAAATAGATAGTTACCATGGCTGAATATTGAGTGATCTACACAAGTTACAATTTCTTGGTTTTAAAAATTATCTTATTGGTGATCTACTGTTGTTAAAAAATTACATAATTTGACGAAGAGTTTGTACCCAAACCATCTTTGGCATGATTGACACATCTATTTTGTGTGTGTGTGTGTGTTTTTATATATAAGCATCTCCTCACAAGTTTTACCTTTGTTATATAAGGATAATATACATTTTATTTTTATTTTTATAGAACCATCTCCTCACAAGTTTTATCTTTTTCACAGGAGGATAATATGCATAAAAGTTAATTGTACGTGACTCTTAAGTTGATAATTCCTTAACTGCTAATTGAAATTTTTGGTCATGAGATATTGAAGGAAATTAATGGCGGTGTACCTCTATAGATGTTATTCTCTAATAATTCTTACTTTTCTTCTTAAACCTCTATTACAATCCTCCATTTCAATAGATGAATATACTCATATCAATATTAAATTGACTATTAATTAGAGGTTTTTTAAGAATAATAAATTGGCTTTCTAATTAACACAATATTGTCAGCCTATTTAAGCAAATCCAAGCTTCCAATTTGCTCCGTTAAAGCATTCATCAGAAGAATTAGGAGAAATCAAAGCCATATACACATGCGGTTCTCACAAAGCTTAATCGCCCATCTTCTACTCAAGAAATTTTTTCTGTCAAACAACTCAAACTCTTAAGAATAACATAGCACATCATTCACAGTTGTATTTTTTTATAGCTATCATTATAATAAGAAATTAAAGTTCATGCTTACCTTGTTGATTAAACAATTATAAATCATAAAGTTTTTGTTGAAATGTTATTGGTAACAATAATAACATCTTTGAAAAAACAGAGTTAGACATACATTAAAACTTATTTTAAATGTTTTTTTGTTTGTGAGCATGAATTTGAATTATAGCGTTTATACATTTAGAAATTTATTATCAAAGTCAAGGTAGACAAATGCTTGTTCATTTGGTCTCTTGGTGTCAAGTTCATTCATCTGAAAATTTCTGTTAGAAAGCTTAGAATGCGTTAACTTGAAAATGGCATTTTGGTTTCACAAATTCATGGGCTTAAAGTTAGATAAAGTAGCCTGGAGCCCAATACTGAAAGTTATATTAGTTGAGCCTCTGGCTTCTGCACATATTCCTTTCTCAATTAATTTTTAATCTCTACAGGATGTAAGTTCAACTTCCAAATTTTAGTCTTAGGATGAATATTTATTTATTGATTATAAATTATCGGTAAAAAAATTATAGTAGTATAAACAATAGAATTATTTTGCCAATCAAAAAAGGAACACTTACCTAAACAAGTATTAAATCATGTTGTTAATTATCCAAACATTTGTAAGTCAGATGGATAATAGGTTGGCATGTCTCTTAACATTATTACAGCTACACCTCAATTTATTATGATCATTATTATTATTATTTTGATATATACAAACATACAACATCAATCATGCTTGACGTACCATGATATTCCTATAACGTAGACCAAGGAATATCCACGTTTGCCTAGTTTTCCGATCTCCAATTTTCTTTCAAGTTGCATGGTAGAATTAAGTTTCTTTATTTGATTGTCGGGTATCCAACAAGCCTTTGTCCACTTCTTTATGAGTTACGGTTTTAACATGTTGGATGCTTGAGGCTTGTTGAACAATTGCCATGAACGATCACACATAGCTTAAATGGAAAAAAAAATCGATTAATTGACGTTAGACTTGGAGAAATTTTATAATACACAAGGAGTAACTAGTGGTATGTACAGTAGTTATTTTTGGGTTCACTTTGAAGAGAGAGATAGACACGTAAAAAGAGAGAAAAAAAATAAGAGAGAGAAAATAAAAAAATTTGAACAGACGTTGAAATCTTCTCATCACTTTTGATGAGTATAGATGTAATTTTTTTCTTTTTCACGTATTTATCTCTCTCCTCAAAGTGAACTCGAGGAATAACTACTATACATGCCACTTAGCTATTCTTTGTGTATTATAAAATTTTCCATAGACTTGCATGCTTACATGAACACATGGGTGTTTTAAATTTTTCTATTTTTGACTAATTTATGCTATATACGTAAGAATCTGCTTTGCCTCGATATTTCTATAACCCACTCTCAGGAATATCCACGTACGTTGCGGGCCTTGCTGTCCAATTTCTGGTTTTTGCTCAAGTTGAATGGTGGCATTTCTTTATTTCACGATCGGGTAGTGCCTGAAGAGTCACAAATAGCACGATAGGCGAATCTTGTTTCCTTAATTGGTTGCAAGGTGAGATAAGAACTTACAGGATTATGATTCAAGTCGTGAAATTTATTTATGTGTGGGAATAAAGTAAATTTATTCAAAAATAATAAAAAATTATTTGTTTAATCTTATCTACCAGTTTAAAATTTTAAATTAAAATAATTTTTTAATATAGAATTAAAACTTTATTAACCAAACGGTCCAATGTTTTAATTTGATAAGATTTAATTTTGTGGATTGAGATGATTCCTCAACTCCTCGACTTTGAAAAAAAATGTTAGATTTGATTGCACACCCATAAAAGGTTGAGCATGCGGTGCAGATCCAGTATGGGGATATTCGCACGTCCACTTTATGAACCTGTTCAAATTTTTGTATTTTAACTGGATTTATGCTATGTGATTTGTCACAAAAATCGTATAGGCAAAGCTAGCTCCAGCTTAAATACTTAGGAACAAAAAACATTCTATAATTTTATTAAAACCTAACCTCCTCATCATTTCTGAAAGAGGATGCCCTGCCCTTCAGGATTAAGAAAGGAACAAAAGAATAAATTGTGTGAAAATTCACACATTTTTATTTGGAAAGAATAAAAGAATGCATTACTGTAATAAACATTGTGTTAAAATAGTACAACATTAATAAATAAATAAATAAGTTATATGTCTAATTTTATCTGCAGAAGTAATTAATTAGTGGTCACCCATGGCAAAGCAAACTGCAATCCCTTCATCAATACTGGTTTGCAGATTAGCAAAGTTGCCAAAGGTAGCTAATTAAGAATAGGTTTTTTGCTTCTTAATTGGGAGTAAGTATGTTAAGAAGCAAAACCCTAGTCTGGATCAACCGCCTAAACATGCACTGTAATTCAACCTCAAGATCTTCAACCGCAATCTCCACTGCCTGCAATCTTTTGTTTGCGCTATGAAGTGCTGTTTCATCGCAAAAATCACACAGACTCTGGCCACTTCGCAAAAACGTTGACCTCATAAAAGACCCTTTGCTTGATCCTTGGTCCAGCCATGGAATGGAAATGAGAGACAACAAAGACTCAACAATGGTGATGGTAGTGACTCTCACTTCTCTAAGTACTTCAACAACCACCATAACGTTGTTATCTACATTTGAGACATCTGAAGTTATAGATTTGCCTTTCATTCCCTTCAGTGATTTCAGGCATTTCAATGTCTCTTTCTTTAGCTTCTTTCTGTAGAGATTATAGGCTGCAAGTTTGGTGCTAATATCTGGCTTGCTAACTCTTTTTCTACGTAATGTGAATTGCAAGTCTAAAAGACGTTCTTTGACAAGCAAAAGAACATCCTTAGAAATCCCACACACGTCCAACATTCTTAGAGATGCCTCTGAGACTTCGTGAAGCCATTTTTCTTGTTTCTGGTTGACAAGAACTTGTTGGATTTCTGGTGAATGGAGAAGGTCATTGGCAGAGTTATGCAAGTCTCTGAGAGCATTGAAATCCGGCAGTGCCATTTTCAACAAAGAACAAGAATGGTGTGGTATTATTCGTCAAGAGGATTAATGTAGAAAAAGAGGTTCAATTTTGAGGTGATTAGCAATACTGACCAGAGCAAAACAGCTCGTGGTTTTTATAGAAAACCTCGAAAGACAGTTTATCTGATCAAGATCTCAGATCTTCAAGAAAAGGACAATGAGGTATCGTTTGTGGTACGGAATTAGGATCACTGGCAACAGCTATGGGACCAAAAATATCCCCAAGGAAGCTTCCATTATGATAGAGGCAGGCATTCAAGTGATTTAATCAACTATTATATTCGGTGATTTAGACTGATACAGTCAGGTTTGCATGCATGGGAGGGAGGTGCCAGCCTGTGTTGATCAATTTTGCATTGCAAACCAGACAAACTGTTGAACTTAATTAAAAGAAAACTATCCATTTCCCTATAAGACAGAATTACCTACAACTGTACTTGCCTCTGTTTTCTATGGGCATGATCCTAGATTTCGATTCATGGCTTGAGTTATTGTGTAATTAAGGAACTTCCAAGAAATTCTTCTGAAGGTTCCTTATGACAGCTGCTGGCCAGATAGAAGATAAAACGGAACTACTATATATATATATCTTAAAGAGATTGTTGCATGTCTTTGATTTTTTTTTTTTTATACAAATGAATAATATTATTAATTAATTTTTACTTCATATTTTTTTTATAAATGTATTTGGATAATTTTTTACAAAACAAATTTTAATTAAAAGTATTTTAGAAAAATGCATCATTTTAAATTTTGACGTAACAAGTATTTTGTGATGTATATAAATAGAGAGATAGATAATCTTTTTTAAAAGGAAGGAATATATTTTTTCTAAACTACATATTATTTAGTTTCCAATTATGGAAATGTGTGTTGATTAATAACAAGGTTAATGGAAGATCTTGGATTCAATTAGATGAAGAAAATTATATATGATAATGGGAATAATTTGTCTTTTTTTCTTTGGTCATTAATGCTAGCTTCAAATATCACTAAGGTTTTGTAAGTAAACTTTACTTGGTCAGGCTAATGTTATGTTAAAAATATTAAAATATCTATGAGGCATTCATCTAATTAATGATGGGTTATCTGAATATGGTATTAGAGTTTTTTTTTTTTTTAAATTATTGTTATTAAACTTTATGGAATTTCACCCCTTCAAAGTCCATGTTATGTTAAAAATATTAAAATATCTATGAGGCAGTCATCTAATTAATGATGGGTTATCTGCGTATGGTATTAGAGTTTTTTTTAATTATTATTATTGTTATTAAACTTTATGGAATTTCACCCCTTCAAAGTCCATACTAGAAAACAAAGTCTGAAACGAGCTAGTGAACTAGTTATTTTAAATCACTCTTTTTTTTTTTTTTAATAATTAGTCAATTTAGAAAGTGAAATTGTTGTTTTCTCCTGTCTTTTTATTGAAATTTTCGAACTTGTCTTTCATGATTAAAATTGTGACTTTGAATAACAAAGATAACTAGTCTTTATAATTTTTTAAATTGAAGATAATGAAGACAAGACAGAAATTGTAATTAGAAGGCGGAACTCTAAAATATTGGCTTACCTAAAGTCTTAAACATCACACTCAATTGCTGGTGGATGATGGAAATTGAGGTTGATAAAAATATCATTTTCGTCCAGCTTTAAAGATTTGAGATTTTTACTTTTTTTAGGTTCAACTATTGAAAAGGCTAGGTTAATTTATTGGACTGAAAAAAATAATTCTTTTCTCCCACCACTTGCTACTAGTTATATATATAGTTGATATACAAAAATCAAAATCATGAAGATGTATAATTATAATTATTTTTTTGATAATCCAGACATTAAAGAATAATATAAATCATATTTTAGGTTTTCTTCTAGTAGGTTAAATTTTTTAGTTAAAATAATTATTTGACATGATATCGGATAATGGTAGATTTGTATAAGTTTTAAATATAAAGAATTTTCATTTTGAAATAAAATGTTAATGAATGATATAAATTATATCTTAAAAATCATTTAAATTTTTAAATTGAGATGGTTCAGATGATATTTCACATCCAAAAAAGCATTTTATTGACGTCAATTTGGAAAAAGCAAATTAAAGGAAAGTAGTACAAATTATTAATAACATGCTTGCAAGAAACATATCAGTAACATGTAGGAAACAAAAAATCAAAAAAGGATCGAAACGCACCAGAAGTTGCTTAAATAGAAGGTGATCCGTAGATGACTCCAAATGAATAAGATACAGTCTTAGAGTTAACATCCAAGAAATTGATCGGACCATATACATAACAGAGAGCAAGATAGGACCCAAATGTATGATTAAGTATTCTTTGTATGTAAAATGTAGAATTTTGAAGTTGTACTAAAATCTACTTAATGAAAAGAAAATCAAAATGTTGAAAATTGGCATTTTCACTTCAACCCTGGAATTTGAAGCCAGAATACATATTGATCCTAAATTTTCTCATCTTATCAATATAATCTAAAATAACCAATTTTTATGTGATAGATATTTAATAATAATCATACCTGCAAGGTATAATTAAGTACTATAGATTGCTATTCTTTCTGAAGCCTATAAAAATTTTCTATGCTAAGATAATACCTCATGTTTCTAATTTAATTTTCAAGAATCATTCATAAAAGTGTTATTTCTCGTAGCAATAATTCTTTACAAATATCTACTTGCTTTAGTTATATATACGAAATTAATAAAAAAGAAAAAGAAAAGAGATAGTAATTATAAGGCCAATTGCATGTTGAGAAATTCATTTTCAAATATGAAATCATTATCGCATGCATCCATTTAAATTACATGAATAACAATATAAGTTTAAGTCAATTTACTTTCTTTTCTTGAAAAGATTTTTAATTCATGATACGTCGATTTGATGATATAGTTATTATAGTTTTATTAATTGGATTTGCCTATTTTCTTTAGAGATTCATTAATTTTTTGTCTAGCGCATGCCAAAAAATCTAACTACGGTATTGTATGTACTTCATCTATGTTGCAAACTTGGGTCGATATATAAAGACTTCAAGAACAAAAGGGTGGAAAAAGAAGATTTTTATTTTTTGGTTGGTTTAGGACCTAATCACACAATTATAAAAATTTATAATTTGTGGGCGACTACCTCTTTTTCCAACTTAATTATTTCTATATGTCACAAAAGGTAGTAAAAAGATAGAAAATTTTAATTCGTTTTGTAGGACCCAAACATGTAAAAACATCCATAGAAGTTTTCACTTTACTGATGCCCTTTGAAATTTTGTGAATTATAGGAAGGTAGGATGGGAATGTTTGCCTTCTTATGAGGAACATAAATGATGTCATTGCATAGTTTTAGGTAGAAAATCCTCTCCCGAAAAGGATTCTCTCAAAGTCTCAAGTCCACCCTATTTTTAATAATTAAGAACTTTGAGGCGCCTACCCTTGGACCTTTTGCGCTTCTACATAGTCAACCCAACTTTACTTTATGCATCAATTTGTCTTTGATTTGTCATATTTTGAACTATCACCTTACAAGCCACCACCACACAAAAAGATAATCATAGAGACAGATACCTACCACACATTCAATCGATACTTGGCTTTTCTCTTGTTATAATTCCCTTTTCTTATCTAGTTTGCCTGTGATGGTTCAAAAAAGTTCCAAGGAAAGGTCATTTTCTTTCGAAGAAATCCTAGAGAAGTTGTATACGGAAAAAACATGTACACACTTGCTAAGATCAACGAACCTATCGATAATTTTATTTCCTACCGCTGAGGAGAATAATCTAAATACAGTGAAAATAATCAGTGGCCACCTGAGACCACTTCTTTTTTCCATTTTAATGGTGGAATATGAGATCAGCAGAAGCCATGATATAATTAAAGAGACATCATACTTTTACAAGTTGAAAAAAACGATCAAGTTAATTTGGATCTAAAAATTATCTCTTGCAGTTAAAACTAGGTAAACGATCATTGCTCTTTTGCATAACAATTTATAAAATCTATTTTTATCTTAAAGTAATTATTTTTTCCACATTGAAATTCCATTCTTGGGGTGTTTTTTTTATTATCCACTCAATCCATTGGTGGAACTTTTGAAAATATCTATTCGCAGTGTCAAAGGTGGAGGCTCCTTTTGTATTAAGTTTCATGGAAGAATAATGTGTAAAACAACATATTGAACTATTAATCCAATAAATTCTACTTGCCTTGTGTAAATCATGTCACAATCAAATTTCATTGACGAGTACTTGTTTATTTATTTATTAATTTTTTTTTATATATTATCCACACAATAAATTCCATTTGAATTATGTCAATGGTTAAAGGCTCCTTTCACATGAACTTTCATGAAAGAATACTATCGTTAGTTTTTGGGCCATTATTTTCTTATCCTTGACTACTAATTCAAGAACGAGTTGGTTGAAAAAGAAGGACCGTAGTAAAGTAGAAAATGACATATTTTATCCTTTGGATCTAACTTCTAATTATATTATATAATAGTTATGTTAGTTGTTGGGGGTAGAAGGACTCACATGTGTTTGAATCTCATAAAATAAAACTGGACGCGGGTCCTACCTGAAAATCCCAGAGTTCTTGGTGATTAATTATCCTTTTTTTTTTATGGGAAAATTGATTAATTAATAAGATGTGTTTGTTATTTGCTGGTAGGAATTGAGAGGAGGTTGGATGAAAGAGTAGAAATGGAAAGTAAAAGATTGGTTGTTTGCTTTGTTTGGAAGTAAATTATAAATCATTTTTTTTTAAGAAACCAATTGATTAATCCTTTTTGTTTTTAAATTTTATTTTTTTAATGTTTTATCAATATTGATCGTACTTAATTTAATATTATTTTATTTTAAAAACTATCATTTTTTTTCATCAAATTTTTTTCTTTTTTTCTATTTATAAAACAAAAAAAAATTAATTTTTGAAATCCGAGAGATTAATTAATTCAGTTATTAAAATCAAATAGACTAAT